CACGGCCACCCAAATTTTTAGAAAAGATGCCTCTAAACAGACGTAAAAAAGAAACGAGTGTCTTAATAATTGTACAGTTCTTTCTACATTTATTGTTTGTCAACAAATAATATATATGACACTGGAATTAGGCATTTTTAGAATCGGCTAGCTAGCCCTGCAGTAACTTCTTATCACAGGGTAGGGAAAACCAATCATTCTTGTCCTTAGCTTCATAATTAAATATGATTGATTTATATTTGTTTCGCATGGAAAAATAACTATTAATAAACTATTAATAAACTAAGAATTTTTCAAGATCCAATTGATAATTTCCAGAGACACATCAGGTACATACAGCTAACTAAATAACGTACATTGTTATATAGCTTCCTATCACTTAAATTGTTAATGAAAGGAAGAACAACAAAATCGAGAGCCCAAGAATTGCACATATAACTCTTCTGGACAATTTTACTTTGACAAGGTAGCAAGAGTTATCCTTCTTGTCATGTGCTAAACATTCCTTCAAATGGTTAGATGCAGTGCAAGGGGCAAATTTTATCTCGCCACTGAATTTTGTCTCCTTCAATATTATATAATAGATTTTGAAGTCACAGTTGCCTTTTATAAAATCCAACACATGTTATAATAATGTGACATAATTTTATTATTTCAACAGCAACAAAAACTCTAATAAACATATGATATATCATAATAATTATAGAATAGAATAGAATAGAATAGAATAGAATTTATTACCAATCAGGGCCCATTAGGCATAAACATATAACATATATAATTACATATAAACATAATATTAAAGTAATAGACAGAATACAACATGTGGTGAAGAGCAATTCTTCTATTAAGTATATATATATACTGATATATATGTTGGTGGCAATTTAAGTTTCATATACAGACATACATGATGGTTTGTTGTACAAAAAAAAGTGTGCATAAGTATTATTCATGATATACATATATATGTAAATATATACATATCAAAATGCATAAAACTATGTTTGAAACATCAACAGGAGGCAGCAAGAGTCGGTGCTAAAGGATATACAGAATTCCACTTCTGCCTCATGTAGAATAAACAGACATAAAATTTATGGAGATAAACATATATTATATAAATAAATTATACATTGACACATGTGTTAATTAAACTAAACTACAATGGACAGCAAGAGTCAGTGCTGAAGGATATTATATATTTCTCAAAACATTGTTTTATGATGATTCCTGCTCCTCATTCATATGCAAAAATAAATAAACGCAAAACAACAAAACAAAATTAAAGCTGAGCGAGAGGGCCCTGCATGTTTATTTGTGTGAAAGTATGAAACGCAAGGATTCGTATTTGGTTTATTTCATAACATATAGTTACATATTATCATCTTACATTTTGCAGTGTACAATGTAATGCATTTATTTTTCTCTATCTTGAGCATTTTATTAATCCCTGAATTACATTTCATTCATTAATAAGACCTTTTCTCATGCTCTCAGGTTTGTCCTTTGAAGTTCACCTGCTTGTATTGTCTAAGAGTACATACAGTATATGAGATAAGACTTTTTTTTTTTTTTTTGTTTAACAAAACATGTATTCAGTATGTACGTAGTACATAGTATAATTAAGATTTTTAAAGAAAATCAGGTTTCATTCATGTCACCCTTAATCCTAACCAATGACATGATTCCTTTACATATAACTTACAGTGTCATGTTAGTTAAAAAATCGTTATAATATGAATAAAAATGCTTAACAGTTTAAATTGTCATACTCAGTATAATGTCAGTTTCTACAAGATTCGAACAACAGCAAAAATGCAAAGTATCTGTACTATCATAGAGAACTAAACAATATTTATATGAATATAGACCACATAAATTAGCCCGACTAGGAACAATTAGAGGTATGAGAGGTTCAAACACTGCAGAAAATTGCTTTCAGAGCAACAGCCTACTTTAATAACCGTGCATACAGAATATTACTAGGCTGCATAAGTTCTATGATTTTAAATTAATAAATACTTTTATAAAATTAAAGATCCCAGACTTACTGTGTGTACTAGCCATAGGACAGATTTGTTTTTGTATCTTACAATCTTGTTATAAAAACATGTTTTGTGGGGCCCTTGATTTCTTGTTTTCATTTATTCACTGTCTGTAAATATTTATAAATGGAAGGGTTTTTCAGTACATCTTTCTGAAAAATGTGTGCGTGTTTTACTTTCTGACATACACGGATTGCCAAATCATTTTTCTTAATGAAAACATGTGAATTCTAGATACTACTTAGACACATATAACAGATCACTGAACAAGGTAAAGACAACCTACAAACACCAGATACACACATTCGTTTCTCAAGACTGTAATGAAGATATCTTTTCGAAAAATTTGTGTGGCCCTGAAAAGGGCCGTTTTGTTTTACTGATCTACAAGTAGGCAGTTTACTTGCTGCTGGTGTACTTGGTTACAGCCTTGGTTCCCTCAGAGACGGCGTGTTTGGCCAATTCACCGGGCAAGAGGAGACGGACAGCGGTCTGGATCTCTCTGCTGGTGATGGTTGATCGCTTGTTGTAGTGAGCGAGACGGGAGGCCTCGGCAGCGATTCTCTCAAAGATGTCATTGACGAAAGAATTCATGATGCTCATGGCCTTGCTGGAAACACCAGTGTCTGGGTGGACCTGTTTCAGCACCTTGTAGATGTAAATGGCGTAGGATTCCCTCCTCTTCCTGCGCTTTTTCTTGTCCCCAGTTCTCTGGGCCTTAGCCTTGGTGGCTGCTTTCTTAGCTCCTTTAGATCCGACTTTGGGTGGCATGTTTACAGAATGCTATCAAACTGAAAACGAATGAGTGTCGACTCGCGCCTCGCGGCTTATATATCGCACGGACGGATAACGGCGGACAGGTTCATTACGAACCCTCGAGAAAACTAGTGTTGTTCGGCGCGCGACAGAGTGTGTAAGATACGATCGTGCCGATTGGCTACACATTTCAATCCGCCCGCGTGTTTAAATAGGGTCGCGAAGGCAGTTTATGCGTTATTCGTTGAATTCATTTCTACTCGTAACAAATCAAAGATGTCAGGACGTGGTAAAGGAGGCAAGGTGAAGGGAAAGGCCAAGAGCCGATCATCCCGTGCCGGACTTCAGTTCCCCGTGGGTCGTATCCACCGTCTGCTGAGGAAAGGCAACTACGCCGAGAGAGTGGGAGCCGGTGCCCCCGTGTACCTGGCCGCCGTTCTTGAATACTTGGCCGCCGAAGTCTTGGAGTTGGCAGGCAACGCCGCCCGCGACAACAAGAAGACCAGAATCATCCCCCGTCATCTGCAGCTGGCCATCCGCAACGACGAGGAGTTGAACAAACTGCTGTCCGGCGTGACCATCGCCCAGGGTGGTGTCCTGCCCAACATCCAGGCCGTGCTCCTCCCCAAGAAGACCCAGAAGTCCGCCAGCAAGTAAAAAGTCTGTACGACTTTCAGCTAAACCAAACGGCCGTTTTCACGGCCACCCAAATCTTTCGAAAAGATGCCTCTATATAAGAGCGTAATTTAAGAAACGAAATGTGTTGACTTTTCAATAACTATACATGTAGGCTATATGTAGAGCACTATACATGACATGCATTTCTCCTCAGTCAAGAGAATTAACATATACAGTGTACGACCATTATAAAGTGAGTCATAATTGCATTTTTACATTAAACATTTCATTGAAAACCCAATTTTTATATAAAACTTGTTGTGAGGTCAATTATTTTTTTATTAATCAATTTTTTATTAATCAATTTTCATGACTTTTTCCCCAGTGAATCATGCAGAATTGATCAAATTTTCTTGTCTCAAAATGCTTTACAAAATGATACGCACAAATCATTGAGAATAAATTATGAAATTGTCAAGACATTAAAAAAAAAATTAAAAAAAATCCCTTGAAAACCTCAAATTATACTACGATTTCTTAACAAATTTTTATTTCCCACTATGAGCTACAGATAACACTGGGATAATGTTTTTAGAAAAATGCATTTTTCTAAGAAATATTTAGGGGAAAAATAAAGTTAGGACACACTTATGGCCAGGTATACAGTTTACCAGGACCAAATTTTCATTTCCCAGAATTCCTAGAATTTTGTTTAATATATATTGCAGTTTCTTCTGCATGATTTCACTACTATTTTCTGTAACTGTGATAATTTTATCACTCGTGCATCAGAAAGACCTGAAATGTTTTGAGTAAAATCTGTTTGATAGATATAATATAGCATGTTTTGTCCTTAGCATGTCATTTAAGTCTAGGTGAATGATTACTTAGCGTGACATGATATGTGTTCTAATACATTCAATGCCAAGTTTTGAATAGTTGAAACACCGGGACCCTTGGACCCATGTGTCACGTTGAATGACAAAAATATTAAAAATTTCAATTTATAATATATGTATTGTACACATAATTTTATATATAGTATTCAAGAAGAAAAGAAATAAATAGCGAGGAATAATGAAATCAGGATTCACTTAAATGGCTATTTACTGTATACACTATCTTGTTACACACATGGATAAACATTACGTTTAAATAATTTATTGATAAGCATTTTAGGAGTTTTACATGAGTATATACTTTTCCAATTTCTCAAAATGTAAAGGACATAATCTACCTATGGATTTATTGTCAGCTGAGCGAATGTTCTGAAATGGTGGTAATATTGGTTTCAATAATGCACTAAAATTGCCGAGCATTTGCAACATTTCACAAACGCTTCTGGGGCAACATTACATTATTTTTTTTTTCTCTCCCTCTCTCAAACGATGGGGGGAAAAAAATGGTAAATACGATAATGTACATATCACTCTCAGCATTTCATTTCCCACATATAGGCTACTATGTTGAAAGTGGACTAGTTCAGATGAATCTGGCTTATCTTATTTTGATTATTTATTTATTTTTTTTTTTTTAATACGGACGACACAACAAATGTACAGTTTAGCGCGAGTTAAAAGTGACGTACATAAAAAGAGGAAAATGTATTGAGCAAAATATTTAAAACTGTAAATGAAGTGTTTATAAGTCTTATAAGGGTATATTGATTGTCAAACTTGAAACAGAAAAATGTATTTCTATAGATCTTCATATCTTGTGTCTCATAAAATTTAAACTTTGCTATGCATGTAGATGTTAAGCCCTCTATTTTATTCATTGATACTGGGAGATGGAATGGTATTCCTAAAGAACAAAGTGATCTTTTAAGGTTGGTGACGAGATTCATTATATGTTTGGGGCTGCAAACCAAAAATAATCAATAATAATAATGATCTATAGTAATAATAGAAATAATACTGATAAAACATTGATACAAAAATATAGCCAAACTAGCGTCTGTTATTTCTCAAATAAATTATTTTTTAAGAAGACCCTGACATTATATTATGGATATTTCATACTGCTTAATGTGTGTAATTATGTTCCCCAAACGAAGTTGGGGAACATATTGTTTTTACTCTGTTTCTTATTATTATTTTTCTTTTTCCTGGGTACTTATTTGTCCGCGAATGATCTTGTAAACTGTTCGTCTGATGTAGGTAAAACCTTTTTAGGGTAAGTAGACATGTTATGTAGATTTGCGGAATCAAGGTCATTTTGCGCGCACGTGCTTGCAAGAGCGCGCACGTGCAACATGTAAAATGACCGATATAATTGATATAGCAGTAACTTTTCTATTTTTTGATGAAATGTGTTGAAACTTTGAATATAACAATATATTAGTATTATAGACAAGATGACATGGTCAAATTATCATGAACTCACGCGCATGCACGTGCGCTTTGCTTTGATTGGATGAAACAAAAATCTCAATATCTTATTTGTTTTTTGACTTAATACTTTGAAATTTAAAACATAGTCATACATTAAGATATCCTACAATATGATATAAAATAATTTTCATGAAATCACGCGCATGCACGTGCGCTGCAATCTGATTGGCTAAAACTTTAAATGGCTATAACTCCCTTGGTTTTCAGCCAAACAGGATGGGATTAAGAACATAGATAGTATTAATGGACCCCTACAAGAAGGTACGGTCATCATGCACATGCATGCACGTGCGTGCATGTGCATTACGTATGATTACAAACGCACTTGATTTAGCGTATTTTCGAATACTTTCTGATTAAATGTCTTGATATTAAGTACATTAAAATAAATCAATAGTGTACATACAATGATATGGTCATTCCGAATATGCATGCAAGTGTGCGCACGTGCAATGCAAAAATTTGCTATATACTTGGTATACTTTAGGAAAATCGTTGTTTAAGTTTGAGTTTAGTTTATTTGATGAAGCTTAGAGGGAATGAGGCACCAAAATGAAGTTGGGAAGCGTTTGGGGAACATCTGTAACGGTTCCCGTTACAATTAGCACTAGTTAAAATTCGTGTATCATAATAATACATTCTGAATATTATTTTCCTGTCCCCCTTTCTACAATTTCAGTCATGTATATCTTATTTGTAAATTTTAGGGAACAGATTCATTGTCATAGTCGCACAGCACCGATTTGATACCGGCATGACATTGTGCACTACAGTACACAGTCTTTGAGGATTTCTCGCAGTTCTAGGGGAAACTGATTATATTTTACAGGTCGGGAAGGTCAAATTAGCATTACTAAATGTGTCTTTAAAGAAAAATTAAGATATCTTTACTGAATTTTGTCCTTTCATGTGAACAATTTATCTTAAATCGTAACCTGAAATTAAATCGTGCCAGTTTGGGGGGCTATTTTGTTGAATTTGAACACTGCAGTAAGAACAATCTAAAAATGTAAATAGATAGAACGTTAGACAGAACTATAGAGTTGGAGATTCTCTTGATATATTTGGCAAAAGTTCCTCCGTTGAGCTGCAGCAAGGATGCAAATACCCACATTGAAACACACATGCAGGAATAAAACACAAACGTCTCGACACACTGGATGTTTTCTAGGCGGTCCGCGCTCAATGTAAACAAAAGCAGCAAGTGCGTGTGACCCAGGTATTTCACTGTTTGCAGTTCCCGGAGAAGTTAGTCGACGTTTTACACTCGAAAGTAGCCATGGCCGATACCGCCGCACCAGCAAAGTCCCCAGCCAAGAAGAAGACCGCAAAGCCTAAGGTGCCTGCTGCACACCCCAAGTACATCGACATGATCAGCGCAGCCGTTGCATCTCTGAAAGAACGTGGTGGCTCATCCCGACAGGCCATTCTCAAGTACATCATGGCCAACTACAAAGTGGGCAACGATGTTAACTCTATCAACGCCCACCTGAAAATGGCCCTGAAGAATGGTGTTAAAAAAGGTGCTCTGAAGCAAGCCAAGGGCACAGGTGCTAGTGGCTCCTTCAAACTTGGAGACAAACCCAAGACCGAAAAGAAGCCTAAAGCCAAAAAGGTTGCCAAACCCAAGGCCGCCAAGCCCAAGAAGGCCGCCGCCAAGCCCAAGAAGCCAGCCGGTGAGAAGAAGGCCAAGACTCCAAAGAAGAAGGCCGCCGCAGCCAAGAAACCAGCCGGACCCAAGAAAGCCAAGTCCCCCAAGAAAAAGGCAGCCGCCAAGTCACCAAAGAAGGCAGCAGCCAAGCCCAAGAAGGCCAAGACCCCCAAAAAGGCAGCAGTCAAGAAAACCAAGACTCCCAAGAAAGCAGCCGCCAAGAAATAAGCAGTTTTTGCATTCCAGGCAGACTGTCTACCTAAAACAAAATATATTAAAAAAGCCCTTTTCAGGGCTACCCACATTTTTAGAAAAGATGCCTCATTAACAGTCGTTAACGAAACGCGTGTGGATATCTCTCATCTGTCCTTTTAATAAATGGTGTTAATAAATTACAAAGTCAATTATAACATCTGATAAATGCCCTCGGTAACCCACGATAAACCTGGGATTATGGGATAAATCATATTAATATCCAGAAACACTTAGATAATAGCAGTCGATAAAATTAAATGATGACAGAAGGGAACATTTACAATTCCATTTTTTTTTTTTTTTTTGGTATTTCTAAATATTCTTAATAAGCATGGAGGTAATATATCTCAGGTCAAGTGCAAAATAAAAAAAAAATCTAAGACTCTATTAAATGTTGTCATGAAATCATAGAAATTTGAGGTTACTAGGTTTTGTTTTCTTATCAGTTTTTTGATTTATTCTCAGTGACTTGTGTATCATTTTGTTTTGCATTTTAAGACAAGAATACATATTTAACATCTACGTACATGTTATACACTCACCCACTGTACACTTATTTAAGTTTGGTGGGCCTCTTCTTAATGTCATTAGAACAGCTTGGCATTTAGATAATAATGTGTTTTAATTTCAGACAGTTCATGGAAAATAAAGTTGCTAGACTTATTGGTAATTTTTCATTTTAGATATGGAACAAGGTGTTTCCTATTAATGAATACTGGTAACGAGGTATGTGATAATTAATTAATGTGTAGAAAGCTCGTGTGATCATTGAAATTAAATAGTTTCAAGAAAACTCTTGCGAAAAAAAATATGCAGCAAATTATAAATACAAAACCTTTTATGAAAATTGAATTTTTAATACTTTAATGAGAATAACATTTTATAACTTTTCTGTACTGCATGTAAATAATCCTTTGTTATCACTTCCAAATTCCTTTTTCTTTCCTTTTTTTTCCATACATATTTTTGTAAAATTACAGTATGCAATAGAGCACCTGTGTAACACCTGTTGACCAATGTCTATAAACTTATGTTATTTGTTTATGGAAATATATATGTAATGTATGTATTAAGCTATATTTATGAAACACTTCAAATTATTTCAAGGTTTAGTTCTTTGACCTTACAAGTTTGACAAGACTTTGAAATTTGATAAAAAGTGTGAAACACTGGGTCCTTGGATTATATCAATATGTGCAACTTCTGCAAAGAAAATGAATGGAAACTGCAAATTATTGGAATTTTTCTAAGTCCAAAAAGACATAACTCTGTCCAAAATGGCACGATCATACCCAAAACCAAACTTGACTAAGATATTCTTATGATAAATCTGTATACCAAATTTCATTTCAATATGTGCAACCTCTACGAAGAAAAAGAATGAAAACTGCAAATTATTGGAATTCTTCTAAGTCCGAGGGGCATAATTCTGTCCAAAATGGCCCTATTGTATGGAAGGGAATTACCGCCAAAAGTCTATGTATCGTGCTTTTATTCTTATTCTGCCTACTTCTTTATGCTTTGTTATTATTGTAATTATATGTCACTTTATTGTTTTCATATTCGTCTTTATTACAGATTTCACTTTGACTTTTATCCTTCTTCATTTTGCCCTTACTTCTATGTTGCTTTATTCTAAGACTTGTAAATTCATTTTACTTTCTTTTAAATTGGTACAGTTTCTTAAATGATTATCTCGATTACGAACGTGAATTCAATCACACAAGGAATGAAGCATATTCAATGAAGACGAATACAGTTGTCAAAATTTTGGCGGTAATTCCCTTCCATACTATTGTACCCAAAACCAAACCTGACCAAGTTATTTTTATAATAAATCTGTATAACAAATTTTATTTCAATATGTGTAATCTCTGCGAAGAAAATGAACAGAGACTAATGGTGGACCAACAGACCGATCGACTAACGGACAGCTGAGCAAAGCAATACGCCCTCTCTTCTTCCAAGCGGTGCATAATACCGGTAAGTCCCACTTAAATTTAAGAATTTCATTGATGCACTTGAGTTTCCCTATATTCCTCCATAAACAGTTAAGGAACCTATCTCTCACACTGACGGGACCTTCTGAAGATTTTTAGTATGTTATGGGCATACTGTACAATGAAGTTTTACATAGGAATTCATATAAAGGGAAAATCTTTAAACATCTTATTCTCATGAACACCAAAGCCATGGTTTGTCATATTTATAAATTATAATATGGAAGCATCCTCAGATACTCTAGATTTAAGTTTGTACAAATCATGAACCCCCAAGGGTAGTGTCGGGCCATAATGAAAGATAATTCACACTTGTAGGGAAAAGTCACAGATAGTCAAAAACATATTAAGTCTTTGTGTGAAATTTTCGAAATTTTGACATTTCTCTCTTAGCCACTTGCTTTAAATTTTAAGGCATTAAAATTAATACCTTTATATGCTAATTTTTACACAGGAGCACCTGCAAAAACAGTGTGAAATGCTAAAAATAGATTATTTACAGACATTCTTTTTCTACAGAATAATGTGCTAAAAAGAACCAAAAATGTCAAATCACATTCAAAATTAACATGTATTTAAAATATTTGACTTGTATCTTTAAAATGAAGGCAAATTCATTGCAATTCAAATTGTATTTTTAACAATTCCGTCATGCATAATAGGCAATATCGTAAAAAGCCTTTGTGTGAAAATGTTGTAATTCATAAGTTATAAAGAAATAAATTAAAATTTTATTTAGTAAAGAAAAAAGTGATAAAATAAACAATATGAAGTTTTCTTTAATTTTCATACTCTTTTGTCATAAGTATTGACCTTTCTGCACTAAGACAAAGGTACGTAAGCACTCACAAACATAGGAATATTAAACAATTTTGTGAAAAACAAGTACTCTACTTTGATTAGTAACAACTTGAACTTACACAGATATAATCTTTTCTTCTTGATTCCGATCGTTCTGTACATGCACCTCACCCCTTTTTCCCCGTCAACAACCAATACTTATAGTACAATTGAACAATATTAAAGCAATATAGGTACAAGTACATTTTTTAAAAAAAAATCTTATTTTAATTTTCATCGAGGAAAAACAATTACCCGGTAATATAATGCTGAAATTACTAGTAAACATATTTTCCTGATTTAAATCGCTTTCTTTGCTGAATGTTATCTTTTCTTTTTGCACTTATATCAGCATATTATTGATGTATCTTTTCAAAACTGAAATTGCTAAGAACTATCAACCAACAGAAGAGAATTCTAATATTAACAAACTCATTCACAATTATTAATAATGAGTGAATTTTCTTTTTGAAACTTGTGTATGGTTATTGACTATTTACAATGTTAGGCCTAAATCACTGAGCTTAGCGAAAGTCAACAGGTATAAAAGAAACGTTGCTATTGTGACGTCAAATAACGCTGTTATGACGTAGAATGACATAGGTCCCCCCTTAAGCATCCTTTGTTAAGTGTAGATTCAACTTGGTTCAAATCATACCCCCTCTCCCTTTTAGGAGTAAGTTGGGACCACTATATTAAATGCCTTTAATCTTTTCAATCATAAACTGAATTTTTATTTTTTTCCTAGCCACAGTGATCAGGTGAGCGATGTGGCCCCTGAACCTCTTGTTAACTTTATGTCTGCAAAAGAAGGTATAAAAATCTTTTAAAAACTGATCCACACAAAAATATTGACCATTATGGTATTATCTTTCAAAAGATCCACAGAAGAGAAGTGAATTAACATACAACAAAAACAGTAAGCAAAACAAATTTATTTAGGTTGTTCCTAGAAATTTGATTCTTATAGATAGTTTTCAGAAGACCCATATTAACAAGAGTTATTTCCCATTGGCTGCCATCTTGGTGGTCAAATAGGTAATTTTTCCTCTTTGTCCTACCAAATATCAGAGTGTGTAGCAGAAATATTAAGGGGAATAAACATTATGAAATAAAGGAGGCTCTAACAAATGTATATTTTTCAGAAAAAAAATGCTTCCCAGCCCACGATTGCCAGTATAACAGGTTAAAGTTGGTTGAATTATGAAGCATGTTGACCCACAATATGGCAACCGACGGGAAATAACTCTTGTTAATTTGGGTCTACTGAAAACTATCTATTTACACAATTTCAGAAGAATAGAAATGTTGGCTAGTTGATCCAGCTTTAAAGTGTAATAACTAATAACTGAACAAATGATGTTTACCTAAACTAAAACACCACAAATGTGGGAAAAACAACAATAGAAATTCTTGACATCTTTCTTTACAAATTTTGGAAAAGTCGATGTTTTAAATACCGGTACATATCTGTGCACTTGCAATAAAATTTCTTTCCAATTTTGTACATCTTTGAAAAAACAAACTTTTCAGATGTTAAACGAGTCATATTGATTACTCAACTCATGATAACAAATAACTTTACTCGAATTGGTATGGTAAAAAAATCTCATGTAAACTTAGAGAAAATAATGCCTCGTTTCAAACTCATTCTTTAGTCGGTTTTAGTTTGGAAGGGGAAACAGCATTGTTAGAAGTACCATTACTCGCCTTTGGCACTTTTCTACTGCTTTTGATTTTAGCGGTCAGTTCTGCTTGTTTGTTGAGGAAGAACAGATTTTCATCCTCCAATAGTTTTAATCCCTGTGAACATGAATTCTTATCATTCTGTGTTTCATCTCTAGCCTTGTTCTTGTTCACACTCACTCTGTTCATCTTGTCTGGTTCATTCTGGAGTGAACTAGTTTTCACAGAATCGATGTTGCTCTTATTTTTTCCTTCATGTCTAGTGAAGTTATTATTGTTATCTTTTTCAACTTCATTGAAAGCACTCTGAGACACTGACCTTGAACATTCAGTTTTATCAACATTTATTTTCTCCACCTTTGAGGTATCCTCTTCACTTCTGATGCGCTTTCTTGGGGTTGCAGTTGAGCTATTCTTTTCTTCCCTCGAACTCCTTTGTTTTATCATGTGAGGGTCTGTGTTAATTTTATCACTTTTACTCATGTTTAGATGTCTCTTTCTTGACCCATGTTCTCTTTTCTGATTTTTGCTTCGTTTCTTTGTATCCTGTACACTGAGTTTTCTAGCTAGTACATTTCTTTCTACACAGGACACTTGGAGGGACACATTGCAAGAAGAAGGGCTGCACACATATGATCTGACGAATGAAACAAATGTTGTCAATGACTGATCATTTGCTGAGCTTGATGTACCTTTCTCACGTGATGACTCTGAATTACCATTGAAGTCAGGCAAAAGTTTCTTCCTACTTTGATAGGAATTCCTTTCGTCTCTATTTCTGTCTAGTACATGTGAAGAATCACACTCTTTCCTTTCTTGGTGCACTGGGTCATGAGAATAAGAATACATTGTTTTCTTAATTTCTCTATCCAAACAACTACTGAACTTTGCAGAATTGTTGCACTGAACTCCAGAAGTTTTGTTTAATCCTGAAATATTCTTAGTACAAAAAGACTTGAGTTTACCAGGTGTCTGAGTTCCTTTGCTTGAACTCAATTTCTGAGTCCTCTTTAAATCTGAAGAATTTTCCCGTGCTTCTCGGTTTTGACCAGGCTTTCTGTGTTTTGACTGTCTGTTCCATTCAATTTGTCTTTTGTCCAGTTGTGCAAGAGCAAAGCTGTCATCAATTCTCTGGAGAGGTACAACACATTCTTTTATTCCAGGATTACCAAGATCACTGCTCAGATACTTTTTACCTTGTTGGCAAAGTGTGGCACAAGGAGTACTCTGACAGGAATTTCTCATTTCCGTTTTCTGTCCATGATGTTCTCTGTTTACTTTTTTCACCATATTTGGAGCATCTCTCGCTTCCTCTTCAGATTCTGTTGCATTTGTTTTTCCTGGTGTAGTTTCTATATTCATACAGACATTAGATAAACACACACTTTCATTACTATGAAAAATGTCAGAATCACTGGATCTGGATGAAAAGGGACTCAGTGATGGTTCTTGGATGATAGTTTCTCCATCTTTATGATTACTGGTGGATTGTAGAAAAGCTTCACAATCTCTGGCTTTGGGTGAAGAATGACTAAGGGGTTGTTCTTGGATGATAGATATGCCATCAGTCTTGCAATTAATGGATGGTACAAATGCTTCACAGTCCCTTGACTTGGGTGAGAAATGACTCGGTGGTGGTTTTGGGATGATGGTTGTACTATCTTTCTGGCTACATGTATTAGTGGATGGTACAAAAGCTTCACAATCTTGTGATTTAGGTGAGAAATGATTGAGTGTTGGTTCTCGGATAATACTTGTCACTCCTTCCACATGGCTAACTGTGGACTGTAGAAAAGTCATCCATGTACAGTTGACTGTTTTGATGGATTGCTCAATCAAAACTTTCATACTCTGGATTAGGTCTTCAGGATATAAAGCAATACCCCCATTGCTTTTCTGGATACTACTGGAACACATGATAAAGGCTGCCACATTTGATAGAAGACTTTCAATATTCAGCATGAGAATATTAATCATATGAGTATTAAAGGTCATCACAAAAGTCTGATACTTCTGATTGAATTGGTCTATTTTATCCACTATTTCGGATATAGCTGCCAAGCTCTTGTTAAAGAAGTTGGCCTCCCGCAGTGTCCAATTGTCATTGGAGGCGTCATAAAAATGAGCAAATTGTTTCCTCATAGATTTAATGATGCTGTCTAAAGAACTGCTACATGCACTTGTTGTATGAGAGTTGGTCTTGTATTCTGCGCTGTACTTTGAAAAAACATCTGAAGCACAAGAGTTACAGGTATTCTTACACATGTCTGGTGTCCTGATATTATGGTGCACTCCTTGATTTGTTTCCTGAGGCAGTGAAGGGATTTCTGTTGGCATTGGTAGTTGTTCTCTGGCTCTGCGATTTCTACCCATTGAAGGATGATCCAGTTCCCTTTGCTCAGCATCCCTCAAATTGTCAACAAAGATTTCACTTCTGCTAAGCTTCTTCACACAAGAATAGTTATTGTTATCATTGATGCAAGAGACATAAACAGAATCCCCACAGTCAAAATCAGTACTGTCATCTAAATCAACAACACTATTGTCTTTTGAAGGAGTCACTTCTTGTGAAATTTTCCAATTATCGGGCCCAAACATCATGTTCAGAATTTGTTGCCAGTCAATTTTCACCTTTCATTGAACTGTCTCACCATTCCCATCTTTATTTTGCAATGAGTCTTGTTAACGGATGACTAGAGCTGAAATAAAAAAAAATCAATTTGAAATCCATTGCCATTTAAACATTAAATAATATATAATTAAGTAGGATGTGACTTGATAATAAACGGATATCAATTGACATTTCTGTGAAAAACAATTTAAAATACGAAACTAAAACAGTGATCTTTTATATTCAAAACAAGTGAATTATCAATATTCTTTCAAAAAAGTTTTCAATATGCATTTCCTATTTCTTTCTTTGTCAGAATGACTCAGAAATACTGATATCAACTATAATTTTGAGAACAAAAGGTCCAAGGGTCATTACCCTCACCTGATTAAATAATAACTATGGCCCTTCATTTTTTTATTAGCAGATTCTTTTATCTAATATTTTTATGGAAACCCAGAATATTCTTTGAACCAACTCTACCCAGGTGTCATGATGTGAACAAATATGACTATACATAGGTTTCTGTTTTTTAGCAGATCAAATTTCCAAACAGTCTTGAGTTTTTCATGGTACACATGAAGTTTTTGTCTTCTCATAATAATCTCAAAAATAGGGGCTGTCAAAAATCATGGTGAATACACATTCTCTTATGTTTAATTTCTTCAAAGAGTTTTATTGTAGTCTTATCTTTTGCCAAGTCTCACAGTTGGTGTTGAAACAGTCTGCAGAAGCATTTCCATTTTCAATTTGATCCTCTTTATAGTTCTATACTAGAATCATTAATTACCCTAGATACTTGAATGAACACTTTGTCAGGAAGCTTTTACATAATAAGTTTCATTTTTTTTCATAATTTTTGCCTTATTTGATAAGAAGATTTTTATATTTGTACTGCCTTCCATGTAACTTCTATTAACATGAAAACATGGATTACAGCAAGTTAACCAGTCACTTTATTGTCACAACAGTACACATAGGGGTGCAGATCCTAAAATTAAAGTTTGCACAATCTGAGAAAGAATTTAGTTTAAATAAAACTTTCACTAGCTAGCACACTGATGTCACATAAAATATATACTACAAAGGATTAGTGAAAGTCCAACTAAAGTCATTCAAATAAACCTAAACTATTTCATCAGGTTCGTTGTCAACATTGCAATACAGGAAGATCATGAAAATTGAAAAATTGACTTATTTATTCAAGATTACACTAACTGCATTTAGTTCAAAAGTGAAGAAATTATCCCAGACTGACATAAATACAATTCCAACTGACATCAATTAGTTTAATATCCTTTAACTAGAGCAAAAAGACACATTCTTTGCTCATGACCATGAATCCCTCCAATTTAATATTCAAATAAAGGAAGTTATGATCATGATGATTGAGCATGCTCAGTAAAAAGTCGTGAGATATAAATAAATAGTTTGAAGCAAAACCCGCCTGAGTTAAAAACTGTCTCCCTGGGACACGGATTCTGTGCCTCCAAATGGGTTTCTGTGAGTGAGGATTCCTCACTTTCAGACACAGAAGCTGTGTCCGTGTCTTGGACATGCAGAACCTGTGCGGCCTTTTAAAATTCCCATGCGGATTCCGTGTCTTAGCCGTGCCCAAGTCGTGCCTATTCCGCCTCGAACTTTCGTACGGGTACAGGTATCATTAAAATCTTAATTAAAATATTACTAGCATGGATTGTAACTGATAAAGTTAATCTTTAACAGAAAGTAAATGGACACATTCATATAAGATTTTTAACTTTTAAAATTCTAAAACTAAGCATCAATATAAAGCAATGTGAAGTTAGTTTGGTTTCAGTCACCATTTTGGCATCCACAGTTACATCAGGGGGTTCTCTAAAGGCCATGACCTAGATCTAAACAAATGCACAGATCCCTTGACTCCTTATATGGTATATGGCACGGCTTTTTTGACACGGGTTTCCAAAAAAACCATGTTTCCATATATGGAAAAGGACACGGGTTTACAGAATCCGTGAGTCCATATATGGAAACTAGCACAGCTTTCTGACACAGGTTTTGTAAAACCATGTGATCTCATTTAAATATTTCGGCCAATATCCCGTGCCGTGTCCGTGCCTCGACCACTTTTAGGCACGGCTTTCCATATATACTTTACATAGGAGCACGGAATGCTAAAGCACGGGTTTCTGGAGACGGAATCCATGCCTGAGCCGTGTCTAAGCCGACCAGACTGTTTCGTACGGGTCAGATAATACAGAGCTGCACTTCATCAAAACTAAGATTGAGTGATTGATTGTATACTGTTTAACGTCCCTCTCCAGAATATTTCACTGATATGGAGACGTCACCATTGCCGGTGAAGGGCTGCAAATTTAGGCCTATGCTCGGCACTTACGGCCTTTGAGCAGGGAGGAATCTTTATCGTGCCACACCTGCTGTGACACGGGGCCTCGGTTTATATGGAAACCAGGACCGCCCCATTTAGTCGCCTTTTACGACAAGCAAGGGGGTACTGAGGACCTATTCTAACCCGGATCCCCACGGGGCCATCAAAACTTTTAAGAAGAGAAGCGCTTAGTGAAGATATGACATTAAACAAGTTGCTAGAAACAGTGAGCACATTGGAACTGGCAGAAAAACAAGCATCAGGAATTGAAAATAATAACAGTCCCAGTACTGTGAACAAGGTACACCATACAAGGACAAGACAAAGGACTCCTCAATGGAAACCAAGACAGAACTCAGAACCCAAAGCACAAGGTAGGCAAAGTTCTAAGTGTTATAACTGTGGTGGTCAATTCCCCCATAAAACAAAATGCCCAGCACAAGGACAGTTCTGTAATAATTGTGGCAAGAAAAACCATTTTGCTGCCGTTTGCAAGTCAAAACCCCAGTTTAAAGGAAAACATGTCAAACAAATTCAAAACTTTGAGAAGGATGACGAATATGTATTTAGTGTAAAAAACAAATCCACTAAGCAACCGAAGTCAGATGTTGTGCTAAATGGCCGAACTTTTCAAATGTTGATTGATATGAGATCCATTGTAAATATTTTGGACGAAACCACATTTTCCAACCTTTTTTTTTTTCTTCTATAATTTATTGCTTTTTGAAAACTTTTTTACAAAAGGAAAACATTGAGAGAGAGAGAGACAGAGTGACAGAGAGAGAAAGAGAGAGAGAGAGAGAACTGCAGAGGCAGAGAGAGAGAGATGATTAAGAAAATAAATCAGTCAATGGCCTCCAGCTTTCATCAAAAGATTCTTTTTCATTATTTTTATAAGATATATATTTTTGTAATTCATGCATTGTTTTAATAGAGGATATCAACCCATCTAAGGAGATGTTTCTGTTTGTACAGACATTTGTACAGATAGATATAATGTTTAATTTGTAAGGCAATAATATTTTTCAGTTTATCAGTTCTCTGCACAGAGCCTAATAAAAACTCTTTTTTCGAAAAAGTTATAGTAGTGTTGATTTTAGTGAAACAGTAATTTGCAAAATTCTCTAAAAGAGATTGCACATGTTCACATTCCCACAACAAATGTTCTATTGTTTCAGTTTCTATTTTACAGAAGGTACATGTTTTATTATCAGTTTTATTAATTTTGTGTAGGAAGGAATTTGTCGCTAGTATTTTATGGTTCATTCTAAAATGAAACCACTGAAGTTTGGTGTTTTTTGTAATTTTGAATGGAAGTAAATAAATTATCTCCCATTCACCACTGCTCAAGTCAAATATTCTATTCCAGGAGATTTTACCCAACGGTTCAATTTTTTGTCGAATGAGTATTTCATTTTCCAAACTTCATCAAAAACCTGACTTACGGAAGGCAAATACCAAGATTTTTGCTTATGGCTGCAAAAACGACCTGAGGACTCTAGGATTTTTCGTTGCGACAATTGAATCTAAATCCAAAGTAGCTGCTGGAAAATTCTATGTGGTCAACGGAAATTCGGGTACACTTCTAGGATACGAAAGTGCCATGGAGCTAGGTATAATTCCAACAATCAACCGCTTGTCAACAGATGTAGGAGAAATATGTGATGAGTTTGGAGACCTATTTCAAGGAATCGGGAAGATAAAAGATGTAAAGGTAAAAATCCATGTCGACGATAGTGTAAAACTAAATGTTCAGCCACACCGACGGATACCTTTTCATTTACAGAGAAAAGTAGAAGCAGAATTGAAAACTCATGTAGGACTGCACAGGTACAAACGACTCAGTTTTGGAATTTCATCAGCTGCCGAAATTTTCCAAGAGACTGTCAGTGAATCACTTCATGGTCTACAAGGTGTCTAGAATATGAGTGATGACATCATTGTATACGGTGAGACACAAGAGCAACATGATATGTGTCTAAGATAAGTTATGGAACGACTGAGGGAGCGTAACATAACACTAAACCGACCTAAATGAGAATTCAACAAACAAAATTTATCATTTTTTGGATACATATTCTCTGCAAATGGCATATCGGCTGACCCAGCTAAAGTTAAATCAATCAGTCATTTTTCATACTAAGAAACGAACTGTGCATTGGTAAATATGAAGACATGGAAATTCTTCTAAGAGGTTCTAGACTTGTAATTCCATCATCCTTACAGAGGAAAATAGTCGATATAGCTCACAAAGGACACCAAGGCATTGTTAAGACAAAACAATTGCTGAGAGAAAAGGTTTGGTTTCCTGGAATCGACTTAATGGTGGAAAATCTTTGCAAATCGTGTATCCCCTGTCTAGCATCTGTTCCCGCAAAAAACGTAGAGCCTTTGAAAATGTCAGATCCCAGACAAACCATGGGGAGAAGTAAGTGTAGACTTCTGTGGTCCATTTTCATCTGGTGAATACGTACGTGTAGTTATGGATGATTTCTCCAGATATCCAGCAGCAGAAATTGTTTATTCAACATCAGCCAGAACAACAAAGACAAAACTGGACAAAATTTTCTCTACACATGGTATTCCTAACATGGTCAAAACAGATAATGGACCTCCATTTCAAAGCCATGAATTTTCTCAATTTGCCAAATATTTAGGGTTCAAACACAGGAAAATTATTCCTTGTGGCCAAGGACAAACGGAGAAGTAGAGAGACTCATGAGGACCGTTGGCAAAGTTATAAAAGCATCAAATGCAGAAAATCGAAACTGGAAACAAGACATCTACCAATTCTTAAGAAATTACTGTGCAACACCACATTCGACAACAAAGATACCACCAGCCAAAGCTCTATTTGGCCAAAGCTCTATTTGGACATTATATTAGGTTGAGAATACCTGAACCTCCAAATCAACAAGGAATGCCAGAAATTCAAAAAAACGATTTGAAACAGAAAGAAAAAATGAAAGTCTACGCAGACAGGAAAAACAATGCGAAATCGTCATCACTGAAAAAGGGAGATAAGGTCCTTGTAAAGCAAAACAGAGAAAACAAAGTCTTTACACCATACAACATTAAACCTTTAGAAAGTATTGGTACAAAAGGATCAATGACAACTGCAAGAAATGACGAAAAAATCATCAAAAGGAACTCGAGCGCATTTTAAGAAATTGAAAGACCTGAGCAAATTGATGATGATAATGAACCCCTTAACGGTGTGATCAATAATGACCAGGAGACAGATACAGATCAAAAAGAATCTAATATGTCCCCAGCTGACCCGCCGAAACTTTCAACCTGCGTAGTTCAATCATTAGCCTCCGGAATATTTACAGGTTATGTTTCAGAGATAACAAGTCGTGTTGAGGCATAATAATCCTCTGGCTTGTTAGTAGTATTATGCTGTGTCAATTAGAAATGTGTAAATGATATGAGGTGACTGATTTCAATTCAAAACAAACTGAACATTCTATATACAATTTGAACTCTATCAATATTTCAGTAATAATTAACCCAAAAGACTTGAATTAATTAAAAATTTTATTTGTGAAATGTAATTATTTAAAAAGTTTAAGCCACATTTTATCTAAAGGAAAAGAGGGATGTAATGTCCATTGAAATCATTCATACTGAAATAATTATCTGTAATTGAATCTGACAGTTAGCCGTGAAGTTCTTACAGTATGTTTATGTTTCTGAAGCTAAAGCCAATATTGTTTATATTATAAATTGGAGAGCATGGGAAAGTTTTACTCTGTGTAAAAGTTTAGTCAGAATAAATTAGTGTAGTATTAGAACCAACCACACCGTGTTATGTTTTGCTTCTCAGTAAGCAATTTTACAGGAAACAGCATAGTTTCATAATTAAAATAAATATCAAACTGCAGGCCTTCCCGGTTAAATAAACAAAACGCAGCTGAATTGAAGCTTCAACATAAATGGCAGACACATTATACAGAATGTAAGACATTACAATACGAAAATATCCTAATTTCACCCTTTCTTAATTATCTCCCCTTGTAGTGTTTTCCCTAAGAACCGGCTACTTACTAAATCCTTTGAAATAAAATTAAATAAAAATTAAAAATTTTCATTGTTGTTATGACAGAGATTTTTTCAGTGGTTATGAAGATCTTGAAATTTTTAAATACTAGTATTTAGGTTGACTTACACAAACTACAGACAATGGATAAATTTCTATTAATTATTAAATAGTTTTCTAATTGCTTAATATAAACTGAAAAATGAACACTTTCACATATGAATGTTTCCTTATTGAAGCATTCAAATTGAAATTTAACAGCCTGCTCATTTAAGATGCAATAAATCACTGTGACCACTTGGGAAATTCTTCTCCTTGATAGGTGGATATCCCAATGGCTAATAAATTCAACCCACTGGCAGCCACACAGATGTTATCAGCAATTAACTGCAGTGACCAGTGATACCAAGTTTAGAGAGGGAGATCTGCATAACACAAAAATTTCCCCACAGAATGAAGGAGTGCTCAATTTCCTATTTTATGCATAATGGCCATCTGTTGTTTTTGTAATTTTAATAGATTTCAATACACCCCCCCCTCCCCCCCCCAAAAAAAAATCATTCTTGCAAATATGCATAGGAAATATGGCAAATGATATATATCTATAATGGAAATTATTATTAATTATTAAAAAAATGTGAAGATTACAAATTTTTTTAATGACCAATCTTTTACTATCCATATAAATGTATAAGTTATGCATCTCATCTAGCCTAAATATTTTAATTGCCCATCTGGCCCCGATTTGGTAATAAATGGTATTCTATTCTTCTATTGTTAATTATACCTCGTAAAGTGACATAGTCACAACCAACATAGGTTTTTAAAGTTGGCAAGATAAAATCTTATGATGGTGTTTAGGATACACCAAAGGCTTTCCTCAAGACTTTTGTTATTAATTCAGAGATTTTTGGTTAAGAAAAGGATGCTTATAATCACATCTTTATAATGCTTGAAAAATTCTTGCTGATTATATGAAATGGTTTTCTAACTATTTAACAATAATTAAACATAAACACTACCACATGTGTCTGAATATTCCGTTACTGAAGCTTCTGATTTGATCTGTGACTGCCTGCTCATGAAAAGTGCTGTAAATCACCGTGAACACTTGGGGAATTCTTCACTAGCCAAACAGAGGTTATCAGTAATTAATTGAACTACTGGGACTCTAGATTTAGGGAAAGAGATCCAACAGGTCACAAATGGCCATAAAATGGGAGGTGGAGCTGAGCTCTTGCTATTTTGCCAGGAAATCTTTCCGTTTCAGAATTGAACCAGTTTCACTTAAAGGCCGGTTTACACTATGCATCTTGACACATGCATCTAAACACATGCTTCAATTTTGCCTCATGCATCTTCTTATTTACACTATGTGTCTTGATGCATGCATCTTTAGAATACTTTGTAAAGATGAAATTTATCTACTTAAAAAAATAACAATACCTTCAAATTTCATTTCCAGATTTATTTTAGCTGAACAAATCATTCTTAATTTCCTTAATATGATAATTCTTGGAAGATATAATTTATATTTAATCCAAAACAAAACTCCTCTAATATTATAATAATCAGATAAGTTTTTCTAATTGTAGTTTTAATCGGTATTTTCTGTTTTTGTGTATCTTGGGAAGCTATTTTTGAAACTATATGAAAAAAATAAGGCTCATGATTCAATATCAACTCTGACCTTTCTTTTCATTGGTCAGTTCCATGCATCTTGAAGCATGGAAAAGAACAAGTTCTATTCCATCGTTCAAGATGCAACACCCATTTAATTTGACACAAGGGGCTTTTACACTGTGAATCTTGACACATGCATCCAAGATGCATGTGTCAAGATGCATAGTGTAAACCGGCCTTAAAAGCACCTAAATACAGAAAAGAACATCCCATTCTTAAGAATATGCATAGAAAATATGGATAAGTGACAGGTATCCAAAGCTGAATCTCCAAAAGGTGTCATTATATTGCTGGCTTTGGCAGAATATGTTGTGTAATGAGTTTTTGCCATCTGCTGTAATGTAAGATCAGAGTTGGTGGTATTATCCAGGTATTATTTAAAAGGATTCAGCTTCCTTATTTATAGACCAATTTCTCTGAAAACTGACTAGATTGCATCTCAAATGTGTGTTCACAAAAATACACATTTTGGATATCTTGCTTAGTTTTAGAATTATTAAGGGAAATGTAGATAGGCTGATAAATTGGTAACATTGAAGGACAAATGAATATAACTTTTGAATTAGAAGATTTATAAAAAAAAAAATTCAGTCAGATATGTTTTCAAGTTAATCTTTAATCTTGTCAGAGGCAAAATGATGACTTTAAGTCTAATATATAAACCCCTTGATGTAGGGACTAGGGAGAGGGCTAAAATAGGCTGAGCCTAGCTGCTGCACAATCCTATTGATAACATCTTTGAAGAAAATATTGTTTTAAATTAAATTAAATTAATATTTGAGTCAAAATATGAATAATTTTTTTACCAAGATAAAAATGACAGTTTGAATTAGGATCATTATACATAGTAAATTTAACAAGCTTTCAAATGATATATACTTTTATTTGTTGTCTTTTATAATGAAAGAATTACAAGCAAATTAAATTTTGCCCTTTGGATATCTTTGGTGTATCCTTAAAACCCCAGGCTTTCTTTTGCTTTCTAAAAACAATCTTTAGCTCCTGGGGCATAAGCAAGGTTTTGATTATGAAATAAAATATTCATACTCAGCGATAAATTTATTTTTAAAATTAATATATCCCTAAAGAAGGGAAATCTCTATATATGTATTTCCCTTTTGACACTGTGATGGAAAATTTAATGTAACTTAAGGCCATATAAAATTAATCTTTAGATTCTCATCCCCGCCCGCCCCTCTCAAAATGTCCCGCCCCGATGTTTTTTATTTTGATTTTGGGGTATTTTCATGTAATTTTTATTCAGTAAGAATTTGGGTCAAAGTTTAAGAGTTATCTCCCGTCTGTATTAAAAGTCACGTGTCGCTATTTATAGCAAAAACGCGGAGAAAAATCGGCAATAAAAGCAGTTTAAATGTGTAAGGAAAAGATAATTTGTCAGTATAGAGAAGGCAGAGAAGAAAAAATAGCAGAAACACATATAGATACCATCACTGGCAGGAGCAAGTATGTAGAGAGATTGTAACTAAGTAAAAATAGACGAGGAAAATGACACCTGGTCAAGTAAATATATAACGATCTCCAGCTGTGTGACTTTGCTTTGAAATAAAAAAAAATCTACAACATCGTAGACAGACTTACGAGAAGGCCTAGATTTTTCAGTACAATAATTATTAGAACATTTATAGGCCTAGAGATTTTGCAAAGTAAGAAGTCACGCATACACAATTTATTGGTATCCCCACCTCATTTTGTTAAGGGTGTGCCGTATAATGTGTACTTGATAATTTGTTAATTAACAATAAATATTTAACTTTTAAAGCAAAAATTTTCTTTAAATATTTAAAAAAATATGAAAAGAATTAAATCTATTCATATTTGCATTAAGGTAGTGAAAAAAATGTGTACGGGGCGTCCATTGTTTTGTTGATACTTAGGCCTATATTTAAATTAACAATTATAAAAAATAAAAAATAAAATCCGCCCACCCGCCCCTAATTTTTAGCAAATTAGGATGAGAATCTAAAGATTAATTTTACCTGGCCTAACTGGTCTAATTTTAAATAGAACTAGTGAGGTCCAGCACAATACCCTGACAAAGGTATATAGCTTGATCAAGGTATTACAAATACCTTGATCAAGGTATTTTATGCAATGAAAATACAAAAAAAATAATAAATACTCAAAGTCGAGTTCTGAGTTGTTGTCAGTAAATTCACTCATGCATGTAAAGTACTCAAACACAAATAATTCAGTATAAAAGCATTTCGTGTGAGGAGACCTTCTTTTATGTTGTCTTTTTGGTACCTGAGTATTTTACATGCCTGAGTGAATTTACTGACAACAACTCAGAACTCTTTTTTTTTTTTTTTTTTTTTAGAAATTTTTCGTATTTTCATTGCATAAAATACCTTGATCAAGGTATTTGTAATACCTTGATCAAGCTATATAACTTTATCAGGGTATCGTGCTGGACCTGCTAGTGCTAAATAATCTATTTGTTTTAAATCATTGGTAGAAATTCAAATACATTTCGATTTATATTTTCAAACAGGTTTTCTGTCAGATTGATTTCCGATTAGATATACTGCAATTACAGCTAGACACTCTTTGATCTGCATGGCCATGATCACGATCGCTCACACAAGTCTGCAGAGTGTCTTATTAATTAGATGTAATGCAAATGCTAGATAAACTCTTCAAACAATTTCTATTCTGATAATCGATTGCACTTACCAAAAAATTTAAAAAGTTGACATCGTTACTTCAAAGTTTAGCGCGTGAATGTCGTTTATGGCTGCATTTAACAATTTGTTCTTAAAATTAGTCGGATTATATGTAACTTATTAATAAAGACTAAATCTGATTATATATGCTAAAAAAATCCTACTTTTCTTATCATTCACCCTTTAAAAAAATTCTAAAATGACAAAAATAACCTATATTCATAAATTTTTGGTATCCAACGAATGTTTAATCTTTATCGAAATTATTACGATCAAGTTAAACAAATTCTATCACCAAAAAACATGGCTGCGCCCATTGTGAAACACAAGAGATTGGAGTATATTTAATGCATTCTCTCTTGTTTTACGTAGACTTATTTGCAAAAAAATGTAAATGTGACATTAGATTGAAAAAAATTTAAGATAGAAATACCATTTTCTCTGTAAATGTACATAGTTAATTGTTATTGAAATACAGCTCTTGCCCAGTGGTTATGGCAAAGGCATTATCCTACTGTAGAATTAGAAAGCAGAAACTTTCAAAGTTATGCAGATTTTGGCAGATATCAAGTTTGCAGACCAAATGTTGTCAAGAAGGTTTGTTTATAGTATGTTTTACGGTGTGACCTTTGGGGCGAGCGCAGTTGTACCATCAAAAACACTTAAAAATATTGATCAGCCACTTCAAACATCAAGCCGCACGAGACATCTCGACTAGCTGTAATGTCTCACGACGTCACGGAGCTCGTCGGAGCTTATGGAGACAGCCGAGCGTCTGGTTGAAACTATAGACTTAGTGCAATTTTGGTTGAAAAACATTGCAGAGTTATTTTTTGTTTCTATGAAAGATTTCTACAAACTGCATGAAAGCCTTTTGTGCTTTACGTTATTATTTATTTATTTGCACAAAGGACATTGGGTAGTAAAGGAATTCTGGGAATGTTTCACAGAGAAATTTGCCTGACGTATGTACAGATTTCATTCCGAATTTTCTTTGTTCTTACACGTTAGTCTACTGCGCTCGCTATAATAATGGTATAATTGTTAAATACTTTGTGTCTTGTATTAATGTGTCTTAATTGTATTTTGCAAATTTGCAGGCAAATTAACGCATGAATGGCACAGTATGCTAAGCTGCTAAGCACAGAATTCCTATATACAGTCACACTGATTATGAATATGACAAAAAATGGGGATAAAATGATTATCTTCTATCATAACAATTTTACATTAAAGCAACATCCAGTTTCATTTTCTGGTAGCTAAGGATTAAAATTAATTCTAAAATTACAAACCTGTATAAATTTCTAAGCTAATCTTTAAGCAGTGTTTGACAAGAAATGATTTTGAGATGATTTTTAATGCTTTTCCTCTCCAATCTCTGCCCTAAAGAATGTTTTCAAATGAACACGCTGGATTTTTATGTGCAAGTGCACGAGCAAATAAACAGCAAATTTGGCTTGTTTTAAAGATACAATATAATAATTATTTTATTTTATTTTGAAAGACAGATAAAAGTAGGTTGAAGTAGCTACTTCAGGTAGGTTTGAATACCAAGGTAGTAGGGCTGGCCCAGTTCCATAATCTTTCATGTTGGGTCGATTCTAAATTTTAAGGATCAATTTCAGGTTTTTTGGTTCTGGTAATCAGTAGATTGAATAGAATAAACACTCATGATTTGAATGATAATCAACAATAATTTTTGATTTTTTTAATCTAACAAACAACAACATAATGAGTAGTTTAAAGTAGTTTCCTGACTAGAAAAATAATTGAATCAAATGATTCAAATCACATATTAATAATATTTCCACACTAACGAACCTTTCATTTTAGATACCATTTTATGGTAAAACCAACTATATTGTACGAATCGGAAACAAACTGAATTCTGGAAAAACAGAACTTAACCGGACCTGAATTAATTGTTTCGGTCTCAGCCATTTCAGTTACCCTTGACAGCCCTACTAGGTAGCTTTTTATAGGTCGAAAAAGTCTTTGGACTGGACCTGTCTACAGTACATGGCCAGGTCCAAAACATTATCTTGATTTAGCCAAATAGCAGTACAGCAGAAATGGAAAACAACCTATTTTTGGTGCATTGTGAATACTGAAATTTCCTGCAGAGTTAATTTTATTGAATTAATGTGCAGCAGTCCAAATTATCTCTGTGTCCAAGTGTTGTCATAGGAGTTCACAATGCAAGTTTGAGATGCTCACTATTAATGATCTTATAATTGACTGTTATTTTCAATGAAATTTCTTATGTTATTTGGTAAACATTCAAACTGCAGATTTTTTTTTTTTTACACTAACAGTTGTCTGAAGAGCCAAAGCATTCTTAGTGTACCTCATTGTCTGCATAAAGTCTTAAAAACATTAATGCAAACTATAAAAGTGTAACAATTTTGTAATTTTATCTTACAGGCAGTCTTCCAGACTTTGGGAGCAGTGTCCTGTCTGATATTTCACAGATTGACCCAGATTTAGATGTTGGAGGGAGACTTTCAAATCCACTGGAACTTCAGAAAAACATACAGTCAAGGAAATTACAGAACATTAGCATTCAAAGACTGGTAAATACTCACCTGAGCTAGAGACTCAAAAGAGCTATAATTGTCTGTCAAGCTGTATTGAAAAAGATTTTATTTTCAGGCAATAAAGTACAATAGAATGATGAAGTTATTGGAAGAGAAACAAGATCTGGATTACAGGAGGAAGACTATTTCTATGACAATACAAAATATGATGAAAGACAAGGTACTGTATGTGTACTTAAAATAGCGGGCTTCATATTTTATTGGCTTTTGCACAGACAAGGATGCGCTAATTCATGAATGTCACTAAGCATTCATTTATAAATACAATATATGACACGAACATATGTAGCACTAATTCATGATTATGCCAACAACTCCATATCTATTGATTACGCTAAATTTTGAATACACCAAATTATGTACATGTACAGTATATATGATATAAAGAGGTCAATATATGTATACACATGTACCCTTCATGTTTTATGATAATTCAGTGCATCTTCCTGAATTTTCATGAGAACTACATGTATAACTGCAATGAGTAGAAATCATATTTCTTCATTAATAACTTTCAAGGCTATAAATTGTTACTGTGGTATGTATACATGCTTGTAGAGTACCATAGGTTCACTTCAGTTCCGATTATGCTTGCTGGTTCCTGTGGAGCATTTTAAAAAACTTACTTATTATAAAGGAGATAAAATTGTTGATGTTGTTATGTGGTAGTTTGTGCCAGGTCCTCTTGATATGTTGTTATATATGTTTGTTTTTTTTATCTAGAAAGAAGAAGAAGAAATTACAAGAGTGAAGGAAACAGCAAGAGGTCTGAGAGATAGATATGATACTGCAGTGGTAAGTGGTAAAAAACTCTTAATTCTGATAGTCTCAGAAGTTACTTACAAAAGTTTTTACCATTGCACTTTCATAAAACAGGGAAAAAAAATGAAGTTTTGTAATAATGGAGCAATTCTCTGATTGGCGTTATTTCCCCAGAAGTTGTTTCTGTCTCACCTGTGTTTACATGGCAACCAAACCCCCCTCCTCAACGAAAGAGTGCACCAAGGGAGATAATCTTGAAACTTGCATATTCTACTCATATGATATTTTCATACTTAGCATCCTTCCTTGTTTAAAAAAAATGTTTGGAACTAAGTCTTTAGAGATAGCAACTGTGGTATAACTTTTCACATTTCATTGTCACCTTTTTCTTCATTTCATCTATCAAGGGTCAGTAAGGGACAATTAAATAAAGAATGACTGTTTTGGATATGATTAACTCTGTTGAATGATTTTATCATTGTGAGTAATGTACTTATTATTTTGTTTTGTTTTTTGTTTTGTCAGAAATCCTTACAAGATATCCAACATGAAGTGAACCTTTTGGCTTTTGGACTTCCAAACACACTGAACCAGGAAACTGTATGTATATAAATCAGTGTCAGTGAAATGCTTGTCACATGAGATTAATAAAACAAGTACATGTACCTATGTGCCTTAAAACCTATATGATTTTTTTAGCCTGTGGATAATGAAGTTGTTCTAGAGACATCTGGATCTCCTGGTAAGTTTATACATTGTTCAGATTGTGTATATATGTAGTATGATTTTTTCATTGATCTACGTAACTATTTTTTGAATGGCTCTTTGTGAACACTTTTAAGAAAAATCATTATGGAGGCTATATTTCTTCAGAAATGCTGAATGATAGAGGTATGATGTCTCACATAGATCTTGCTGAAAAAACTGATATGATAAAATTCAGGTAAGAGGCTTTTATTTGTTTTAACCAATACATTGCTACTGTTATTCAAAAATTTTGAAAGGTGAACAATATCTCTCTCTCTCTCTTTCTCTGCAATAAGTGTCATGTATGTGTGCCAAATCTAAAAAGTTTAACACATGTATGTTCATGTATGCTGCAGCTCAGTTGGAAATAGAGCCTTTTACTTTGTCGGGGAACTAGCCGAAGTTCAACAAAACCTGCTATCATACTTCTCCACGATGGCTGCTGAACAAGGATTCATTTTAATGACAGCACCAGATTTCTGCAAAGACTTTGTTACTGTAAGGATGTTAATTTTGTGGAATAAGTCTTATTTAGTTAACCCTTTCATTAAAATTACTGTAAATAATAATAAAACTAGGTTTTTGTTTCCTTTCAGGAAGGCTGTGGGATACGGAGAGACTTGGTAATTGTCATTATACACTATATTACTTTCAATTTCTCATATTAACCAGCAACTACATTTGGGAAAAATGTATTGAGAAGATTAGAAAGCATAAACAATTGAAATTTTAGAATTATATTGAGAGGAGAAGATGAAAATGCATTTTAAGGGAAATAACTCTTTTACATCTCTATCCTTGTTAATATTGAACATATTTTCTCATGAACTCTTATCTTCTAAACAGAATAAGATAAAGAATTGCATGTATACAAATGTTACTTAAAAAATTTATTGTTTATATTGTTTTATATAATCTTTTTACTCGTAGATATATAAATTACAACAGCCCTATGTTGATAAAGGCGTACAGTATAGTGTTATGGGTGCTTCTGAAGCATCATTTGCAGGTACATAGAAATTAATTTATCAATACATGGAGTGAATTAAAAGATAAAACTTAAAACAATGTTTAATCATCTATCACATGTATATGTGTAATTTTATTTTGTCTGTAGCATATTTAACAAAGGTGAACATTACCAAGAAAGCCCTTCCTCTACAGTTAGTGTCTACTGGTCCATGTTACAACTCAGGTAAATTCATATAAGACGACTGTTATACCGTGCAAGACAATTAATTACATGTAAATGAAACATATAACTTTTGAATTAGGACTGGTGTCTGTGCTTTTAAAAATGTAATGTTACATCATGTAGTTAAAAAGTGTTTTTGAAATATTGGGGCTTCATTTCATTTCAGTCAAATCTGTAATAGTCTCTACAGGATAGATCATCTTAATTTTTTGCTCACCACAGTCCTTTGAAAATAATTTTCTGGGATTTCTTGGTTTCAGTATGTGACTCAGAATATCCAGGATTATTTTCTGCAACACAAACCTCAAAAGTAAGTAAAAAAAAATATTAAGTTTTAAATATGCCTCTCATTCTCTTATACAAGTACTCAGTAATTTTGAATGAAAATCCTGAATAAGTACCGTATTAATACTTATTTTATATGTAGAATTAGGTTGTACAGATGTATGTAGTGTGCATGTAAAAAAAAAAGGACGCAGATCTTTAAATAAATTGGTATATAGTTGCTTTCTTTTTATTTACAGACTAATTTGTTAGGAGTCTACTCCATGCTGCAAGAGTGCTATGTCAAATTTAAAGAACTACAACAACTTTTATTACATGTGTATAGGAACTTCAATGTACCAATCAGGTTAGTTTTTTTTTTTTTAAAGAACCATTTTTGAAGTTTTTTTTTTGAAGAAATACAGTGTATGTGTACTTGAAAGTGAAATTTGACAGACTCTATAGTATCACATACTGGTACATTAAAATTAATGCTCTTTAAATGTCAACTGTCTTGTTCTTTCATCTTATATTCTTAAAGATAAACATTTTCAATGTTATGTACTAGTATACTAAATCTTGGATCATGGAGCAATTTGATCAATAATTTTGTTATGAATGTACAAATCTAAAAACATCAGAAATGTAATCACTTGACTAAAAATTCTGTTGGTTTCAGATTAGTATTAGTTCCTGCTCATAAGCTGAAGTTGTCAGAGGAAATCAGGGCAGAATTACAGATATGGACACCAATCCTGCAAGATTACTTACCAGTAAATGTCCTTATGTTCGAATTGTTTGAACACAAATAATTTTGTTCAAAATATGTATCTAAGTGCATGCATTGTGTAAGGTTCTATCTGAGTACCTGTTACAATGGCTTGAGTGCACTTTTTTCATAATTACCAGGATAATATAAATTCATAAGAATGCACAGATTATAAGGACAGTATTTATTTATGATTGTGGTATATGTAATTATTCTATGATCTACAGATGTGCTGAATATTCTTTATGCTGAACTTAAAAAGATCCACACATTCTTTGTTTGCACCATCTTCGCTAGCCAAGGGTTTCTGATACGCTACTCTCCTCATAAACCCTTGGCCTACGGTGTTCATAAAAATTGGGATTTTTTTCCAGAGTTCTGATTGGATTTCAGTACACACCTGTCGACCAATCATCAATTGTTTTTTGTAAATGACGATATTTGCGTTCGGGATACTTCTTGACTCTTTAATCTTGGAATTGAAAAATGCAAGTAAACAATCCGTAAGATTACATGCAATTCTATGAATAGCTATGGTGTCATCCATTATCTTCTAAATATGTGATTAAGAATCTATATTGAAGCTTCCAATTTGTACTATAAATAATAAATAAACATTACTCAATTATTGCTTCTAAATTATTCTTGAAAAAACTTTAATTTAATTTTTTTAACATGCGTCTTTATTTCTTTCGATGACACAATCTGTGCATACCTGATAGATTCAAGATCACGTGACGAAAACAATCCCGTCTTTTGACTTCACCGTATGCCAAGGGTTTATGAGGAGAGTAGCGTATCAGAAACCCTTGGCTAGCGAAGATGTGTTTGCACTGTAAAACAAAAAAGTAAGGGCGAAAGCTTTGTTGTGAGGTCAGATTTATGTGAGTGTGCATCACTCCTGTTTCTGAATTCATCACTAGTATTTAATACTGTATGTGTACATAATTTGGCATATTCAAAATTTTGTGCAATCACTGGTATGGTGTAATCATAAATTAGTACTACACATGTCCATTCAGTGTTTTGTATTGTAAATGATTTCTTAGCAGTATTCTTAAATTAGAGCATTGTTGTCTGCACCAAAGCCACTAAAATATGAAGCCCACTTTTTAAGGTACACATATACTAATCTGTTCTTGTATGAGGCATTGATGAGAAGTAAGTTTCTGTACCATTTATTATTTTAATGCTCCTACCATAAACTGAATGTAAACAACAATATTGTTTGTAATAGGTGGCATCAGTATCTGTATTAGGAGACTTCATAAGTAGAAGACTTGCCATCAGACCTGTAGGTAACAAGGAATTTGAGGCAACTAAACTTCAAATAGTGAGTAAGATTGTACAACACATTCAAAGGAACGACTGTAAAGTGTTCTTATGTAATAAAGGAATCAATTTCAAAAACAACTTATTACCTTTGAAGAGACTTACTTGACTAAAATAGATACTTTTTTGTGCATTATATGTTGAGTATAATCTGTATTCAGTTTACATGTGTTTTTAAAAACAATCTTTTTTTTATTGCAGAAAAGCTTATCAGTACAGGTTATGCATTTGATTATTTTTATCCAGGCTTATTCGATCTTGTTTTTGATTTTTTAGGTCTATGCTGAGGTTCTGGATACAACAAGATTGATTGCCATTCTTGTGGAATATGGATCTTTAGATAAGGATACTGTAAGGAGAAATATTGTAAATCAAATGTTTGTGGGGTCATATTTTCGTGCTTTGAGGAAATATATTGGATTGTTGGGATTTAAATTTGATGTATTTGAGGCAGTGTAAAGTTGAATTTTTTAAAATTTTAAATATTATTATACAAATATTGACTGGGATTGAGGGCAACATTGATTATGTTAGCCCCCGAGGAACGAAATATTGCCTGACGCGAAGCGGAGGGCAATATTTTCGTTCCGAGGGGGCTAACATAATCAATGTTGCCCGAAAACACAGTTAATAACTGTTTTGTTATATGAAATACAGTACAGAATTAATTTTTTTTTTATTGTGAAGAAACATGGCAAAATGAGACGTAAACAAAATAGTCCGTTTACTTTTATGAAAAAAGTGTAAATTTTTGAGGTAGCAATTAATGTCTGTCTACTCAATCCTAACTGTAATTGTAGTTTATTGTAATTCTCTTCCTGAGTTCCGCATAAAATTTCCTTAATACTGAATTTAATTTCTCGTTAGAATCGCTTTCCAAATCTTCCAAGGAAATGTTAGTTGCTTTATCTTCCAAGTAGTCCCGGATGACTTTCATGGACAAAGATATTAAATTTGATGTGATCTTGTTATTCCTATTATCCAGAAGTTGGTCAATCTCCGCGTCCGAGGTGTCCTCAAATCTAGCCATTTTTACCTGTTTGTATATTTGACTTCAACGATGAGCCTATTGTGATGTCACATTGTTTTTGGAGTTGTGAAGGTTTAATTACGTCACTTTTTAGAAATCTTCCAATAAAATGAATTTAACAGAAAAGGTGGGAAAATTCTCTATGCATTATTCCTAGTCAGTCAATGGTAAAAAAAATATTGACGGTCAATATTTTTCGAGTGGACTAATATTTCAGTTATCTACTATTCGTCTATATAGAGTTATGTAGTGAGAATATCTTACTGAATATAACAAATTCATTCAATTTTGTGGACAAGAGTTTGTGGGTCTCATGATGCCATGAAAAAAAAAAACAAATATTGAAACCCTACAAAATTAGTGATCATACTGTATATGTTCTTGATTATTTTTTGTTCGAAACTCATCTTATTCAATATTGATTGGAATAACTCTTCTAGTGTGTAATATATTTTTAACTGAATTTATTCTGCAACCCATGTTTTAAAAATACTGTAGAGCTTTCATATTTTGAAACTCATCTTATTCAATATTGATTGGAATAACTCTTCTAGTGTGTAATATATTTTTAACTGAATTTATTCTGCAACGCATGTTTTAAAAATACTGTAGAGCTTTCATATTTTTTATTTTTATAAATTAAAAAAAAATTGTTTGTATAATTGTTTTATAAATATTTTCCTCCTTTGTAGGGAACCTACCAGATGATGAAGTTAAACTTCTTAAGCCAAGGAAATAGTAAACAAAAGAACTTTTGAAATAATGCACATGTACATGTTTTTGAAAAGGAAACAATTGATTTCATTGATTTCTAATTTCTTATTTTATTATAAGCAGTGGAATCTGTTTCATCATTGTTTAATGAAAATCATTGTTAAACATGAATCGATACAAATTTTAGAATTTATCCTTTATTTGGTCCTTTTGTTGTATATATTCTCCCCTGTTTTCATTGTACAGACAAACACGAAGGCAAATAAAATTTCATATTACGTAATATAATTATGTAGCTTCATATAAATTGATAGCTGATCAGGTGGAAAAAGTGTTCAATAAGCAGAAAATGTGATCCATTGTGGAACCATAGGTAAACACAGTTTATTAGCTAAAAGAATTTGGAAAAGTTAAGCAGAGAACTTTTATGATTTTAGTGGAATCTAGAGAAGAATCCAGGAGCTCTCCTCTTTCCCACTTTGACATTCTTCTACAAAATGGAAAACAAAGTTATTTTAATTACTAGATGGGTATTTCATATGATTTGTCAGCTCATCTGATAGAAATATTTATTTACTTACATTTCTGTGCAAGAACTTGATATGCAAATTCCATTTGTTTGCTTTCTGGCATATTTGCAAAAAACAAATTATACATCATACTGTTCTATGCAAGGAGATTTTACGTTTTTTCATGTTTAGAGAATGACCTTATACGGTATAATAGAACGACATATAAATGTGATTGACGGGGAATTTTTATATTTTTGAGATATTTTACACTCTTACAATTTTTTGTAATTAAAAAAAAAGGGGGAGGGGTATCAATCCATACTTCAGGCACCTGTGCTATGGACCTTAAAACCTTGTTCTGTTCTATGTGTAAGAGAATATGCATAATTTTTGTGCAACTGAATATTGGAAAACACATTTAAATAATTGTGTTTAATATTTAGAGCATTAAAAATAGAAAAAAGACATTAGTAGTGAATTATTAGGGTCAGGGGCTCTAGTGCTAGTGTGGGAGCTCAGTGAAAATGCATAAATTCTTTGAAATTCTTCTTCTTTGCTTCTGGGTATTTAATAAATCAACCAAGTACATAGTTATGTTGAATAAGGCTGCCTCTTCCAAAATTGTGAATTTCATGGCCCCAGGGTCAGGGGTTCTGGTGCTAGGATGGGTCTCTTTTGATTACTGTAGAAGTACTTTTTTCCGCATGGTATTAATTTACGCTATGTACGCGGTCACAAACATTCCGCGGAAATTTGTCCAAGCGTACTTAATATAAATGTAAGATATAAAGTGACAATCTAGAAAATCCGCGTAATTTTCTACCCTTGGATTAAACAGAAATTGAGATTCCGCGGAATTATGACCCCGTGGAAAAAAGTACGTCTACAGTATATCATGAAAATGCATGAATTCTTTGAAAATTTCCTTCTCTACTTTTGGGTATTAAACAAACTTACCAAGTACATAGATGATAGTTATGATGAGCAAGTGTCTCTTCCATGATTGTGAATTTCATGGCCCCAGGTTTGGGGGTGCTTGTGTTTGGTTGGGGCTCTATTGATAATATATAGTGAAAATACATTAGTTCTTTGAAAATCTTCTTCTCTGCACCTGGGAATTAAACAAAGTACATAATTACAATGAGCGAGAATATCTCTTTCAATATTGTAAATTCTGTGGCCCCTGGGTCAGGGGTTCTGGTGTTGGAGCGGGGCTCTATTGATGATATAGAGAAAATACATTAATTCTTTTAATTAAAATCTTCTTCTCTCCTCCTGGGTATTAAATAAATTAACCAAGTTTATGTTTAATAAAACTGCCTCTTCCAAAATTGTGAATTTCATGGTCCCAGGGTCAAGGTTTCTGGTGCTAGGGTGGGGCTTTATTGATTTATTATAGTGAAAATGCATAATTATTTAAAAATCTTCTCCTTTCCTCCTGGGTAATAAACCAATGAATTATACATAGTTATAATTTAGAAGAATGCCTCTTCCAAAATTGTGAATTTCAGGGCCCCTGGGCCAGGGGTTTTGGTGTTAGTGTGGGACTCGAATGATTAATGATATAGTGAAAATGCATGCATGAATTCTTTGAAAAGCTTTTCCTTTGCTTCTGGGTATTATGTCAAAGATCTGATACATATTCATGATGAAGAAAGGTGTCTCTTCCAAAATGAGTAATTTCAGGGCCCCTGGGTCAGGGGCAGGCTACATATTCTGAAAATAAATTAATGCTTTGAAATCTGCTCTTTGTTATTAATCAACCATTTCTTATGAAATAAAATTAATGATAAAATTTCCATTTTTTTAAAACCCCTTCCCCGCAGTCATGCATTTTAATGCATATACCATTTCCTACTCATGACGCAAAATCACACATATACCGTTTCTCTGCAATCATGCATTTTCACACACTTTTAAAAGTTCATTTAATCTTCAGTTTATTGCCAAATTCCTTCTATTTTATACTTGCTTAAACTCATAAAATAAGAAAAGTTATTTTCTTATTAACATATTTATTACGTCATATTAATATTATTTACGCTAAACTTTACAGAAACTTTTACCAGGCTATAATGTGCTTGCGGGGAAACGGTAACGTCATATTTCTATGACGTGACATTAAGTGTATGTTGTATAATAATTCATTAAGTTGTAAAGAGTTATATATGTGGACCCTAAGGTCAGTAAGGGTTAGTAGTTCCTGTGGAGTGGGGTGGGGTGGTTCAAAATTGTGAATTTCATGGCCTATGGTTTAAAACATGAACCAAATTCAATTGTTGGAAAGTTAATATTATGTGATCCTCAGGTGACCTATTAGGCCTGTGAGCCTCTTGTTCTAGATAAGAAGAAATTTTAAAGATTTTTCCTATATATTCATATGTAAATCTTTGACCTTTGTGGTCCCACCCTACCCCCGGGGGTCATGATTTGAATAAATTTGAATCTACACCACAGGAGGATTCTTTCATATAAATATGACCAATCCACAGGTTCCTGATGTTACTTATTTTTCTTTTAATAAAACTAGAGGTACTGTGAGCAATGAGCTCAATAAATGATACCCTTTGCCTCCCATATGAATATAATGGGAGTGTCAATGTTTTGTTGTGGAAAACCAAAAATACGTGTTAGATCAAAAAGTAGAATACGAGGTGTACAATGGCAATATGTAATAAAGATTCTATGAAAGTTTCATCAAATTTCATTCAGTGGTGTGAGAGGAGTTGCGGATAAGAGATGGGTACCCCAAAGCGTAACAGACAGACAGATGGACGGATATACAGACAGACGGACGGACATAATGATTACTATATACCCTCCCGCTTTTCAAGTGGGGCGTATAAAAATATATCCCCTACCTAATAAAAAACTACTAGTTTGGGGGTATATTTTTTATTAAAAGAAAAATAAGTAAATTGTCAGGTGCCTTTGGACCAATCATCTATAGCTTTGCTTTTCTATAGAAGAACATTTTACCATACCCTATTCTTTGATCCATCATTGTAGCTCCACCCTACCCCAGGGGGCCATGATTTGAACAAACTTGAATACACACCATCTGAGGATGCTTGCATATAAATATGACCAATCATGGCCATGCTGGCTTTGCTACGGTGAGGATGCTTCCACATGAGTTTCAACTTTCCTGGTCTTGTTGTCCTTGAGAAGAAGTTTTTTTGAAAAATGCCATTAATTTTTGAATAATTATCTCCCTTTGGGAGAGGGCGTACGTGGCCCTTCATTTCAATCGGTTTAGTGTGCGTAATCAGCAATCCTTGGCTGACTCCGCTATGCTCCATTCGTTTTAGCAATTGGAGATCCTCATGTGGCTCGTACCTCGCACACTATTGTGAATGGAGCGTAGCGGAGTCAGCGGAGGATTGCCGATTGATTGGTTAGTGTGCGAGGCACTAGCCACCCGAGAAGCTCCAAGTGCCTTCATTTGAATTCCCATCACCCAAAGATACTTATTTGTGGCAAATTTGATTAAAGTGGGCCCAGTGGTTCTTGAGAAGAAGATGAAAATGTGAAAAGTTTACAATAACAACGATGACGACAGACAATGGATGAAGAGCTCGGTTCACTTTATGCATAAAATGGCACTGTAGATATACCAGTTCATTGATTGGATGTTCCATTTGAAGCATTAATTAAGATAAAACAGACCTAGTGCTTTCATTTCCTCTTAAAAATTTTTGCCTATAAGTCCAGGTCATGGAGAACTGGCTTTATGAATATATGCAGTATTGTTGAATTTCAAGGTAAACAGGTACAATTTGAGTACTTTTTGTGAAGAAAAATAATATGAGCGCACACTCGATCTGATCTATAAAAATACAACATGCCTTTTAATCCTCAGAAACAGTTCTATCAACATTTACTAGTTGCATAATTTAGATCAGAAGTTGCGGTCTATAATATATTATGTATTGACAAATAGCTTTAATTAAAAATTGGCTGTTTTTGTAGACTTTTTCAGAGTATGAGGAAATTTACGCATTTCATGACGTCATAATGCATTGACTAGTCAGAAAATTACCTCATTTTTGATAGATACGCAATCACCAAAGATCTGGGCCTAAGTGATATTTAATGCATTGTTAACGGCAGTTTCAGTTTTCCAGAAATTCACAGGGCCAAATAGGGCCGTAATTGAACCTTGTTCTTTGATCAGAAAAGCTCACCCTTGGCTCAGGTGAGCTAATTATACAAGACAAATGGAAAAAAATGAATATTGCAGCGTTTAACATGCCATATTTTGAAACTGAATATTTTTTTGTACGTTGTTTCTCGAACGTGCGCCTTTATGCGGATTTTTAAAAGCTCATCTGTTGGTTTTGTACTTAATTTCTTATGATGATTTCCGGTTTTGAATTTTGAAGAAAAGATTGGCTTTGGAAGTTTGGTGACGTTTCTGTTAAAATGGTAATATTTACATACTCTGAATATTATCTCACTTATTTCTTTTTAAAATATCGATTATTTATCAAACTTTAAACGCTACTAACCGTTTTTAAGCTGCCTGGTAATCAAAGTTTGAAATGAGGCAAATTAAATTTACCAACATTGGCAACAAGTAATCTTCAGCACTCTGAAGTTTTGTTGTAAATTAGAAGAAGAAGAAATATTCTCTCAGACTAGACAAAGTTTTTGTCTGATTAGGTATATATACCTTTATTTGATGCTGATAAAGTAAAATTTATATCTGCATCAAAGTGCCCTGTATTAATTCAACAGGTTGGGACCATGCAATCTCGCTTTCGGAATAGAATATAAAATATATATATTATAATAGTTTTTCCTAAACAGGTTATTATGACCTGAAGTATTTGATACGGGATTTGGGGGGGGGAGGGGGGGAGGCCATGCCAACCCACAACCTCCCCCCCCCAGCCGTTTTCCTCATAAAAATTTATATAATTTTAAAACAACATATGCAGTAACAGTGTTCATATATAATTCAATCTTATTTTAAAAAAATTTCTTTTGTTATATAATTTTTTTCAATTGTGTTTTTAAAAATGCGATTTTAATTCGATTTGTAATAACCATTGAACATAATTGAATACAAAACTGAAGTATTTGATAGTTTCTATGGCCGTAGAGAGGCCATGCCAACCCCCCCCCCCCCCCCTCCCCACACACACACACACAAACCAAATAATTTTGCTGGTATATAGAATACTATCAAAACTTCATTTCTCAAAATACAATATTAGAGATTATTAATTTATATAAAACTCCATTTGTAATTGTAAGTTCATTTATATTTTTTGTAAAATTTTGCAGAATTAATAATTCTCTTTGAAATTTTCCGTGTAAAGAGATTTCACTACATTCTTTTTAAAAAGTTTAATATAATTTTCGATATAAAGTTAATTAAAAAGTTATATGAAGAATTAAATTTGGTCTTAAGTCGTAAGTCCTTTTGTAAAACGGGCTCCTGGTTTGTGTTCCATGTACATGCAAGTCATTTATTGGCAATGTAGCTGTAAGTCAGTGCATTTACTTCCAAAAAATCTAGAGAATGCAAACATGGTTGTAATTTTGAAATTATTGAAAAACATTGGAGAAAAAAGATAGATAACAGTAGATAACATTTGTCTAGGTGCATGATCTCCATAATGATTGATTACCTCTTGGATACAAATCAGACCATAATCATTGCCCATAAATATATCTGTATTTATTTTATCTGTAGTTCATTTTTAACAGAGTTTTTCAAATTATTTTGAAATTTTTTATCGAACAGATGTTATGAAGCTAACATAATCATGGAGATTGAGAGCTCTTCTCCACCATCTGAGGAGCAGTCAAGGGGGAGAACATCTTCTTATCCACAAGATGATATTCCTCAGAGACTTTTGCCCGAACCACAAAGGGTTGAGGTACTACATGTTACTTCATAATATGTAATTTGGTATAAATGTATACTAATACGGGGGTTCATTTAAAAAAAGGTAAAGTATTTATGTGTAAAGGAACATTGTACTATGTACTAGTATAACTGTTTGATGCACCTTTCTCAAAATAAAATTTTTCACAAAAAGGAGCATATATTAATAGAAAAAGAAAACATTAAGGAATTTTCCACACACACATATTGTATGAAGTTAACTACTTTAAAATGTAAATGCAATTCTAAGAGCTTATCTTTTATATAGGGAGATGGTTCCCCGATGCCAGGAAACCTACAGGAAACCTTCAGTAGAGCCAGAACAGAAGCAGCTAAACCATTCTCTGTACAGTTTGAGGTGGACATTGTTCAGATCCTGCTATTTGTGGCAGCACTAGCTACAAGGATGTGGATGCTGGGTCATCCCAGAGCTGTGGTGTAGGGGTTACTTTACTTGACAAGATTTTTAAAAAATATTTCATTTAATGCCATTAAAATGAGAAAATGTGGAAGGATTCTAGTATTAATTTAGGTTTATAAAAGAACTGAAGTTGTTCAAGTACATGTATTCTGAAAATATTTTGTCTGTATTAAATCAAATTTTTCATCTACATTAAATTTAATATAATTTTTTCTGCACCTGGATGTAAGATTAAGTCAACATACATTTTGCATTGTATTACTCCATTGTAGATTTGATGAATTACATTTTGCCAAGTTTGCATCCTTGTATATGAAGAGGATATTTTTCTTTGATGTCCATCCACCCTTAGGCAAACTCTTGTTAGCATTAGCAGGTTTGTTGTAAACTGAGTACATTTTTTATAGTAGGCTTTAACACATTGTAGATGTAGAGATCTATAAATGATACATTTAAGGAGGCTAAGGGGTCCACAAATTATTTTTTTTATTAACCACCAGATATAAGTTATTTTTTTTTTTAGATATGATATTTTAAGCTGTCAACTATCATTTGGCAAAGAAAAATTAATAAATTTTAGTTTTAAAATTTGATCATTTTATTATATCTTTATATGGAGCTCTTCTTCTAAAGGAGATCAAAATAGTCTGAAAATGGCCACAACCACCCAGCCCCTTTAAACATGCACAAGTATGATATAAATGTACAGTATACATGATTCTTCTGTTTTTCAGGAGGGTTCAGTGGTTTGGGAGATAATGCAGATTTTGATCATATTGGAGCAGGTAAAATATTTTATTTAGCAGAGAGGACATACATTTTTTAAAGCTGTGTATTCTTGAATCTCTAACAGTATTGCAGTTAACTGTTTATTGTATTGTAGGTTATTCCCCCTCATTTCCCGTGTACACAATGAAATTTACTAACATTTTGGCCGTGATGGGGATTTTGTTCCACTTGTGTATCAGCACCAGTATATAAAACTCTCTAGATGGGCTGCCCTGCTGGCAGGGTTTTGTATAGTTTTTGGTAGGAAGCTAGTACATGTACCCCCGTTGACAAAACTCTCAAAAGAAGTTTAAAGAAATCTGAATTAATATATTTATAAAGTTTACCTTTAAAGCCTTAGCTCATTTACGTTTGAAATTTTTCTAACATTTTGGTCTTTTGACATTTTGTTTATAAAAGATATACAGTACCAGGTATATAAAACATCAAGATCTTCCACATGACTAGATTTTATGGCAAAATAATTTGTAACAATAAATTTGGAGCAACAAAAGATAATAAGTATTATCTGTAGAAATGAATTAGTGTCTTAATGATATAATTGCTTTTGATTTATTTTGTTGTTATATTTCTTCCAGATAATGCTATATTAGTGCAGTCACGTTTCATGTTGATGGAAGGAATGCTGTTGTTTTTCATGTGCCTATCTCTCTACAGCTATCTAAAGTTTAGGAATCTATCTCACAGGTAGTACATCTATATACATAAAATTTATTTAATATATTTTATAAAATTTCACTCATCAGGTTCTGACTTATTCATTCATCTTATAGGAACAATACATTAATAATGTTTCATTTTCTTTAAAGAGAATTTTCTGTGCAGTGGTTTTTCTGGCTTAGTCTTACTGGAATCTGTTTTGCTTGTGCATTGAGGTATGTTACATGTATCTGTGAATTCAACCAACAAAAATTATACAAAAAGTAGAAACTTTAAGAAGACACATTTATTAAATCAATTACATGTATATATTTCTTTACCAGTGTTTTGTCTTTTCACTATATTTCAGTATAAAGTATGTTGGTTTCTTCACTGCTGTTTTGATATTAATTCATGCAACTAGGGACTACTGGAACATGCTGGCTGATGTTAGCAAATCAGATGTAAGACTTACTGTTAAAAGTGAAATCAAGACTTACTGTTAAAAGTGAAATCAAAAACATATCAAGTGCTGTAAGAAAATGAAATATTTTCTTGTTATTGCTACATGTACTTGTGGAATATGATTGAGACATACATGTATAATTATGAATTTGATAATCAACAGAAGTTGTCTAATGCATATAACCTTTAATGTACTAGTATTTTGAGGAGATTTTCATATCTCTAATGGCTTTGATGAACTCAAATCAATGTTGTCAATTATCCACCTCTTTAACTCCCTAATGATAAATTTTCAATTTTTATACTTTTTATGTCCTGAGTAACTACATGTTTATGCCATGTTATGATACAATGTTCAAATGATCTTGTTGTATAACAGCTGCTGAATGTCTAAGTGAGTGTTGTGTGTCTCCTTTTATCCTGTATTTCAGCTGTGCCTTGTCAAGCACCTGTTAGTCAGAACTCTGCTCCTCCTGACTGTCCCCATCCTCTGTTATATACTGGTCTTCTACGTCCATCTGTCCCTCCTCACCAAGGCTGGGCTACACGACAACATCATGACGAGCGCCTTCCAAGCTAGCTTAGAGGTATATAGATACACATGTATAAATATGTAAAATGAAATAATGTAAATTCTGTTTATTATGATCCTGAGGATTTTAATGAAGATGCTGTTATTGTACTTTGTATAGGATATTGGGAATTTACATGTACAAGTAATATAAGTACTGTGATCCAATTATAACTTTGTTTCACAATGATAATGGATATTTTTGAATTAAAAAGTACAATTTTCTTTTGAAAGTTTTTAAATTAGCAAAACAATGTATGTGTTAAAAGTGTCAAAATATGAAAATGGAGCTCAAATAGATACACATTTTTACATCTTTGATTATTAGGTCACCTGAGTAAACTCAGGTCACCTGAGTAAACTCAGGTGACCTTTTGCTATCTGTTTTTGTCCGTCGTCGTGCGTTGTGCGTTAACATTTCAACATTTTCAGCTTCTTCTCTGCAACCACTGAACCAATTTCAACCAAATTTGGCACAAAGCATCTATGGGTGAAGGGGAACAAAAATTGTGAATTTCATGATCCCTGCCCCCCAGGGGCCTGCGGGGTGGGGCCAAAACCACTAAAATTAATGCAATCTTTAAAAATCTTCTTCTTTACTGCTGACATCAAGCAGTCAAACTGTTTGCATGATTGTAACAGGTTACCAAAATTGTGAAATTCATGACCCTGGGGTCAGGTTTCATTTAGGGCGGGGCTAAATAAGTATATAGTGAAAATGCATTATTTCTTTGAAAATCTTCAAACTTCCTGGTATTAAATAAACTAACTAAGGCATAGTTATGATGAACAAGAGTGCCTCTACCAAAATTGTGAATTTTATGGCCCCAGAGTCAGGGGTTCTGGTGTTAGGGTGGGACAGGTTAAAGTTTTTGGTGCAGGTTAATTGTATAGTGAAAATACATGAATTCTTTGAAAATCTTCTTCTCTGCTCCTAGGTATTAAATAGACTAACTAAGTACATAGTTATGATGAACAAGAGAGCCTCTACCAAAATTGTGAATTTTATGGCCCCATTTTCCAGTTGTGTTGGAACAGGGCTCTAAATTGTATAGTGAAAATACATGAATTCTTTGAAAATCCTCTTCTCTGCTACTAGGTATTAAAGAAACTAACTAAGTACATACATGTAGTTATGATGAACAAGAGTGCCTCTACCAAAGTTGTGAATTTTATGGCCCCAGGGTCAGGGGTTCTGGTGTTGGGACAGGGCTCTATTGATTATATAGTGAAAATACATTAAATCTTTGAAAATTTTCTTCTCTGCTCCTGGGTATTAAGCAGATGAACTACCTATATAGTAGGGATGTCAAAATATTTATTTTCTTTAGTCGAACATTCGATTGCATTATTCGAACGATAGTCGACTATTTGGAGCATTTTTTAAAAATATCATTGATAGCGTTTTTATAAATCAAAAACCCTTTTTGTAAATTTATGTAAAAAGCAACATTAAAGATAAGAAACATTGACATTGGGATAAGAAATAGAAATAAAATAGATTTACACCAGCAATTGATTCTCGCAAAATGTATGAATGTTTTCGTTAATCAAATTCATAAATTGGTCTGTACATTCTTTCGTTCTAGTACGCTTTGAGAATTGCCAGCACAGTGTTTTTTTTTAAGCTTATTTAAAATAAATTGGAAACGGGGAGGAGATTATTGTTTTTATAATTATCGAAGTTTCAAAACTTCACAGCTATGCTGTGTTTCTATAGCATAATCTATATATTCTTAGAGGTAATAAATAAATTTATAATTGGTACAAGTCCAATTTATTTAATAATTTTCAAAGTCCAGTAAAGCGCAGCATAATTTACTACAATAACAAAATAGGTAAGTAATGGAGAAATAATTATCACGGTATGTAATTATTGTTCTCTCCATGTAAACAATGTGGTAACTTTAATTTTTAAATACGGTGACCAATTTTTTATTCGTTGGTCTATTCGTTCAAAGTATCATAATGCTACAATTTTTTATTGAGGACTTTTTAACACCTCCTTTTTTGCATTTATTGAATATTCGAATGTCGTTTCATTATTCGATCGTGGTTAATTGTGTGACTAATCCTTATTTGACATCCCTACTATATAGTTATGATGGGAAAGGCCCCTAATCTTCCAGAATTGTGAATTTCAAGGCCTATGTCCGGGGTACCATAAGGGTGACTTTTATATACTGAAAATGAATGAATTGTTTGAAACCTCTCCTTGGTATTAATCAAATATACTGACACGCAAAAGAAACGCAACAAGTAGTAATCTACAAATGTTTGGTTTTTTTTATTTGTTGATTATCAAAAGTGAATAAAGTAAGGCTAAACTCACTTTTCAGAACATAAAAGATTTGATAAAAATGTTAAATGTTTATCTTTTAACTTTATTAGATAACATATGACTGTTAAAACACCCCCCTCCCAGCCATTCAAGTAAAACGTGCAAGACTGCCCTAAACTACAATTGCAGCTTAATTTCTACAATGTGTGTTCATTAATATCCTGAGCAAAGGTAATTTGGCATTTTTAAATGCCATTGTCAAGCACCTGTTATTTTCTCTAACTTAGAGCAGAGTAGCCACCCTTTGACTTCCGGTACAAGGACTGTCCTTAAAGCATATGGTACACAAGACCCTGTTGAGGCGTAATGTAGTAAAATTTCGCATCAGCAATTCTCCATTACATTTACAGTGAAATTTTCCAGCTAGAGTACTGGAAATGCGTTCATAAGCCATTTTCAAGTAGCCTTAGCATCGTTGCTGGAAACAAAACGAGAGTTTATTTTTTGAAATTTTGCTGCATTACTTATGATGAACAGTAAAAAAACCCTTAAAACTTCATAATATAGCCAAATGTTTTGTTAAACATGCAATTTTGATTTCTGTTAAGCAGACTCAAACTTGACTTCTGGTTATGGTATGGAAATCGTTCAACCGTTAAATTGCCGATGTTTACCCAAATGAAGATATTCATAAGTTTAATTTACAAAATTATTTACTTTACATAATTATTTCCCCCTAAATTAGGGTGTTGCATTTCTTTTGCGTGTCAGTATATTTTTGAAAAGCAAGGATTCCTTTTCAAAAATTATGCAAATTATAAGGGTCAGGGGTTCATGTGTTCACAATGATTATTGCTGAATATTTTTGATTAAAAATGCAATTTTCTACCCTTTGCAAGTTTTTAACTAAGCAACTGCTAAGTATATAGTTATGTGTTAAAAGTGTCAAAATTGTGAATGCCATAGCATCTGGCTTAAAACATGAATCAAATTCAATCACATTTTTAATGCTCAGGTGACCTATAAGGCCCATGGGATTATTTAAAAAGTGTTAAAGATTGTGTGATAATATGCTGTGTCATTGCATGAACATTTCAGGTTTGAGGGGAAAAAAATCATAATAAATATTTCAGTTATTTCTTTTAAATTGCTCAGCTTATTCTTGGAATATATCAAAATGTAATTTTTGACAGGGAGGATTAGCTACCCTTACGAAAGGACAACCCCTGAATGTGGCCTTTGGCTCCCAGATAACCCTGAGACACACCCACTCTCTGTCCCCCGGGAAACCTTGCTGGCTCCACTCTCACGCTCATGTTTACCCAGTCAGGTACCCTGATGGACGGGGCAGCAGTCATCAGCAGCAAGTCACATGTTATGTGTTTAAAGATATCAACAACTGGTGGATCATTAAGGATCCAGATAGGTGGGGATTTTCTGAAGTATTTAAGAGTTATTTCCCTTAGAGTGTGTTGTATTTGGTGCAGTAGAATTAAAGTGGTTTGTTTTGTTTTTTATCAGTAATTTATTGGTTGTGGATGAGCCACCCAAACCTGTCAAACATGGAGATGTGATTCAGCTTGTACATGGTATAACCAGCCGTGCCCTTAATAGGTATCTAGATCATTTAAAATGGATAAAACATAATGTGATTCATGAAATATAGTTATACAATGTGAGGTACATCTAGTATTTGAGAGAATGTGCAGCAGTAGAAAAAATTTTGTTCTTCTGTGTAACAAGCATCAGAACAAAGAATATTTTATTGATACATTTTATGTGTTGCAGACTGGGTTTCTAATATTGAAATTCATGTATTTGGTTTTCAGTCATGATGTGGCAGCTCCTCTCACTCCTCAGAATCAGGAAGTCACCTGTTATATTGACTATAACATCTCAATGCCTGCTCAGAACTTATGGAAAGTTGTAAGTGTAAACTTTTAGATTCCTGTATTGACTCAACAGCACCATGAAAGCATGTAACAAAACCCTCTCTTTCCAGTCTTGAGTACATTATGTGTATATTGTATCAATATGAATTTTTTTCTCTTTGCTATCTGCAAATCTGTTCAAAACTTTTTATTAAAAAAAGGAAACAACTGGTTTTGCAGGAGATAGTGAACAGGAAATCTGATGATGAGACCTGGCAAACCATAAACAGCCATATCCGCTTACATCACGTGGGGACAGGACAGGCCCTGAAGGTAGGAATTCAGGTCATGTACAAATATATTGTAAAGAAAATAAAAAATTCAGAGACTACTCCGTTCCTATGTGGATTATCTCTAGAGGGCATTGCAGCTGTAATTTCATTTTATACATTTGATATTTAGTCAACAGGTAAACAGCTACCAGACTGGGGTTTCTTCCAGTTAGAGGTGACCACAGACAGAGTGACGGACCAACCAGCCACTGTGTGGAATGTGGAGGAACACAGATACACCAAAAGTAGGTCTAAATGTATACCTTTAATAATGTGGTGCTTCAGTCATGGTATACTTCATTTACATTAAACTAAATGTGTCCTAGTGACACAGATGTTAAAATACCTAAATCAAGTGAGGAAGAATTCGTTGAAATTCAGGAATGCAATATGTTTAAATTTTCAAAATTTAAAATTTTGTGAAATTTAAACTATTCTCAGATCATGCATTGGATTTAAAACGATTACATTATTTTGACTTAAATTTTTTTGAGGATGCTCCTCTTTGTGGTGCTCTTGTTAAAATTGAAACAAATATTAGACAAAAATTAAATCCATACTTCATCACCTAACTAATCCGTGAAAATTGTTAAGACTCGTCAAAAAATTAACCATTGGTTTACTTGAACAAATATTAATGTAAGATTTGTATGTAAACTACTGCACTCTATCGCATTACTTAACAAAACAAGCCTTGTTGTTTTAGGTCAGGACAAGGAGAGTCAGACCCGGGACATGGCCCAGTCCGAGATGATCCCCACAGAACCGACCCACCTCTCCTTCTGGACCAAGTTCCTGGAACTTCAGTACAAGATGTTTATGGCTAAAGGAGATGTAGAAATGGAGCACAAGTACAGCTCAGAACCAATACAGTGGCCATTCCTCTCCAAGAATATGGCTTACTGGATGAGTCCCAATAGTAATGTAAGTTAATATTTATAGACCACAGTATAGGCAACAATGAATCAAAGACATACAAGTATACCAATATAATACCTTTTGTAAAATCTTTACTGTGTGAAATTCCAAGCTTTTCTGATCACAGTCAGTTATTATTTTCTTCAAGTTTAGTTACACTCATATATAACTCATTAAAGTGAAGTGAAACCTTTTGAGAAATACAGAGCTATAAATGTATTATTTATTAAATGTTAGATCCTACCAGCATTTGAGGTCAAATTTTTGTTGTGCATTTTTGTGTGGTTAAGGATATTTCAATTAAAATCCCCCCAAAAGATTTATATTCTTTTGAAAAATTGAAAAGAAATTCTTGGAAAATACTACTTGCCTCATTAGCTAGTCCCATTATGAACTGATTTAATAAAATCCATAAAAAATAAGTATTCCTTCAATGTTACAAAGAATTTGTACAGCTCAAAGTAATTTGGAAAAATAGAATAATGAAAAAGTAACTATTTTATTGCTTCACCTTTAGGCCCAGATCCATTTAATTGGGAATCCCATTATCTGGTATTCGGCCTGTCTGTCGGTGGTTGGGTATCTAGGACTGTTTATATTGTATCTAATGAGGAGAAGACGGGACTGCTTTGATCTTAGTGAAGGTAATTTCTTCTTTTTATCAAATAATTCTGCTAATCTATTTAAAATAAGCAGAATGATTTTCTGTAGGCTTATCTCATGATCTCTGTACTTTTAAAGTTAAAATACATTGCTGTGTGTTAAGGATTGCATACTCATTTTATGCCAGACACGCAACAAGGGGCAATTCAGAAAAATGGTGTTCTCTGAAATTTGGTGTAGTTTGAGAACAATTTCTGTCAATGTACATATCTATAATAAGCATTATTTTAAAGAAAATCTTTTGTTTCCTCTTTTTTTTCAGGGGACTGGAGTCACTTTGTGTTTGTGGGAGAACTTTTAGTGGGAGGATATTTCCTGCATTATCTCCCCTTCTTCCTCACAGAGCGCACTTTGTTCCTACACAGTTATATCCCATGTGTAATATATAAAGTTCTGGCAATGGCTGCTCTTATTGATCATCTGTATATCTATATAAACAGGTAGGCTTAGTACAAAATCATTAGTCCTGATACATTAATTCTAATCTGCTTGTTAACTCAAATTACTATTTATCTGAAACATGAATGAAGAAATTTTGTTATATTTTAAAGTGAAGTACTTCACAGTTGATTCCTGGTTTTGGTTATATCCATAAACAGGCAATGAGATTTACATTATCGCTTATATTGACAGTATTTTATAGTCTAACCTCTAGATGCATTTTTTTTTACAGGTTTTCATACATTCCAGCCGTGTTTACAACATTCATACTTGGACTAGTGACCTGTATGTTGTGGGCTTTCTATAAATTGTCACCATTCTCCTATGGAATCACGAGTTTGACGTCTGAGGAGATTGTAGGTTTGATGTGGAGGGACACATGGGATTTCCTCATTTATACCAGTGTGTCCCCACCACCAGAGTAAAGGGGGGGTCAACACCTCCAGAGTAAAGAGGAGGTGTGTCACTACCATCATAGTTAAAGGGGAGGGAGGTAATTCAACAGGATATAAAGGTTGTGTGAAAGTATTATCATATTCTGGTACTGGGTACAATGTGAAGATGTACAATAAGGTTGAAAGAATCTCAAATGTATCTAGTCAATTTTATTCATATCATTCACCAAGATAAAGTCAAATGTCAACAACAAAAAAGGGTATTCTATGCAATTCAGTGTATGTATTTGAACATGGTATGTACTATCATTAAAAAAGGATCAGTATAATAGGATTTGCAGTGAGAAGATGAATCACGCTTATTCTCTCTCTTATATAAAAAAAAAATCATGTTTTGTATGAATTTCTGCCTGTTGTACTTTTATCTTGGTTTTAATAACATGAACAATATTTGCCAAGAATAATATAGGTGTTTTAAATGTGTGAAATTTGTGAAACTAATTCCTTCAGAAATAAATCACTTCAGAGTAAACAGATATAATTTTTACTGTATTATTTACTTGTACATGTACATCAGTGTATCAGTGTGGTTTGAACAATTAAGCTGTAAAGTACCGGTAAAAAAATTGTATGATGTATGGATTATGCATGTAGTAACAACTATCATATGCTGTCAAATTAAATATGAGTATTGTGATAGGCAAACTATGTCTGTTGGATAGAATTGTTTTGGATGTGATGTCTGCAATAATAAAAATACATACCGGATATTACCGGTACATGAATTCTTGTGAAACAAGATAGTGTCTAGATAGCTGCCATATTTATGTAATTTTTTGTAGCTAAAAATGTGATTTTTTAATTTGTCATACAAATTTATTAATTTTTCATTTTGCTATTAAATTGATAAAAAAACTCAATGTGACTTTAAATTTTTGTACAATATACAACCATGCAGTTAGGGAGTAAAGTTACCATCAATTTCATTTTGTTTGGAATGTTTTTGAAAACGTGCTTTGACTTTTTGAGTTTCAACATATCTTTGCAGTTTGTATATTCATATACTTAGTATATTATAAAAAATCACCGCATTGCAACAGTATGTCTTCAAAGCTTACAAATACTAGCTAACCAGTTAAAAAAAAATATGCCCCTTTGTGAATGTTAACTTTGTTTATGCTTTAAAATGGACGTACCAGAATGTTGAATTTGAAAATCAACACAAAAGTAAAGTGCAACTCTCCTGGGATTGATCAAGTGATAAAAACCATTACTTGATTGAAATTCAGTAATGTTCTGATTTCTGTGATATCACTTAATACTGGTATGTAGCAATTTAATGTGGTCCCAGTGCAATCCATTACCAACCTTTGATTAAACTTTACAGTACTTCTAAAAATATGAAAGGCATTACAAATTATTGTGAAGGAAATCAAAATGGATACACTTCTTTGTCAGACAGTAAACTGGAAATCAGTGTTGAATTCTTGATTTGCAATCAGATTGAGAAATAAAACAGATTTACTGGCTTGTAGTTATATACAAGCCTGGACAAAGTGTGAGAAGAATGACAAAGCTATTCTATGACTAGAAGCAAATCTTGCTTGGAAGACAATTTCAATTTATATAGTGAGATAAAAAATTGCCATTAAAGCCTCTTCTCCCATTTGGGTCTAGCTTGAAACTAAATGACTTGTTAAAATAAATGAGAAGGTTTAACCAGGATTATTTGGTAGCCCCAGGGAAAAAGCTAACTCTGACAGCCATCTAAAATGCTTTCAGATGCAGGATAAAAACACAAAAAATGTAAATATAAACTGCAGTTAGAATTTCCAATTGTCATAACATGACAGACAATGAAATCAATATTGCGGTGAAAGAACATGACCCTAACTTATTCCAGACACACCTATCTAGTTATACGAGTCAATGGTATATGTAATGTGTGAAGTCAGGAGATACAGTATCTGTATTGTTTTTGCCAATAAAATTCATTTAAAACGTACGCCCGTCAAAAAATTCAGATATGTTGATTCTAAGATTTCCATGATTTTTTCCATTTTTTAAAAAAATATTTCTTTATCCATCCCCTGTGCTGTAGGTGTGTGACCTTTTGTGTAAAATGCAGCCAAATTAATTTTGAAAAGAAAGGCTGGCCATCAAATGACATAAAACACAAAAAATGTAAATATAGCCTTCCTACATTGAACTCATTAATTAATGTTTAAATGCTGCATTACTCCCTAAATATTAATGGTCTGCACTTTTTATCCTAAAACACTTTTAAAACATATAAAATACTTCATGATTTCTTTTTAGATTTAATGCCAGACAGGTTTTATATTTAACATGGACAGACATAAAATTAGGTTTTAATTAATTAATATTATATAATATCAGATTATTGGTTTAATGAAATCAATATTGCTGTCCATTTGCCCAATACCCAAGGGATAGAACATGTTACCTCCTCACACTAAACTCATTAATTTCTCTCTAATTTGACATGCAACTTTCTGCTATCAAAAGACACACCTATCTAGTTATATTTGTTTAAGTCTGTAAAGTATAATGGATTTAATACTTTTTAATAAGGATACAACTCTAATATTTTTAGGGTTATGAAATTTAAAATTAAAAAAACTTAGTTTTTTAAAAAATTTCGCTAAAATTAAAGGTCACAGTGACCTTGAAATAGGTCGCGACACACCTTCTACCTAAGATGTATACTTTTGCCAAGTTTGATAGCTCTAGGTCTAATAGTTTTCTAGTTATGAGCCAGACAGGATTTTTCCATATTTGGCCATAGCATCTTTATCTGTATTGTTTTTGCCAATAAAATGTGGGGAAAAAACAAAGGAAAAACGTTTTATCATATTTAAATATTTCTTCATGTTGATATGCTATCAATTATACTCATTTAACACTATAAATTTTAACTTTTGAAATCGTTTTTAAACTTTTCAGTTTGAAACCTATATCCCCAAAACTAATACATGTAATTGACATTTTAATTGGCATTTCAGTAGGCCACAATTATAGGGGAAGTTAAAGATTCACTCTTGGTTGTTTAAAATTTTTATTTGATATAAAAAGTATGAAAAATTCTATATATAATGACATGAAATCACAGCAGCATCAAAAGTAAGTATCAACATACAATTGTAGTACAAGACAAATTAAATGAACCTCAGTTTTATAAATCATGAAGTCTTCTTAAATTAATATTAATTAATTGACAACATTGAGAAATCTTAGATACAGTAATTGACTTGCTCATTTTAACATTTGATCACAGTAATATATTGCACACACATTAGATTATAAATAGTGACGTTTTTGAAGTATAATTATGCTGAAGCTCTGTATTCTGATACCCACTTCTTTATAAGGGCCTTTTCTTTGTTTCGTGCAGCTACGACTGAGGATGGGTCGTCTTTGTTCTTGCCCCTGTAGCACAGTAAAAAAAAAAATCAATATGTCAAGCTTTGTTATCATTAGCAGATGAAAAGGGCAGTTATTGGAAACAATAGCAGAAATCGTTTTGCAAATTCTGCAGTGTTTTTTTTCTACAATGTTAAAACACGAAAAATTGTATAATTTACACTGAAATATCTTTTAAGTTTCACAAGCAATTCTGCATGGAAATAATACAATGTACAGTTGAACTTCAGTATCTCCAACACACATGTCTTGAATACCATGAATATGTTGAAGTGATTTGGAAGTCCCAACCACTTACTGTAAACCAACTATTATTCGCGTCATCTTTTATTCGCGATTCTTCAGTTTGAAATTAATCCGCGACGATTGATTATCACGAATAAGGAAACATTTTCTACAAAAACAAAGCAAACTAAATATGGTTCGCGGCGATTAATATTCCGACTCGAAGTAGGTTGCGGAACTCGCGAATATATCTCGCACGCGAATAAAAGTTAATGTACGGTATTCCTTAGGTATCTTGGATCCTCAGTTATTTCAAAGTTTTTTTGAAGTCCCTTTGAGTTTAAGATAACGGGGTTTGAATCTATTTCACTTTTACCACATAAAATGTTTTGTGAAACAACTGTATGACAGCTCATGGCAGCAAAGGTGAGCATCTTTAAAAGTAGCTAAGGTCAAAATCAAAGGTCAAGATCATGAGGTAAAAAAAAAAAAAAAGTTTTCAAAGGTAAATTATCTCTCCTTGGAAGAGGGCATGGCATTTCATTTGAGCAAATATGAATCCCTTCCCCCTACGTTACTTTGTGGCAAGTTTGGTTGAAATTGGCCTTAGTTCTTGAGAAGAAGTTGAAAATGTGAAAACTTTACTGAAAGATGAACAACTGTTACTGTTTATTTATTTTTTTTTTAGTATTTCTTTTATTACCAATACAATTGGATTGATTTGCAATGCAATTCTCATAAACTGCTCAAATTATAGTGTCCATGCACAGAAAAGCAATATGATTACATGATAGTTGCAGAACTAAGTATTATTATTCCAGCTTAATCTTCACTCATTTCAAGAACACACTCTTTATTCTTTGGCAACATTGTCAAGTTTCATCAGGAAATGAAGATGAAATGCTTCCTGCTAAAGTCTGTAATTACGCTATAAAGTTGTGTGTGATTTTTCAAATTGCTTTCAGCTTAAAGTGTCAGTCTGACAGATTTAAATTAAATATTCCACTAGAGTTGTTTTCATTCCCCAGGTTTCATCTGTAGCAGAGGGAACTTAACAATTTCTTGGTCTTGTAGCCTTGTCAGATGACACTTTTTAAGTTTACCAAAATATTCCTCATATTGAATACCGGTACCTAAATATGATGTACATATTAAATTTAATCCAACTCTTTAAAGGACAAGAGAAGCTTAGACCCCTTTTTGGCCCCTGGTTTTGGGTGTCTGGTGGAAAGAACAATGTAAAAGTGAATGATCAAAAACCTGACTGTTCAAAATCAGCACTGATTCAAAGTCCTGTAAGATACCAAGTCACAGGGAAGTCAAAATTATGCCAAGTTCCAAATTTTATCATTTCTATTATTTAATTAATTTATTAATTTTTACCACATTTCAATGCAGCTTTTTTCTTTAAAGTGCATGTTTAAACAATGAATATCTAAGCATACAGAGACCAGGATTATGATATGGAAAACTGAATGTTTACCTCAAATCTAAGTGATGAGCACCTCCCTCAATCAGTATCACCTCTACCGAGGGATTGGGTGGCTTTATGACCTACAAACAGAAAAGTAATGTACCAAATGATGATGGTGATAATAAAATGACAATATTTGTATGCCACATTAAACTTAAATCATAATTATACAAGGACTTTGGTCATAATTACCCCTCCTCGATGCCAAGGGTCAAGGTCACCATTGGAGAAAACTATATTACTGGCTGATTTGATATCTACAATAAGTAAGACATTAAATCAGTAATCATCAAAAGGATTTCAAATTAAAGATCATTTGTCGGCATCTTGTCAATAGCTGTTTGTATGATTGTATGCTCCTTAGTTAGTATTATATGGTCCTTTAAATTTTCACACAGACAGCGCATAATCTAACATTTGTATAGCATATGAGGCATGCACAAAGCATAACATATTTTATCACTGTAAGAAATTTGTTATGCGCTCATGTGTGTTTTATGACTTAATGAAATGCAAAAGGAGAACACTTTTAATTCTTTATTTTAAATCACTTTTAAAAATCATTTTCTCAAAAAGTTTATCTTTGTGAATTTGCATTTGCGTATTGCATAGACACATGAAATGAAAGTAAATCCTGAGAGGAGATATAATTTATATCAACAAGAGCATATGACCATGGAATATGTATATCACATAATTTGTACAAGCAGCCACATTTTGGTATGAGAATCAAAACATTATTGAATTGACATATCTAAAGCAATATACGTAATGTTATTAGCTCATGTGCACCAAATCAAACAGTCTATAAGCTAGTGGAAAAAATATCCCAAGTTCAATGACTCTATCATAAAACATTAATTGTTTGAGAACAACATCATTCAGCAGAATGAAAAATCTATAAATTCTGAATAGGAATTGCTCTTATGTAATAGATTTCCAGAGGAGCCATTCAACTGCTACCTTTTCATAAACAAAAGGCCCATGAACCTCAATGCTCACCTGAGTTACTATTGTACCTAATGTATATCTTTGCTGCACACTGCTATGAGATGTGACTTACTATTGGCTGGTATGTAATCTATATTCCACTGATACAGGAAGTGACTTACTATTGGCCCAGAACTGTGCCTGACTCCACAAATCTCGGGGTGCCACGCCCCACTTTTTCTGACAGTACTGGTTTCTGATGTCATCAGTAAATGGAAGCACAGGAAACATGTCGGTCATATTGTTACTTCCTGCCGGCAGGTGAACCTCCGTACATGCCTGCAATAAGTAAAATTAATCAGAATAGTTATGTAACTACTTCATTATTTAATACTACTCACTGGTACAAATTGTGTCTGGTGTCAATCTTAAAATTTAGATTTTACATAATATTATACATACCATAAATAATTTAAAGAGGACCCAAGACTATACTTTTAAATTATTTAGTAGATTCAAAATCTTTAATGTGTCAAAATCTGTATTAAAACTACAGTTGAACTTTTCTATCTCGAACCCCGATACATGTGTGAGGAATACCATGGCCATGTTGAAGTGAGTTTAAAGTCCCAACAACCTTTTTTTTAAACTGCATTTACTCTTAATATCTTGAACTCTCAATTATCTCAAGTTTTTTGTCCCACTGAATTAGAGATAACAAGGTTTGATTGTATCTTATTAAAAGATGTATTTAATTATCAGCTCTGATAACTCCATAGCTTCACTAATTTGTACTTATATATAAAGGTACCTGGTACTGTGAACAAGCTGACAAAAGTATCACCCAAAATACAAGTTTTTATAGTGCTATGCACCCTACTCTTTATGTGACCTTCAACTTACCAAAATGACAAGGTTAAAAAGGTCATTTTTGTTAAGTATAAACTGATGCCAAACTATAACAGAGAAACAATAGGTCTATTTCTCTCAAGGATAACAAGTATGGCCTGGTTAATGCATAAATGTAAGACCTGGTTAATAATTGTGAGAATTATGAGGTTTCAATTGCTGGTTCTGCACACTACTTTAAGTGAACTTGCCTGAAAATCCCAAGCCATGCTGTCAAATCCCAGTCCACATCCTGTAGGATCAGCACACTCAATAAAATCATTCCAGATGTCAAAACAAGGTTGCTTTGTCCCATTATAAAATATTGCTGAAACAGTCAAAGTTCATAAAATATTAACACTGTATATATAGTTTTTTGTCCTGATGCAATATGTCCAAATACTTGAAAAACACATAAAAAATAAAACCATAGGTTGGCCAATTTCTTTGGCACCATATCTCCTCATACAATAACATTTTTTGGTATATTGTTACTCTAATTTTTTGTTGAAACAGTACAAGGGCCCAAGTAAGTCAACTACTCAAGTTTGATAGTTCTAGTAAGTGTCTTAGCTAGTACCTTAGTGTTGAGATGCAACTATGAAATTCCAAAAGTAGGCCACTGTGACCTACTTTTAAGTTGACACAGTCAGTTGACTTAAGATGCATCAACTGTAAAAATTTGGTGACTTCAAGCTTCTTATTATCCTAAATATTAAGGTATCATCCGGGGTGATGCCTTGAACAATTTTTAATCAATGACGTCGATAATTATCAGGTTGGGGGGAAACGTAAATTCCACTATAATAGTGGTATCTCACTATTATAGTTAAATTACGCTATATTTCCTGCCGTAGATACCCTCAATTTCATCCGATACCATGCGAGGTTTTTGAACCGCAAGTCATGGTGGGTATTAAAATGATCAAAATCTGTCATGCTTGCATGTTTTGAATTTTAATAAATTTTCTACCGTTGCGTTTAATAATGCGAGCACTCTTTTTTTTAACGGAAATTGTATTTTTAACATAGCAACCGATGATTACAGGGTATTTAAGCCTGTTTGAATCTCATTTATTCCTCATTAAAGTGCACAAATTGATGCGTGTTACAATTGTCAACTCGGACTGGAAAGGGTTTATGGAATTAAACAAGAAAAAGATTATTTCTGTCTGCATGGTTACGGGTATGGAACCCGTTATGGTAAACGTAAAGAACCATTATTATCGGTAGCCGCTGCTGTGGCAGATCTTCTTGTGGTTATGTTAGATAGTGCACGTGGGAAATGAGAAGTTATTTTTGTACTAGATCAGTAAGATAATTCTTCATTGATAACATGTAGAAAATCATAAATAAAATTTGCTTTAAACTAAATATTAATTGTTGTTTTATCAGAGAAGCCAAACACTAAAATTTTACTTTATAAGATTTAATAAAGGCAAACAACTTCAACAACATACACAAATATACATATTATGAATTTACTTGCTCGTTGGCAGAATGGGCCATGGCTGCATTAATTAATAAGCTGTTATTAGCTGAACCCTGGGATCAGATGTTCAACTAATCAACAGACAGCTGATGACAAAAATGTTAACTGATTCATAAGCTGAAAGTTTCTAACTGATAAGTGATAATGTTCACTCATTAAATGATACCACAGTTCCTATGGCGATACTGGTGCGAAAATCCTAATAATTTTTCAATTTCATTGTCATTTCTCATCAGGATATTTGATAATTTTGACTATATAAAAAGAGTTTACAAAAGGTACTATATAGATATAAAAGGAAATTATGATTTTCCGGATAGTAATGACGTGGTTCATAGTGCATGATTAAAAGAAATGAAAAACTCTTCAACTAGTAAAAATTAGTTAAAAAAAAACAAAAAAACCTAACGCTTTTTCTCTCAGATTTTAAAGTTAAATCGCTCTTGCCTAAGTGCATAAACACAGAGCATTAATAAATAAGACACGTTTGTGCGGAATTGAAATGACTGTCAATTAATAATTATTTGAACATGTGTTAAAATAAAGTTACAGGCACTCTTGTAAAATATTCCCGACACCAAAGTAAATTGAGTCTTTTTTACTGAAATAAACAATTAACCAGCCGAAATTAAAAATTCGATATGTTTTCTACGATCGTTTTTATAAGTAATTTTTGGATTATTTATTATAAATTGCTTTTATTAAGAGGATATAATCGAGTTTATCAATATACTCTTTTTTATGTTTTCCATATTTGGTCTTTACGTTTACCATAACAAGCCTCCATACCCGTAACCATGCAGACAGAAATAATCTTTTTCTTGTTTAATTCCATAAACCCTTTCCAGTCCGAGTTGACAATTGTAACAAGCATCAATTTGTGCACTTTAATGAGGAATAAATGAGATTCAAACAGGCTTATACCATGTAATTATCGGTTGCTATGTTAAAAATGCAACTTCCATTAAAAAAAGAGTGCTCGCATTTTTAAACGCAACGGTAGAAAATTTATTAAAATTCAAAACATGCAAGCATGACAGTTTTTGATCATTAATTAATACCCACCATGACTTGCGGTTCAAAAACCTCGCATGGTATCGGATGAAATTGTTTCACTATAATAGTGAGATACCACTATTATAGCGGAATTTACGTTTCCCCCCAACCTGATTATAATATCCTTAATGTATCCATTCTTGGTAACCTAGTGATAGGGCAGGTGCTTTGTGATCAGGAGGCTCAGATCCGATTCTTCAAGATTACCTATACATGGCTTCAAACTTAATACATGTTTGATGACTGTTCCTAGCAACCATTGCTTGTTTTAATTTCCCTACCCAGGTTAGTATCTTGCCTTGTTTAAGTGTCACATCCCTATTCATAGTATAAATGGAAGCATTTGGTCAAGGATACTGTGACAAAATTGACCAAAATTGGGCAAAGGGTTCTTGAGTTCATACGTATATGGCTAATATTAAAAAAAAATTATCATGTACACGGTACAAATGACCATAACATTAGCTCTTTCAGTCTTTGGCTCAGAAGAGCAAAAAAATCAAGTATGAAGAAACATTGTCAATTCATTATTTGTTAACAATTAAATCACACTTCAAATATACCTGAAGCCTGGGCTAGTCCATGTAGAACATCAGTAGTGTTCAGAATCAAGCCACAAGCTACCTGAAAAGAAAATATGCAAGAAAATGAAACCTCTGCATAGACTGTGTAAGGATTGGAGTCCTTAGCAAAGGATTCTCAAAATAAGTAGCAATTTCGTCTCATGTTATCTGTGCAAGAGTTAACATCTTTTGTATGGTACATACTACTCTGTTTTATCAAAATTATTTCATAGTCCTTGAAAAATACCTAGTTAGAACTGTGTCAAAGAAAAGGCATGCCACAATATGTTTCTGTTAGTATAAATCTTGAATAACACAGACCTTAATTTGACTAAGTAACCAATAATTCTTGCACTCTTTGAATTAACTGCTCGAGTTAAAAATACGGACAAGTTTCAGGTTAAATGGTGCATCTTTATGATATATAAAGTTTAATTGATATGATGGAAGATGAAAACCAACCTAAAATTCACGATGATCAAGTGCTTTAGTCATGATTACATTTTTTTATGCCTTCATTACCTTTCTTTACGAAGGGTTTCAATAACAACACATTATGAGCTTTTATCATGCCTATAATTAACTTTAACAACTGAATAGATTTTGATACACAGGCTAATAAAACAGACATTAAACTTCCGAAATCAAAGGCAAATTAAATCTATGCTTTAACAATGCTCATCTTTTAGTGAGGAAGAGATTATTCTAGGAGGATAAGTCACAGAGTTCATTTGATATGTTGATACTCCATAATTACCCATAAATCCTCATCATAAGGCCTATAGCAAATCAGTTTTCTATTATCAACTGATAATAACTCATCATATTGTTTTTCATTAAGCTTCGTATGACATTGTGCTACATTAAATTTGGCAGAAAAAGTAAGTCATATATTTTTTTTAGCCAATCAAGTTTCACCATATATATTACGACATATTATATTTTGCCAAGCTAATTTTTGCTTACGTCTGCTGATACTGAAGAGTTACCATTGCCAACAATGCTATGGTGGGAGCAGCTCAAAGGCAAAGATACAAAATTACATGATCATCATTTTTTTTCCTTTTGGTAGTGGATTTGCTTTGTTTAATATTGATATATTTCTGGTAAATATCAAACAATATTCACCACCAAGAGAGACCATTACTGAATGGTACTAAATGGTTTGCAACATTTAGCATTTTTTGCATGAAACTTACAAGAAATCTATAGTATGGTACTAGAGTCCAGGTACATTAAATAAATTGTATTGGTGGCAATGTGTCTCAGGGTCTAAATCTATATCCAAGTATTGTTGAATTTCTATATCTTAAACATTGATATCCTGAATTAGAATAACTATGAAGTGAGCTGAATTTTTTTTAACCTCAATATCTCAAACCCTTTGATTTCTGAAATATTTTCAATCCCATTGAATTTGAGTACTGAGATTAGACTGTAATTATATAAATTGCTTCAATAGCACTGCAGAATCATCAATATTTGTGGGGGGCCAATGTTTGTGTACTGTATTTTGCGGGTCGCCCTTATCCATGAATCTACATTCCCATAAACAATTATTTTGTCAACATATTTATTTATTGTATCTTCTGTATATGATATGAGTTACCTACAATATAACATTCCCGACAAATCAACAAAATTTTGCCTACCCATGAACACCGACCCCCATGAATTAAAATGATTCCACAGTAAGCCATTTGAAAACTAGAACTGTCCAATAGGGACAAATACCCCCCGCTGGGTTTTTCAGAGAAGGTGCCAATTCAAAAATACTTTATGGATCTAGAGGTGTTCGCAATTTACTTACAAAAATTTGCAGTGAAATATAATTGCTCATTATGTTTCTTAATGAATGAAACAAAGGTGCAAACAAATGAAACATCAATACTAATACATTGTAATTCCATTGTAACATTATTTTTTTTACAATATTTATTATATTTATTTATATCTTATATCTTATATCTTATATTTATATCTTATATCTTTATATAACTTCCCACACCAAACTCATTAATTTATCTTTAACTGGATGCATGTCCAGTCATTATTCCCAAGAGATAAATAAAATTACATTATCTTCTGTGCAATGTAAAAAACTGTTTTTTAACACTTGATGATGTTTCTTTTTTTAAAGTTTATTTAATTTTTTTAAAGTTTATTTAATTTTTTTATTTCTGCATTAAAAAAATATATTGCAATTATGTGTTATGTCACTCTGCAAACTGATTGTTGAAAAAAAATCATATTATACAAAATCAAATTAATCTTGATAACTTTATATCAAATTAAATTGAAAATAAAGAGCTGGTCATCCAGTAATGAAGTGCTTTGACAGACAATAAATTACAATTAAGAGAATAAGAGAAGAGAAATCTTTAATTCTTGTGACTGATTCCCAGGAGATTACACATGGTTGATAATAAGATGCCTTAATGTTCAACTTCCCACACCAAACTCATTAATTTATCTTTAACTGGATGCATGTCCAGTCATTATTCCCAAGAGATAAATAAAATTACATTATCTTCTGTGCAATGTAAAAAACTGTTTTTTAACACTTGATGATGTTTCTTTTTTTAAAGTTTATATGAGTAGTTTTAAGCTGTAGTATTTTTGTACAGATATTCTAGATTCTATGTCTCAATTTTAAACCTTATACATGAGCCCAAAATGAACAAGTCAATTAAAATAAAAAATAAAACCTGTAAAATGCAAAAAAAATGAACAAAAAGAGTTGAAAATTCCAATTGCACACCTTCATATGGTGAATAATAAGTGTACAAATTTTCAGATTAATCCTTGCAATAGTTTCTGAGAAACGGTCTGGACAAAACCACAAAATAAAAATGAAAAAACACCTGTAAAATTCAAAATAATAATCGAATCAAGATGAAAATATCAGGTGCACAACTTCATATGGTGAATAATATTTGTACAAATTAACAGACAAATCCTTCCAATAGTTTCTGAGTAATGGTCCGGACAAAATCTCGTCTACAGACAGACAGACAGACAGACAGACGGACAGACGGACAGACGGACATGATGATTCCAATATACCCCCCCTAAACTTCGTTTGCGGGGGGTATAAAAAAAGAAGAAAAAAAAACCCAGGATAAATTTCTTTACATCAAAAATTGATGAAATCTTCTATTTACCTTAGAACTATGTATATATACCTGAATTTATTGATTAAATGAGTTAAAATTTCTGGTATATCTCCTAAATGCTGGTCGATGACTGCTTAATTGTGTGACAGGCACCTTGTCAGAGGGTCCAAACATATAAAACCCCTATCATATCAACAGTATATATTCTCAGAGAATGGGAGGAAATGCATTAGAAGATAAACAGTTCATTTCCTGACAATCGCTCCGCTAAAACCTTCCGATGTACGTTATAAGTATAAATCAATCACAGACAGTGGAGATGGTGACTTTCCACTTCTAATTTGACTCCTGGCGTAATCCGCTGGTTCAAGGGACTAATTAGAATGAATTCAATGTTAAGATGGAAAATTGGAATGTCTTCAAACCAAATGACTTTTGTTAGAAACTGATTAGAAATTTGATTTCCTACAGAATAATGTTTTCTAGTTTTTCTCTATATACCACTGAACAAATTGAATGAAATCTATTTCTTCTGGAAGCAGGCATTGCTTTCATTATCAGAAAACACAAAATTTTCACTTTTTGTCAACTAAATTTATACTTTCTCAAAATGCTTTACTAATATATTGGCAAATGAGCAAAAATCTGTAATTTCTCTTTGAGGCTAGAGATTTGGATGTATACTCATGCATTTCAAAATTGAAAGAATGTGGTTTTTGTCTTAAATACAAAAAGCTGCATGGTTTTTCTGTAATAATGCCGCTATGTCCTGAACATTTGAGCTTCATTATAGAAAAAATCTTACTCATTCATGTCAGAGCTGATAAAGGTCCACAAAGAATAACAATGGATGATGATCTGTTTGAAAATCAAAGTAAAATCCTATTGTCCTTTGGAACTACCTGATAACACGCAATTTCAGATCTCTCTACATGCAAATGTCATTCACCTTAAGCTAAGCTTCATTTAAACGAAGCATGCACTTTTATTCAAATGGAAATATTCGCATTTTCTAGGACTGTGAAAAAATACGATAGATAGTGTGCAGCCTAAGGAGATACATTTATCAACATGCAATCATTATTTAAAGATTTTTATGAAAAATTTATCAAAGATAATGGGGTATATTGTTTTGGCTCTGTCCATCCATCAGAAAAATTTATCAAAGATAATGGGGTATATTGTTTTGGCTCTGTCCATCCATCTGTCTGTCTGTTTGCAAAAACTTTAACCTTGCCCATAACTTTTGAGTGGGTGAGGCTATGGCTTTCACATTTCACAGGTGTATTCCTTGTGACAAAACCTTTCTTTGGATACCAATAAACTTGACCTCTTGACCTTGGAGTTTGACCCACTTTATTTTGCAAAAAATTACCAAACTTTAATTATGGCCATAATTTTTGAACAGTTGATGCTAGCTGGGTTTCATATTTCAAATGTATATTCATTTTGACAGAAACTTTCAATGGGTATTAATGTTTTTGAGCTTTGGCTGACTTAAGAGTTTGACCCACTTTTTAAAAATTTTGTAACCTTGGCCAAATCTGTTGAACACTTAATACTAGGCTTTATGTTTTACAGGTGTATTCCTGTGACAAGACCTTCTGTTGGAAACCAACGATTTTAACCTTTTGATCTTGACCTTGGGAGTCTGACCTACTTTTGAAAAAAAACTTTAACCTTGGTCATAACTTTTGAACATTTGGTGCTAAGGCTTTTATATTTCACTTGTATATTTTTCTTATAACAAGGTCTTCCCTTAGGTATCATTTATGTTTACTTTTTGACCTTGATCTTAAGAGTTTGACCCAATTTTAAAAAAAAACTTTAATCATGGTCATAAATATAAAAAGGCTAGTACTAGGGCTTTCATATTTCAAAAATATATTCACCTATACAAGTCCTTTGTATGGATATAGCAACATTTTTGATCTCTTGATCATGACCTTTGAGTTAGATTTTAACCCTCACCAAAAGCTGCCACACAGGGGCATCAGTGTTTCACAAACACATCTTTTTTTTTCTAATAGGTAAACATGGTAAAGAAACTGAGACGTTTGATTTAATTATTTTAACACATGTCAGGGATGGGGCAAATAATGTTAAAAAATAATTAAATTACAATTACTTTTCCTACTTTTTGCCACTTAGATTACGATAACTTTTCCATGAAGTGGAAAAAAAATCAATTAGAATATACATCCATTTACTTTGAAAATGTAATTAATTATCATCAATGACAGTTAATTTTATCAATTACACCATCCCTGATACACATATCCTCAAGACTGCAAAACAGTTTAACAAGTCATTTGTTCTCCTTCACTTAAGTATGCCACATACCAAAATAGGCACCACAGATAACACTTATTTAGCAGTTTATTAATAGGTTACAGGGCTGAAAATGTAAACAACTTAAAAGTTGAATGCAAGAAAATGCAGGTCAATGTTTGACAACAGACAGAACAAATATAAATAGGCCACCTAACGATACAACAGAGGAACTTGCAGACATACAAACAAAGGTGTCAAACATAGGTAATGAAAGAAAAAGTGAGCTAGCTCACATAGCCACACAATTACCCAAAAAACTTGACGGTCCAAAAAACACATTATGAAAGGCACAATGCACTTTAAATACATAGTATAGATCAAAAAGGGCAATAATTGCAAAAAAATGTCACATCAAAATCCACATCTGAAGACATTTAAATGTGGAGAGGGCTTATATAGGCTATAATGGAATCAAAATTTATGGCATTATACAAATCCAAACATTAATTTGAAGTGGTTGGGGGGGGGGGGAGAGTTTTCATCCCTTGATGCAAAATTTGTGCAAGTTTGGTTAATATAGGTGTATGTTGCAACAGTTTAAGAGTCCATAAGTGGTGCAGACAAACTGTTCATCCATGCAAATTTGCCAACAAAGGCTTAGTTGTTGAAAGTGTGGAAATGAAACCCACACCAACAACTAACTAAATGTAGGTCAGAATTTCCTGGTAATATGCACATCTACACAATGTGTCCTAAATACCTGCAAAGTTTGACGAAATTCTGTGCAGCGGTTTATGAGGAGTTGCGCTGACAAACTGTTCATCTCCATATTCAAGGTATGGCCAAATGCCTAAGTTAAAAAGTTCAGAAATTCCGGAAAAATAAAGGAATCTGGAATTTCCTGATGTAATATGCACATCATACACATTGTGTCCTAAATACCTGCAAAGTTTGACGAAATTCTGTGCAGCGGTTTATGAGGAGTTGTGCTGACAAACTGTTCATCTCTATATTCAAGGTATGGCCAAATGCCTAAGTTAAAAAGCCAGGAAATTGAAAAATAAAGGAATCGGAATTTCCTGGTAATATGCACATCTACACATTGTGTCCTAAATACCTGCAAAGTTTGACGAAATTCTGTGCAGCGGTTTATGAGGAGTTGCGCTGACAAACTGTTCATCTCTATATTCAAGGTATGGACAAATGCCTAAGTTAAAAAGTTCGGAAATTCCCGGAAAAATAAAGGAATCGGAATTTCCTGGTAATATGCACATCTACATATTGTGTCCTAAATATCTACAAAGTTTCGTGTTTAAATTTGTGAAAGCTACTTGAAATAATTGAAATATTTCTATATAAAATTTAATTATAAAACTTTGTAAAAAAAATATATCGTTTTCATATTTTTATAAATTAAAGAAAAGAACACAGGTATGGCTACAAATGCATAAGTTAATTAAACTTGTGTAAATATCAAAATAAAAAAAAAAATTCCATTCATAGGCCTATCCGTCGTGTGAACATACTTGTACCCTAGGAATATGCACATCAACACATTGTGTCGAAAATATTCACCATTACCGGGTGCAAAGTGTTTAAAATTTTTTATTGTTTGCAGATTTCGGTTTATGAGAAGTTGCTTTGGCTTTGTATATATACTTTTTATTTCGCATATATATTCAAGGTATGGCCAAATGCCTAAAAGTTAAAATTCAGAAATTCATGTTTCTGACATTTAAAATACAACGGAACAAGGTGTAGATTGTATTCATATATACACATCTAGACATTGATGAAATAATTTTTTATCCATGCAATATATTTCGTAAATATCATATTTCAATTTGTTATAATTTTAATCGGCAAATAGCGCTGTGCACAAACTGTTAAATTCTATAGATATCTTGGAAGACATATCGCCTAATATAAAAACAGCCGCTGAGATTGAAAGAAAATATTTTTTGAAGTCAAGTTTTAATTATCTACTCTAAATTATTTTTGAAATAAAATTTAACCAAAGTTTTTTTAAATGTGTATACAAGGTGGGTACATGAAAGTGTTTGACAAATGACCAGGCAATCGTTTTCAAAACACACAAACTCAGACTATCAGGTAGCACGGGTAGCTGGCCTGTCAATCGAATCAGAAGCTTTTGTTTGTTTTTAACGATTGGCAGCCGGTAAATTTCAAATCTTGAATCAGGTAGATTTTAGGGGCGTTAACGTAACATTGGGTGTTTAACCTTGTTTACTCATCTGTAACAATGTAGGTCAGATTCAGCATCCAAAAAGTGTGCAAAATTTATGCAATTTATCACCCACGCAGGGCTTATAGTTACTTGAAAATGAGACCTACACCAAAAACTGCACCAAAACTGTTCACCTGCTCCAAAAACATTAACCTGGTCCTTCCTTTGCTGAAATTACAGCATCTGAAACCTTGATGGTACAATGAAACACACTAGAAGCATCCTGCCTGCATGTCTAATCAACATAGGGCACAGAAGTACTTAAAAAGAAAAAAGCTCCAAAAAACTGAACCTTAACCTGGGACGCTGAAGCCGACACTGAGGGTATCACATAAGCCCCAACTTCGTTGAGGTGAGCTAAATACACTCCCAGGTTTTGGAAAAGAATTATGTACTATAATATAGTCTACCTTTACTGGATATCCTGGAAGATTACCCATGAAGGATGTTGGATACGGATAATCCATCATGGCTAGGTAGGTAAAGGCATTTCTAATCCATCCCAGGAAGTGACGGTAGTCAGTCTTAGAAGTCATTGGCTTACAAAGGCCAAATGTACTTGACAGCTGTTTAAGACCTACAACATTGATTTTTTTTAAAATTTAATTTCTTCATGCAATACAAGTTCTAATGACTAGTAATGACCTTAAATCTCATTAAAGGGCTCTCTAGCTCTGAGGACAAGCCTGTCAATGAAATCACAAGCCATATACAGTAAAACACTGTTTACTATCTGGAAGATATAGCGAATTCACGGATATAGCAAGTTCTGGTAGCAAAATTCTTAACAAATCTTTGTAAAATTTTACGGTTATCCTAATATGCGAAGTTTGATATCAACATATTTTGAGTCCCGTTGAGATTAAATATAATGAAATTTACATCATAAAAAACTTTAAACATTTTAAAAAAATTGAAAAATTGAATCAGATTTCATTTACTTGAAGCATGCATAGAATACAATTCATAATAAAACCTTAGATGTATCAAGATATGCATATTTGGTCATATTTCATCGTAAAACCTGAAGGAAAACATGCATATTGCGAATTCCCTATAACTGGTTAACCTGATTCATTCGGATATCCAGAAAATGTAGGTCAGATTCAGCACCTGAAGCAATTAGCCAGGTTATTTGCATCCATAGATGTATCATCCATGCATAAAAATTTGCAAATCCACATTTTGCTCACTTGTTAATTTTTTAATGAGAAGTGCACATTTATCACAAAAGTGTTTTAATTTTTGATTTTCTTGAAACTTCCTAAAACTGTTATTTACAATTACCCACGTTTTTATATGTTTCTAAAATGTAATAAGTAGAATTACTGACATATGTGTCAACACTCCTAGCAATTTCATACATTCAGCAGAACTAATCCAATCTACCACAAATTACATGTGACAAAATATCTATATACAGTACCAAATTAGATTTGTACCAAGTGTTGTCAGCTTCTGTTTTGTTCCATTATTAACAGCTATTTTAAATCATGTTCATGTTCTTTAATTATTCCCTATAACAGCTGCTTAGTTATAAGGCACCCATTTCTGTCATCAATAAATAACTAAAAGTAATATTAACGTACACGGAGAATCTTTTGTTGCACTACATACACAAATATAGACTTAATGGTCACATAAAAACATAAGTAGGATTAAAATAGGAGAAAAAGCTCCAAAAAACTGAACCTTAACCTAAGGCAAAGACACAATTAACCGACAAGGGTATCAAATGAAAATATTTAAGCAATTTTTCTGATACTTTGAATGACCTACATAAAAAATTAACTAGATTTTGGAAAAGAATTATTTACTAAATATAGTTCTATCCTTTACTGTGCAAGTTTATTATACAATGTTATATAAGGATGTTTTTTGGATACGCACCCATAACTTCCATCATGGCTAGGTAGGTAAAGGCATTTCTAATCCATCCCAGCAAGTCCATTAGTTTGCATCCTAAGATTTATTGGCTTACAAAGGCCATGTATGACAGCTGTTTAAGACCTACAAATTGATTTTTTAAAATTTAATTTCTGCATGCAAAAAACTAAATTTATAATGACCATCCACAATCTGTTAACAGACAGCATCTAAAGCAAGCCTTTATGCATCCTTATAAGTCTTATCCATGACAAGTTTGTCATTTGCATATAATCTAAATGAATCATGCATTACTTTAAAGACTGAACCGGAAAAAGTCAGACATCCATAAAAATTTAAAATCCTGCAAGTTTAGTCAACATAGGGCTTTAGTTACTTGGAAATGAAACCTGCACCAATTTTTTCATCACCGGAAAATGTAGGCACATTTATCGAAGCAAAAGTGTTTTGCAATTTTTCAACATAGGGCTTTAGTTACTTGGAAATGAAACCTTCCGAAAACTTTAATGTTCACTCAACCGGTTTTTAGGTCAGATTCAGCATGTAATGCCTAAAATTATGCATCCATATATGTAACATCCATGCAAGTTTGGTCAACATTCTTATAGAACTAATCCAATCTATGAAAAACTTTAACCTGTTCACTGACAAAATAGGTCTAGCATACAAGCCCAATTAGCATCCTTAGATGTGTCATCCATGCAAGTTTGTCAACATAGGGCTTATAGTTACTTGGAAATTACACCAAAAACTGCAACAAAAATTTTAAACCTGTCCAAAAACATTAACCTGGTCATTCCCTGAAATTGCAGCATCTGAAACTTTGAATGGTGCAATGAAACACACTAGAACCATCCTCCATGCATGTCTAATCCATATAGGACATAGAAGTAGTTAAAAAGAAAACTGCTCCAAAAAACTTTTGTTGCACGCCGATACACAAATATAGACTTAATGGTCACCCCAACTTCGTTGAGGTTAGCTAATGAGAGGTACAGTTAAACACGCTTCTAATGAAGTGCAAGTGGTGGACAATTTCACATCATTATGAAAGTAATTCATTATATCCATAAAGTTAACATTATATTTCAAGGACATTGAGGAAATGAAAATCACTTCGTTATAAGTGTCAATTCATTATAAGCATGTTCGTTACTACCATGTTTTGCTGTACTGGGTGATAATTCAAACACTAAGTCTATTTCCCAAAATATATATTTCTATTTTGATTGCTAATAAATCATTTATTTTAAAATTTTAAGCAGAAATAAATAAATTTATTTAATTCAACACAAACAAGTATTTCCTAAAAGTATACTTTAAAGATGACTCAATGTTAAATTTATCATAAAATGAAGGGGGTGTGTCTAATATTTCCATACATTAGACTCCCTGACATTTTAGTACTGTGCACTATAGATGGGTGGCCTACATGTCTGCCTGCAGTGATTCATTTATAATTCAGGGACAAAGATGTGGACTACAGGCCAGGAACCTGCATATAATGTTACATAATTATCTATCTAACAAAAACATTGTGACTGCTTTATAGGGAATAATCAATAGAACAATGAACTGAAGTATGGCAATTATCTACGATTCAAAGGATTTGATGTCATTGCCCTCATCAAATGGCATTCAAAAACATGCAAGCAACAAGAGAGATATAAAGTCAAACTCTTACCTTCCGGTTTACGGGAAGTAATATCCATCTGTACAAATGCTGTTCTTACTCTGTCGACACATTTCGGAGATACTGCATTAAAATCCTACAAAAATAATCAACCAAATTTAGCATGCATAAGAAATCATTACCTAGATCAAATTTAAACAAAATTTGAAAAAAAAAAAAAAAAAAACTTAGGTAATTTTATTTTTTTTATTAAAAGTAGTACTATGAATAACTTTTTGTTCACAAGAGATTTTTGTGGAATTTCAAAGACTGTTAGACTGCTTTCGAAAATTTTGTTCTCACATATGTTATTATAAGTATAGATTATATCTACTAATAATCATAATCTTAGAAAATTTCCTGCTTTAAATTCAAATATTCTTTGTGAAATGGAAAGTATTAAATCTACAGTAATTAAATACACACAAAAAATGTATACATTTATATTTCTTGAACTTAACAGTGTTAAATTTATCTATTGTTGTATATGCCTGGGTAGGGGTTCACGGTGGAAGTCTATCTATTGAAATTGAAACACGTGCACCATCTGTCTAAACAGGAACATTTAAAAAATGAAATTGTATACCGGTATACATTTTTTGTGCGTGATACGTATCGTGATACCACCTAAATACCAGTCTGTAGGTACATATTATAAAGTCCTGAAATTATTCATTTATTTGTTCAATCTTTAAAATAACAATTACAAAAAGAATAAAAAATTTGTAAAAACAGGAACATAATTGAGTTTATATAAATAAAAATTTTAAAAAAATGAATAAATAACTTTTAAAATAAAAAAAACATTATCTAAACTCTGATCTCTACATCAAAAATCTGCTGGCCCTTTTAATTTACAGGAACTCCTTGGTATTGGAGAAACATTAGTCTATAGGTGGGGACAATGATGTGATAATAAATGCATATTACAGCACAACAGATTTTGTTATTAACAAGCTTATTCAGAGAATTTGTTGTTCTCCATAAATAAAACAAAAGGCCTATGGGTCACATTGCTCATCTGAGCATATTGGCTAGAAAAAAAAAGCAGAAATGGTTTTGGTATTGCAAAGGTGCAATAGATACATGTATGTATACAAAAAATCACAATGAACTTCCTCCTGTGGGAAAGAGAGGCCATATTCATTCAGCATCCGAAGCAGGTCTTAAAGTGTCCATCCCTAGATACATCATCCATGCTAATATTCATAAAATATAACTCATCTGGGAAATGTATATCAGATTCAACATCTGAAGCAAGTCTGAAAGTTTCCATACATAGTTGCAGCATCCATATAAGTATGGCCCAGGTAGGTCTTCTAGTTTTTTTGGGGAATGGACCTGCTCCAAAAACATATAACCTGGCTACACATCTTGAAAATGAAGGTCAGATACAGAATCTGAGGCAAGTCTGGTAGTGTCCATCCTTTGATGCGCATCAACCATGCAAGTTTAGTCCAGGTAGGGCTTAAAATTACTTAACGAATGAAGCATATTTTAGCCTATTTTATACCATATAATATAACTTGGGGCAGTTTACGCTTTAGAAACCATGCAGCGGTTTATAAAAAGTGTAAACTGCCCCAAGTTATGTTATATCTTATATTCCTTATAATTAAATTTCATTGTGGACAATAAGACAATATTTCCTCAAAAAAATGGCTTCAAATTAAGTATATTTTAAAAGTAACATCACGCGAAGTAATACATTTTTGATGTAACTCATTGTGACATAGGTAACTTTTATTATACGATATACCCCGTTAAAAATTTTTTTTATTCCATCAAATGATGTGTTACAGCTAAAATTAAATTATTTTAGAATGGACCTGCTCCAAAAACTTTAATCTGCTCACTCATCTGAAGAATGTAGGTTAGATCCAGAATCTACAGCAAGTCTGGTAGTTTCTTTCCCTAGATGCATCATCCATGCATGTTTGGTAAAGGTAACGCTTAGCCTTATAATGACCTGGAAATGGAAATGCTCTTAAAACTATAACCGCATGGCTGCTGGAAGCCAAAGCTAATATAGAAGGTATAACATATAAGCTCATCTTGACTTTGTAAAGGTGAGCTAAAAAATATTACCTTAGTTACATCTTCCCAGAAAAAGTCTCTCTTTGAGTCAGCAGACAGGAGGTAAATGGGGGCACTTGCTGCAATGCTCCCTGCCACTAGATTTGGGTACTTAAATCTGATATAAGCACTTAACATCCCCCCATAGCTAAAAATAAAATAAAAATATTAAACATATGGAGATAGCGAACAGTATTCAAGATCAAAAGTCCATAAAACAATACAAAATTGGACCAGAGCAAACAAGACCTCCAAAACATGAGGTGCCAGGAATCAGGTGCCATGGAGGAGTGAGCATCCCAAATATCATTCATTGATTTTAATTATAGTTTGGTTATCCAATTGTTTTTATTTAAAGAAAGTTATTAATGCTAGGAAAATCAATATTCTGATGAATTATAACATTATTTGTGTTAAATAAATTGAATTGCTTTCCATTTTGCTTTAATGTTAACAGGAGATGAGTACGTAACTTATAATTACTGTTAACATATCTTCAATTTTTGGGATATTCAAATAGCTTTTCAAATTGGAAAAGCAACATCTCTGCATAATGAAAGAAATTTTCAAACCTTCCACCGAAGCTGATGACGGGACAGGAAGTAGCATTCAATTCCTGTTTAAGAGTAGTCAACAAAACTGCATAATCCCCAAGGGCCTGTTCAATGCTCAGCAACCCAATATATGGATGAGAAAAACTCTGGTTCCCAAAGGGTAATGATTTCCCATAGAAACGCTGAAAAATGAAAGTCCAGGAACATTATATCAACATTTGTCTCATTCTCTCTCCATAATGTGTCTACCAGACTTGACAATGTGTTAAGCCTGCAATTTTTGTGAACTGTCTAGATGTGACATGATATAACTTCCATCTAATTTGTTTTGAAATAACACATAAAAAATAGTGTTATCTGTTAAAATCAATGTGTTTCAGCATTTTTAATTTTCTGGAAGTCCAAAACATCCGATGTTGCATATTAAGTATTGATATTGTTCTTTTTTTTACATTTAAAATTCTATCCTGATGTCAAGAGTTCTACAGTTATACCTTGGATATTGTTGTCCTTGATTTAAGAAATGGATTAATATTTTTGGTATTGTGCATATTGTGCATCTCATTTCTAAGTTCCAAGTCTGAAGTCGGAATGTCAAAGGGTTCTCAATTAAGTTGTTGTGACTTTGGACAATACTGTAAATCACTTTTTATTCGCGAGAACTTTATTTTCGCTTAATTACCTGAGACGATATGCTCGCGAAAATTTCATTCTCGCGCATAATAGAATTCCTTAAGGTTATATAGAGCAATGACGACAATTCGTGAAAATTTTGTCTCGCTTATAAAGAGTCAATGACTATCTCGCGAAAATAAGGTGTCGTGAAAGTTAAGTGATCTACAGTATTTGGACCAATAAGAAAACTGAAATAATTTAAGGCCATACAATATTCTCCCCTTTGAAAAGCTCTAGGACACAATATTTAGCTTTACATTAATTTTAAGCTTTTTTTTTTCTTTTATATTTAATTCACTACTTCTTTCTGATTTAATAGTTAAACCAGTTTTTAACATTCAGTCTCTCTCATCCCTATTCATTTAATGACCAACTTATTCAGTGTGCAAGTAAAAATCAAATAAGTTTTAAAGAATTGACCTTACATCATATTCACTTTGAAAATACCATCTGGACTCTTTAATGAGCATATTGTTGTGTCAGCATTTTTGTAATTAACTCTATATTTTAAAAAAAAACAACTACAAATGCAATCATTTTATAGTCTTCAAAAAATTCAATAACAGACATAAACCCCATTCAATGTATGAATGAATGCAACAGTTCTAACTCACAAAACTGTCAGCTAAACTGTCAGAAATGTGTGGGCTGAATCTATAATAATTAGACCTGGACCCAGGCATGAAAGAAACACTGAATGAGAATTAGAGCTCGTCATCTACTGTACAATAACATCAGCTGAACCACCGATAGGAATTGACATATTCCAGTCAGGTTCCCAGCAAATTGTCCCCTCAGGGGAGTCTGCTTTCTTAAGCTCTGAGTGTTATTAGAAGACCATCAAGACCAACACAATAGACACTGATAACACACAACCAATTGCTTTGGCTTCAAGTAAATATCAATATAAGTTCTCACTCTCCACATTCTCAGCAGTAACCATACTGCACCTGCTTACTGGCAGTTAGATAATTGACAAGAAGCGCCAAACAACAACGTTCTCTGATCTGTTTCTTTATGCCATCAATATAATTTGTATGTACAAGTTTTACTATGGTACCAGACCCTCACCATCCCCACCCTGATTGTTTTGCCAACATGTATATATATGATACCCCCCTGAACAAATCAGCCCCCCCCCCCCCGCCCCAAATTAAATTCCTGCCTATGATTCTGATTTTGGTGTCCTTGCAGTGCAGAGTTGAGCAACATTTAGGGATCACTTTATCCAGACTGTTTGTATGTCTGTCCAGCTGTCTTTAGAACTGTAAGCAGAATGAATTTGATATTTTGGTCATGTATTACTTTGCATTAAAGGGTTATGGTTTTTGTGAAATTCACATGGTTACCAACTAATGAATTAACTTTCTATTTGACCTTGACTTAATTCTCCAAATAGTTTATACTGAGCAAAACAGAATTGTTTTGGGCATTTCAGAGGAAAGTTTATGCTTATAGCTATTTAGCATGTGCAGTTTTTGTTGTTAAACTCTTATGAAAAACACTTGCATAAATCAAATTCACCTTGACCTTAATTAAGGTCTTCCGTTTCCAACGGAAGACCTTCTACTGATTCTGTTGGTAAAGATTATTATTCTTTTTTTTTTCTTCTACTTCCTAGACCCCAACTTTGAAGGCTCATATCTCACTCATTTCTCAATAGATTTTGCTCAAATTTTCAGAGTTTATAGACGTTACTAATCTCTATTAGAATGTTGTCTGATATTTAAAAAATTCACTTCCAGTTTTGAGTTATTTCCCTTTAAACGAAAATTTATAGGCTTTCATTTCCAGATAAAGGCTCAGAGACTACAAAGGCTGGAACAGAAATTCTACTGATTTTAGATAATAGAAGGATTGAAGTTGTGCACATCGGTTTTTGTTTTTCGATTTCTGTATTCAAAATGGCGCTATATAGGGGTAAAAAATTAGAACGCCTAAAAGAGCGAAAATTTACACATATTTTCCTTGTTGTCTTCTAAGCTAAAAATATTTTGTTAAAATATATAGAACAAAATTTGTGCAGAATTACAAGATCTTTCAAATGATATCTCAGAAAAAGGGCTGGCCCCTAAATTAAGGGATCTAGAGGGGCCTACATTTTAGGGAAATAAAAATAAAGATTAACTTATATGGTCTTCTAAATTTTGAGTTGCTGTGCTTCCATAACTATACATGCATATAATATTCATTTTTAAGGATTTTAAGGTAAAATGACAAATAATATGTCTATTTTATTGTCCGTACATAATAATAGCATGCAAATAAATAGCTGATACTCTTATATTAATTATTTACCAAGTATATCTTTAATGATGCTATAACAGTAGCTGACGCAAACATTCCTTAATTGAAACACTCTAGTTTAGAACTTCACATGATTGCGTAATTAAAGACTGAAAATTATCTTTATGCTTGCAACAAAGGAAAGAAATAATACCTCCAGAACATTTTCTCCATTACTGAAACAAGTCAAATAAATTTCACACATAATAATTCCTGCAACTAAGACTAGAGTAAAGATTTGTGAGCCATTTCAGACTTTCTACAGATTTATGTCCTCTATTCTCCTACTCTCAGAGCACCAAATTGATTCCAAATCAAAAGAAACCATTATTCTCTTTGTGTTCCCAGTAATTTGTAGCTTCAGAAGCTAAAATTTTTAGAAAATCATGATACAAGAACTGGGCTTCTCTTTAATGTTAAAATAAAATTGGAATTCCAGAAGTTATACTTACGTAATCATTAATTAGGCAATGAATAATTAACCAACATATCATTTGGCCTTTATATTTAGACAACCTTGTGAATATCTAATGACTATATTTTCTGCCTCTTTTTCTGTTCATGAATTCTTTATGAAATGTACCAATTAGCATCCTTTTTCATATGAAGGTAAAGATCCAATACGAGAATAAGAGTTAATTTTGTACTCTGAACCACAAAAAATTGATCTACATGCAAGTCTTTACTTCAGAACAACCTTTAAAACAATCTGTATTTGACTTGCTGGATAGGAGAATTGAATAGAATGAAGTTAAAAGTATTCATCCATTTAGGACTGCAACAGTCATGATGATTTGAAGCATATACTGTAGAAGTACTTTTTTTCCGCCTGGTATTAATTTACGCTATGTACGCAGTCACAAATTTTCTGCGAAAATTTGTCCAAGCATACTTAACATAAATGCAAGGCATATAGTGACAGTCTAAAAAAATCCGTGTAATTTTCAACAGGCGGATTAAACGGAAATTGAGATTCCACGGAATTAAGACCCCATGGAAAAAAGTATGTCTACAGTATTTTAAACTGAAACTCAAAATGTGTATTCATAGCAGTCTCTCCAGCTCAATACTGTATGCTAGTTAGCTGGTACAAAATTCCAGGTCAAAGCAAAAAGGCTCCATTCTTTCCAAGTTTTGAATTTGTAACCTGCACATTTTTTCCTTAAGGCCAGCATTTTTTTATTTTTAGGTTTACAAACCCGCCGTCAAGATTTTGAATTTTCAGAAAAAAAATAAAATTGAGAAAAACAGAATTTTTTCTTTCGATGTCTCCGAGATTTCAAATTTACGAACTCGTACTTCCGGTTTTGAATGAACATGGCGGGTAATGAAGGGAGATTTGTGTCAAGTCCATAGCAGCACTAAAGCTTGGTTTAATGTAAATATTTATCGATAGGAGTGCCATTCAAAACGTTTCACCCCTTCAGAGAACAATAAAATGCTGACGACTTTGTTGCAAAGTGACATGTTGGTGAGATAATTATGTATCCGTATTCAAAAGTAACTGTCTGTAATTGTAAATTATTTTCCTCAGGTTTAAAACTGCCCATGGTAGCTATTGTCAGAGACTTTGTTTAGGTTTCTGTAGCTTACAGTCTTAGCATCATTCTTCAGAAAAGGGTCGCTTATGCATCAGATGTAATGAATAAAACTATGGGAGAAGTTAAGTCCATTTGAGGAAGAAATAAACAATAGCCTAAAGAAATAAAATATTTCAACTATTTAAAAACAAGAATATACAAATATATACAGGCAAGTAGTATCGTTTATGGCAGCCAGAAAAATTATTTTACACTTAATTGAAAAAAATTCCACCCTACTCCTCAATAACTCCTGTCTGTTTTATGAAAGGAATCATTACTTTTATAGGTCTCAAGTATATTAATATTTTAGAATAATTTCTACCTAACACACATTAAAAACAAAAATGAAGATATATTAAAAGAGATTTAAAAAATTGATTTTTTTAAAAAAAAAATCTGTATTTTGTCCAACATCAAAAGATTTATATCACTGCCCCCAACAGGTAGATGATGAAATAAACAATTAAAGGTGGTATTTTTCCCTTTGTAACCCTTATGCGTCCAGTGGCAAGAAGCCTGTTAGGAGAGCATAAAAAAAGAAGCAAAAATTAATGTAGAAAAGTCGATAATGTATCCAAAATATAATTTTATTTTTTTTTTTATTTCCTCCTCCTATGGGACTTTTTCATTCTGATGTTCGTAAACCTAAAAATAAAAAAATGCTGGCCTAAGCAGAGGACAAGATTCTCTGAATTAGCTTGTTGTTCATTACTTTTATGTTCCACTAAGATTTTGCTTTGTATTTTGGGCAAGTCCTAGCTACTAATTACAGTTAGGACTTAAACTGAATCCACCATTAGAATCAAATCTGGGAAAAATTTATCAAAATTCTTTGGTACATAGATTGATCCTTATGTATGCTACATTGTCATATATCAGGCCTGTTCAAAGGCACTATAAATCACAATAAACTAGCCATGAAATCAACAAGCCATATAAGCAACAAGATCCATTAAAATGTCACAAACCATAATCTACATTATGTCTGCCTCTGTGAGTATATTATTAACTCTCCAGTTGCTACTAACATATACCATGTAACAAGGAGAGGGTCAAGCAAGATTCAATGTAGCAGTAAAAAGGGTCCAGATCCAATAATCAACAGTTATTTGCTTCTAATGATCTTTCTTCACCCTTTGACAAGTAAGATTTGGAAGGAAATTAATCATCATCTATCATGGAAATCCTTAAAGTCATCTGGGATAAGTCCTAATGACCAGCCCATTGATTGGCCAGAATCTAGCTGTACTTGATTGCTCTGGCCGTATTCGAAGAGAAAAATTAAAGAGAGTGGGTTCTTTTAACTAATGGTGACAATGCCTTATGGGAATACCATACATTTTCTTTTGGCTGTAGGCCTTTTATGTTTGCAAAATAGTCCATGATGAGAGTCATGAACTTTTAGCTATTACCTTTTTGCCCTGAAAACATTGACAAATAAAAATATTTTCTAGATAGATATAAATCTCCTAATTTTTTCTGTTTAAAGAATGGTTCATGGGAAACTAACTTTGTGTTTATATAGAAAAAACGAGATTGTAGTTTCAATTGAATTTTTTAAACACTTTTATGAGAACATAAAAAAGTAGATATACTGTACCTCCAAAAATTACTGTAGCACCATCACAAAAATAAGTGATTTCAATGCTAATCTTTCAAAGACAATTAATAAGGAACATTTTTTGACATCATGCAGATATATAAGCACATATCATGACACAGGCTAGTTATTGCAACATGAAGATGGTTTATGATAGCCAAAACAATCTACTGTACTTGTTGTGTAGAGATTCTGATTGCTGTCAACATGCTGTGTATTCTTCCTGACCAATAGTATACATGAAATCATTCCAGCATGTTCATAGTTTTTTTTAAATACAGATTTCATACAAATTTATGCAGGATGTATTCCATGGTTTGTGATGGGATATGATTATTTATTCAACAAGGCATGCATTTTTTTCCTTGATCCTCAGGGATTGAGGGTATAAAAACAGACAGGTTGGATAAAATATCATATCCAAACCAAAAGGAGCTTCTTTTTATGCAAATCAAAGATTTGAGGGCATTTAGTCTTTGGTCTGTTTGTCCATCTGTCTGCTTGTCACTAGTGTCTAGTAACCTGTTTGTCTGCGAAAACTTGACCCTTAATGCCCATAATTTCTGAATGGTTGGTGCTATAGGGTTTTTGCATTTCATATGTGTAATTTTTTGTCACATGGTCTTTCTTTGAGTATCAACACATTTTACCTTTTGATGTTGACAAAGAAATTACCTTTACTATTGCAAAGATTTAACCTTGACCTTTTTGATGCCTGGAGCTAAGGCTATTAAATTTCATACTGACTGTATTTTATGTGTCCAAGCCTTCAAGTTTGTTGACCTTAAGCCTTGCCCATAACTTTTGAACAGAGGGTGCTGGGAATTTCATATATCACACTTGTATTTCTTGTGACAAGACTTTTCTTTGGGTATCAAAATATTTAAACTCATGACCTCGACCTTGGTGTTTGACCTAAATTCAAGCAAAAACACATTGTGATGTAACAATTAACCTTTGATATGAAATTCATCTCTTTGAAATCTATAGTTTTTAAAATAATTTTTCAAATGGATCAATTCAAATCAGAAAAAAAAAATTACATGCAATTTTAAAGGCTTTATGTTATTTTCACTGTGAATTATTGATAGGATGGGACATATATACTAGAGCTGTGTGTCTTAAACTCTCAGCTTCTGAGCATGCTCGCTAATTTTTTAAGTCAGATTGGGTTGCATAGGTATGTATTTAGTTGCATGTATAAGACATATATTCTAGTAAAAATATATGTACTTTTGCAGCCTCCTTGCCAAATGTACAGCTGTTCTAAGTTAATCACTCTGGTATTCATTCCTGATGAAAGAGAAAGCCGATATACTCCTCTTGCCAGATGAGGTTTACAACTTATCAGGGAAAACTGCCCATTCCAAATCAGTACCAAAGGGGCATCAGACAGGCTCTTTTGCCATTCATACTTTTTCATCTTATCCTATTTTATAAGTATATTAAATGCCTTGGATATAATAATAGTTTTCTTAACAAATGGAGACGCAGGTTCAAATCCCACTGTGGGACATGGAGACTGGTCATTTGGATGAAACCATATAATCCAAGGTCCCGTGTCACAGTAGGTACAAAAAAAGAACCCTCAATGCATAAATGACCATAAGTACCAAGTATAAAGCGAAATTGGTAGCTCTCCACCACAAGTGGTGTCGTTTCCATATGAGTGAAAAATTTTCGAGAGGGACGTTTATACAAACAAAAAATGGTGACGTTGTTAATAAACTGCATGTTCACCATAAGAAAAACCTCTAATTTTGATTCATCATATTTTCTGACTTTTTTTTATTTATTCCCATAAGGCAGAAATAGCTTTTTATCACAAACAAAATGTATATATATAAAATAATTTCCAGAGTATTGATTTTCAGCTTCTGAATTGCCTACCAGTTGATTCGCATGCCAACATTGCAAATTTCTTTCAAAGAAAACAACTGCAAATATATTTTATAGCTACTTTGTGTGTTTTTATTAGGGTACATAGTCATGCATATCGGAAATATCATAAAAAAATGACTTCAAAAGCTAGCACTGAGTTACTTAACATAGGTCATTTCAATCTCTTTAAAATTAATTCAGCACCTTCTTGAAACCCTCTCCATGCAAACAAAAAAATAATAAATTACAACAAAACATTATTTGATTTCCTTAATCAATATAGTACACAAAACATATGTTCATGGGAATCAATCACAATGATAATATACATTTACTCCATTCTCACCTTGGAATTTATTCATAACACAATTTACGGAATTATATAATTATTAATTGTTTGGAATGGTTTTAGTCTCATTGAGACAACAAATTCAAAGGAAAACTAATACACAATAAACAGGTATATAAAAATCAATTTATACATACATCAATATTTAATAAAAAATGGACAAAGACTTTCATAAATAACAAACAATTTAAATTAAAAAATAACAATTATCAATTCAATCAAATAGGCTACAAAGAATTGTCACTGCATGATCATGCAGTTAGTTTTAATATTTAAATGTGCTAGCTGTTAGCAGTAAAATGATTTATGATACATATTTACTTATAATACATATTTTGCATTTTTTTTATTAATAACCAAAAAGCCTATAAAATGTACCTGTAAATATCTGCAGATTTAATAATTAAGCTAATATCATAAAACAAATATTGACTCATTTGCACTGCCATTTTATTTTACAATTCAAAATTTCTATTTTTACTAAAAACAAATAAATTGAGCTTACAGTGTGTATGAAAATTCTTATAATCCAATGACAAAATTCTTCATAACATTGCAACAAACATCATGCAGTGTTTGAAAACATTGGCATGGTCTTTGTCATTGTTTTTCCTTGAACTGCTTGGATGTACATGTACATATTCCATCTGCATATTAAGCATACAAAATACTCTTTATTTTACACCAGTGACAGTTACTATAAAAGAGTGAAGTTTTAAATGGTGCTTTTTTTTTTAATAATACAAAATCAGTTAATGCTTGGATATATCATTATACATGGATAAAAATGATGCTCTGGAATTCCATTATTTTATCACAGCATAAAATCTTTAACATCACAGTAAGCTTATGAAAATGAAGTAAAATTAATGTTGTCTCTTAATTATAAAAAAGAGACATAAACGACTCAGAATCTCATCAATATCACTAAAACCAAGCTATTATAAAGTGGTTTGCATTAGATAAAAATCAATGGATGGTCCAAACTTGATGAACTTCCCACCATTTTGAGTCTTGTCAGCTTAAAAAAACTAGTAATGAGGTGGTGATCATGAAATGGAGCGCAATTCCATGAAATGCTATTAACATAAATCACATGGAGATATATTTATTTTATGAGCTTCAGAGTCTGTAACATTTACAGTTGGCTCACTTGAATTTATTACCTATGTAATTTTTTCATCTGGACATTGAATCTTGTATTTTGATTACTTTTATAACAAACATCCTAACAAATTAAGTTTTAATGAACCAGTTTTGAATTATTGTAATTATAAAATGTACTAATTAAAACTTCTATGACTGCTCCTGAAGTATATATTCCACTTAATATGACAAAAATTCAGAAAATCCTCCTTTTTTCTTATCTAGTACATATAAATTGTAACCAATTCCGAAAATTTGATCTCAAACTGATTAAAAAATTATCAAAGCACATTAAATTTCATTAAATATTTCAAGCAGTCAAAATAAAATGTTGCATGGACTGAATTTATCAAAGATATGGTCAAACACTATACTTTTTAGAAAATATGAGGACAATTTCTGACCATTTTAAATGAATCACAAAGCTTATCTTCCAAATTACATCTTTAGAGTTTGACATATACTTTGCTTTTAAATAGACATTTTTAGGGGATTGTCACATTTTAATGCAGACATTATTTTCCTGCAGTTGCTGTAACAAAGTTTAAACTTGCACTTTGTGGCATTGAGCATTCTGGGCACCGACAATCGTTATGACAACAGAGTTGTCGGAGACCACGTCGAAAATCACGACTCCAAACCAAATACACAAAAAATTTGTAAAAGGAATTTCCAATTCCAAACCATAACAAATAAAAATGCACCGAGTGTGGATAATCGGAAATATTTTCTATACATTCACCATATATCTGCAGTACTAACCATGGAATCCATGCAATCAGAAAAATCATGGAAATGATAAAGTTCATGAAATAGTTATTTGGTCGTGAGGCTGTATCTATCAAAATGGTTTGATACATATGTCTCTTCTTGCGGAATGACTTTGTAAAAAGGTATGCATTGGTGGACACCAATGCAAAGAAAGCAGGCAAGATGACCAGTATACCAGCTGTTACAAAGTATGGCTTGTGAGAACCAGCATTTATGGAACACAGAAAAACCTCCTCATAATACTTTGCTTGTTTCTTGAAAGAGAACAATGTGGGGCTGCAGAAACTGACAGCTCCAATCCACACAAATATGATCCAACACAGGGAACGGGCAGTTGTCATGGCAACTTTGTGTCGTTGTGGTTTTCTGATGGCAAGATAATGGTCCACGTTGATCCATGCTAAGGAATACAAACCTGCAATGAAGAAAATTACCAGAAGGTAAGCCTCAATGTGGCAGAATTTCTCATCATTGACAATCCAGGAGTTGCTGAAAGAGCTGAAGACTGCAAATGGTGTGATAAACACACCAACACAAAGGTCTGACACTGTCAAAGAGGCAAAGTAGATTTTGTTGATGTTCCGAATGGATTCTGTCCACACAATGACCAGGAGGGTGAGGGTGTTGAAGCAGACGATGAGAGCTGTAAAGAACACCGTTACCAAGCTCTCTGCTTGGAACTCCATCACCCTGGCAACCTCTCACTCCATTGTGATCTCAGGGTCATTCTGTTAATGAAAATTAAAAATTTGTAAAATCATTACCATTTTATCAGATAATAATATAAAATACTGAACAACAAAAGACATTCAATGTAGTATTTATAGCTGTTGTTGGCTAAGATTAAGCATGTTAAGCAATGTTTAAAGAGAAATTCTTCATAATAGAAAAATAATAATTATAAGCAAACTTCTCATAAGAAAAAAATGTTACATTATTTCTGCAGAAGATAAGCCTACAGTGTATATACAGAAAATATATATGAAGAGGCACAATTAATCATTTCTACAAAATGATAGGGAAGCAAAAATCTCCTACTCATGATCAGTTAATATTGAACATATAGCTAGCATTGCTGGTTCTCTAGTTGTCATCAATTTAGCCTTCTATTAGGCTTAAAGATTACTCAGCACAGTTGCTTTCTATGAAGCATTGCTAAGAATATCCATATATATTGTACAATTCTACCACAATTTGTAACCACTTATCCCCCTGATTTAAAGCTGCATTCCTATTTATGTACACACTCCATCTTATTGAACACTGCATTAGAAAAATAGATTTATTCTGTAGCTGACACACAAGCTTCTGATTCTGCATTTAGAGACTATTGACAGAGATTGAATGATGTATAAAGACAATACTTTCCTAATGCAATATATTCTGTAGATTGGATAGTAAACTATCAAGACTAAATGGAAAAACTTTGTATTAGATCAATTTATTGCATCAAAAAATAGTCAAGACTACTAAAATAACCCCCTGTTAATTAAGAAAAGCCTAAATTAAGACACCAAAACAAACAAAAAAAATTCCATTATAAAATCAATGAGATGCATTTGCTGGTACATTTAAATAAATGAATTCAAATGAGAGCCCACAAACCCTCTTAATACCATTAGATAAACATTGATGAAAGTTGTTTAAATTTGATTTCTGTAAGTAGTAAACTTCATAAATTGGATTTAAGGCAAACAAGATTTGTCATTTTATAGAGATAGTCTATCCTTAATCATATTGAAAGTGAGACAATTGACACCTTTTGTTGAAAGCATGTAATGTCTAAGATTTCTTTGCTTTTTTTTTCATTTTGCCTCCCAGGTTGAAGAACTGCTGGTGGTATTGGATTTAGACGTCACTGTAGGTGTGAGTGCAGTAGGGACAGCTATTGTTTTTGGTTTGTCTCTTTCTTTGTGTACACAGTGGTAAAAAATTTTACTTCACCTCTCTCTAAATCCCGGCCCCTCCCATTCCAAGATTGAAGTCTTAATGTCAAAGGTTCTCAAGTTATAGCCTAGAGAAATTTGGTTGAGGGAAGAAAATAGACAAAAAAAAAGTCTCTCATTTGAAAGTTAGACATAATTCAATGTTATTTATCAGTTTGAATATACATAGTTAATATGGCTTTCAGGTTTCATAACAATTATAAATCTTGTTGACCTTAACAACAATGTTATTATATTTCTAACAATTCTAAAATGAATTCAATTTCTTCTCTTAGTCTAAAGTCATGTAGTAACATATTGTTCCTTTGAAATCAAACTCACTCCACTTTACATTCCTAAATAGCTGACAGAGAAACAAAAACACTTAACAACACGAAGAGACCACTTTTATTCCACTCATTTGGCACTACCAAAAAAAAAGCAGAAAAAAAAACAGAAAAGAAAGAAATTCTCTAATTCTGCTTCTAACAGGTGCAGGGATAATCACACACAATTCCTGAATTTCAGCCACTTGCATCTTTTTCTATTGGAGAATGTACTTGCACTAATTTCAACCAAATCTTTGTTTATAGTAGACCCTCCTGAATTCCTGAAAACTGATGAAAATCCACAACAAACCTCATTGTGTGGGGGAAGCAGTTCAATCTCCTCTAGACCATCATTTGTCATTAGATTATTATAACCTTAAACATGCACTCATCGTTTAAAAAAGATCATATATTATTTCATAATGATGCTAATTAACACTGTATGCATTCATTTAAAAACTCACATAAAGATCATTGACACTGACTTAATAATAGACTGAAAGGTTTGGTCTAGGATAAGCTTTAATTATAGCAACATTCTAACAAATATTATAACCAAATCTGCAGAAACCAAGAACTACATGCACTTGCTGACCAAGAAAATTTTATCCTGGTAAATCATATCAGACAACCCTAAGTGCATCCCCCTTCATTTACAACCATTGTCTCACATGCTAACAATCAGTCTTAATTACCAATCACCCATAGACAGCTATCAAGACAATCAGCTCTCTGATGAAATCCATAGTCAGACTATATACTCCTAGCTGTCAGAGGTAAGCTCTCATTAAAAGTTATCTAACACAATACATGTATATTAGAAATTCAGTGGCTATCATTTCTCAAGGGAAAGTCTGGATTCATCTGTAAACAACTACTTTTAATACAGGTATTTCAAAAATTCCTTAAATATCTGTTAATTATAGGCTTCATTGTTTTATTATCCTTAAAGTAATTTTTTATTTTCTGGTATTCAGAATTGGCTATTCAGACAACATTTTACTTTTAAAACGTTAAAAATTCAACATGTGTATTTCTACAATGTAATTTGATATTAAATCCCTATATCCTTTATATTTTCCATTTAACCACGAGCTTTTCACCAAGGACAATGCTGCTAGATTAAAGTATCACTTTGCAAATCAAATACGTTACCAAAATTATTTCAATAAAAATTTAATGCAGTTAAACAGTAGCATACATTTAGTGTATAAATATAGCTGCATCAAGTATAATAACTATTCTGTAACTCGATCAATCATATTTTTGAATACAATTGGCAATATCTAATATTGTATGTGAATTCGTTGGTCTTTTCAATTTTTCTCTTTCTAAATCTGACTGCTATTTTTAATTGATTGTGCAACTTTTCTCGGTTAGCAGGAACTTCCTTCTGGGGTTTGAGTCATTCCAGATTGACAAACAACTTAATGTTATCCATTATTCATTCCACATTCTCAAAAAAGGCCCAACTTTAATGAAATCAATAACTTCTCCTTCCAAATGACATCTTTACTGTGCGATCTGATATTAAAAAGATCAAACTGTTGTGTGGTTTGTAAAATGATCCGATTCAGACCTAGTGACTCTTTCATTCAGCAAGAATGACGCAGTGTAACAATTTTAACTTTCAAAATCAAAATACTCAAAGGTATTAATTGTTAGACATTAAAATCTTCACATGAAATATGCCCCCTTCCAAATATTGATAAAATATTCATGTACTAATCAAGCAATTAATTATTATAAAATTTCAGGCCTTCTCGTAATTTTTGAAAAATTACTCAATATGACAAAACTCATTTATAATCATTCAAAAACATTCCTTATTTTGTGGGAAAAAATATATTTCAAATTAACACTTACAAAAAATATACTAAATTGCTTTCAATAAAAAAAAATAATCAACAGACAGCATCTGGGATAAATATAATGACATTTATATATATCAGTATGATATACTTTGTTATATACAGGTCAAGTGTATGAAAGCTGAAGATAAGTTGTAATCCCTATTTTTCTTTGTATCATAAATGAACCAATATAATATTAATTTCAAAGTCATAAATTTCAGATGAAATCATGTCCTCCATGATAAAGTTATTTTTTTCAGGTATAATGTTCCTACCTGGCTGTGTTCTATCTATATCCCGGGGCTTCGGTTCCTGATTCTGCCTGTTGCTCCTCATTCTGTTGATTGACTATCAATACTCCTGGTGTTTACCGAGTTTTCTGCCGCTGCTGATGTATGTGGGATTTACCGATCAATAACCACGATGAACTAACCGAGAGACAGCGCCCAGTGTGAGTAGTGTTAACAGCATCAGTGGATGCAGCTAGCACAGGTGTATCTCTTACACAAGGACCAAGGTGTGATTTTGGTTTTTGTGTAGGGTGGTGAAATATCGAGATTTTCAATATTTTTTTTAACAGGTGTTAAAGTTAATCATTACCTCCAGCCAATATAAAAAAAATAAATGAAATAATCTTTTTTTTAAATATTCCAAACCAGATATTTTATTAAATAATTTCAGAGTGAATAAAACACAAATGATAAAATTGGATTGGATTTTGTTGGTCATACTAATAAGCAATTCATAATAGAGTGTATGTTCTAGCGGTAGCACAATAAGCCATTCAGATTTATGTTTTTCAAAAAGATCCTTTTTATGGCATCAATGAAACAATAATATATATAGTGTATTGTAATATATGTTTGTGTTTTGAATTAAGATGATAGAAGAAATATATTGCATGCTATGTACTTTACACGTTTTTAAATCACAGTACACTTTCATAATAAATCCATTGTTATTAAAAATATTAACCAAATTGCTTAAATTGGGGGAAAACTGAAAAAAATATTGACTTTCTGAAAAATATCATAATTATTTACATTGTATGCTAAATAATTCTGTCAAGGTTAATAATGTGTCAGAAGAAGCAATGGTAATCGTCTAGAACATATTGCACAACAAGGATTCCTGACCACACCAAAGAAAAACAACTTGATCATTTCATCCAAGGGTGCCCTAGTGCATAATTTGTTTATTTACCACAAACAACTGCATGTCTCACAAATAATGCTTCATCACGTCTGGACAGATGCTTTCCTCAGACAGGTTTTACGACTATATACTAGAGTGTACTGTATCTATGTAACCTGCACTTAAGGAGCTAAGTTATTACATTGGATCATTAGCAATCTTTGGAGCTGACTACCTTCATTATCACATGTTTGATAAATGTATTATGATGTCCAGAATCTAGCATCCAATTGACAGCAATCAAGTGATTTAAACATTGATAAAATGATTGAATAAGTTGCAATGCATGTAGTATGGTGATTTACTACTGATCATAACTTTAGAGCTTGATAAGGAGTGCTTCATTTCGTTAAAAATCAGTACCTTTTATAATCTGGTTAAATGCAGCTCACACATGGTGTAACTTATGACAAACATAGGTAATCAGAGATTACAGAGCTCACCTCAATGAATGTGGTCTTTAAGTAAGGCAAAGTCACACAATTAACTAACAAAAGGTGTACATCCAAAAATACAAAATTTATGCACTTTTGATCAAACTAGTTCTTTATCATGAAAACATAATTAAAATCCAGCATCTGAAGCAAGTTTGAGAGTTTTCATCCCTTGATGCATCATTTGTACAAGTTTGGTTTATATAAGCCTTACAGTTTCTTGGTAATAGACCTGCACCCATAACTTTTACCTGGTTCATTATCTGGAAAATGTAAGTCGAATTCAGCATCCAAAGCAAGTCCATTAGTGTGCATCCTAAGATGTATCATTCATGCAAGTTTGCTCAATATAGGGCTCATAGTTACTTGGAAATGAAACCTGCATAAAAAGCTAACCTTTTCACTCATCCACAAAATGTAGGTCAGATTCAGCATCCGAAGCCAGCCTGGTAGAATGCATCCTAAGATGCATCATCCATGCAAGTTTGGTCATTAAAGAACTAGTAGCAACTTGAGTTTATCTGGATCTAACACAGTGAGGGTACATACAGATCTGGATCATGTTTGTTTGTGTTTATCTGGATCTAACACAGTCAGGGTATATACAGATCTGGATCTAACACAGTGAGGGTACATGTATATACAGATCTGGATCTAACACAGTGAGGGTACATACAGATCTGGATTGTGATCATGTGTGTTTGTGTTTATCTGGATCTAACACAGTGAAGGTACTTACAGATCTGGATCGTGTTCGTTTGTGTTTATCTGGATCTAACACAGTCAGGGTATATACAGATCTGAAAATGAAACCTATACCAAAAACTTTGATTGTTCACTCAATCGGAAAATTTAGGTCAGATTCAGCATCCGAAGCAAGCTTGGTAGTGTGCATCCTTAGCTGTATTATCCATGCAAGTTTGGTCAACATAGGGCCCATAGTTACTTGGAAATGAATCCTGCACCAAAAACTTTAACCTCTTCACTCGTCCAAAAAATGTAAGTCAGATTCAGCATCCGAAGCAAGTCTGGTAATATGCATCCTAAGATGTACCATCCATGCAAGTTTAGTCATTATAGGGCTCACAGTAACTTGGAAATGAATCCTGCACCAAAAACTTTAACCTGTTCACTCATCCAGAAAATGTAGGTCAGATTCAGCATCCGTAGCAAGTCTGGTAGTATGCATCCTAAGATGTACCATCCATGCAAGTTTAGTCATTATAGGGCTCACAGTAACTTGGAAATGAAACCTGCACTAAAAACTTTAACCTGTTCACTCATCCGGAAAATGTAGGTCAGATTCAGCATCCGAAGCAAGTCTGGTAGTATGCATCCTAAGATGTACCATCCATGCAAGTTTGGTCAACATAGGGCTTATAGTTACTCGGGAATGAGACCTATGCCAAAAACTGCACCAAAAATGTTAACCTGCTCCAAAAACATTAACCTGGTCATTGCTTTGCTGAAATTTCAGCATCTGAAACTGTGACTAGTACAATGAAACATACTAGGAACAACTTCCATGCATGTCTAATCAATATAGGACATAGAAGTACTTAAAAGGAAAACTGCTCCAAAAAACTTAACCTTACCCCGGGACGCCGACGCCGAGGGTATTACATAAGCTCCCCCAACTTCGTTGAGGTGAGCTAAAAATGATCCACTACATGTGAGGTAATGAGCCTTACTACATATAGTATCTGGTACTTTCGTTTACTACTTATAGGAGGTTTGATATAAATCTGTTTGTAGCTTATATAGATTAATCTTTTTGAATATAAAATGACAAAATCAATTTCCTATTTTACCACTTTATCACTAAAAATATGGCGTAGGGAGGTTTGTAAAACAGCCCACTTGGCTTTAGAAACCTACATTCATCAGCTCCTTTCTGCAATATACAATGCACATGTTTAAATTGCAAAAGACGATCGACACATCAATGTGGTCTAAATAAGTATTTCACTCTCAAGTCAAATGTACATTTTAACTGCACAGGTTTGAAACATGTTTCTGATCTGATAATTTTTTGATGACGTTCGTGATTTATTGGAGAATAATGTCTGCGGCATTTCTTTGATCTCGGTAATAATCGTAGTTGAATATATATGGTAATGAAGATTACAAATAGTGACTTGAAGAAACTAGAATGTGTTACACCAAGAGTGGTAACTGCAATAAAGTGGTGCACTTTAGGTGTGATGAAGGTTTTTTTTCCCCCAAATGTATTCCTGGGTTAAGGCTTTAGTAAATTTGAACATTAATTTGGTGTACATACTCCTGGTAATGAATTTCAGGGACATTGTGTTTGAGTCAATGATTATGAATTCTGTGATGTGTTGTTGTAGTTTGGTGCATGGTAACGAAAATAGATCATTACCGACCTTAATGTATTCAAAGACTGTTATTTGCACTGACAGTCTGTTGATCTGATACAAAGGTTACATATTACAGATGTTACAAATAACTTAAGTTCACTGTTAATCAGCTGATGCAAGTTTTATTTATAAATACTGTATATATACAGGTTTATTTTGGCATTTGTGTCATCTTATTTTACCACCTACAAACAATTTTGCCCAATTTCAAATTTACCTAACACAGTTCTGTTTAAGAGGTAATGCAGTTTTCTTGAATCAGCACCATTGTAAATTTGCGCATTTTCGACAAAGACAAAGGGGGCCAAAAAAAAAAAACAACAAGCATTTGACCACGAACAGAACTTGAATTCATGGAGAATTTTCAGGAGAACAATGCTTACACTGGTAAGTTAAAATTTTAACTGAATGATACATACATGTTCAGCAAACACCACAAGGGCATTAAACTCGGGAGCGATATCGAACACGAAGCCAGTGTTGTCCCAGAAGGTGTCTATTGGGCCCTCATTTCCTGTGTAGAAGAAGATTGGACCAACTCCAGGTTTCCACCACTGATCTATAAATCAAACAGAGCACTCATGTATTCATATAGAAATGGATAAAAACGCTAAAATACATTATTAAAATAAATCATTATACATTTATATACCCTGGTACACACTGATCTGAAAATTAACAGCTGTTGTTAACAGTTATGCACTAGATGTCAGACATATGGAGACCATTTCATACGGTGTACATGTATGACAATTTCCCATCTATCCCTATGTAAAATTTCAATTCCTACCCCCAGGGTTCATGATTTGAACAAACCTGAATCTGCACTATGTAATGAAGCTTTCACAGTTTCATCTTTTCTGCTTCTTTGGTTCTTGAAAAGAAAATCTTTTTAATATGCCATCACATTTTAATAAATTCATAATAATCTCCCCTTGAATGAGGAAAGACCTTTTAATAAACTTGAGCCCCCTTCACCCAAGGATGTTTTGTGACAAGTTTGGTTGAAATTGGCCCAGTGATTCTTGAGAAGAGATTAAAAATGTGAAAAGTTTACTGACAACTGTGACAATTTATCAGGGAGGGTTGGGTTCACCTCTTGTGAGAAGACTTGGCCCTTCATTTTAACTAGGCCGAGTCTAATTATTTCTACCCTAGGGATTTTGATAATTTTTCGTTTATTAATTTTCACTGTTATATTTATTGTTTTAAGATTTTAAAAAATCGAATGTTTACCACCCCGATTTCTTAGGGGGCCATCTCAAAAGTTGTCAAATTTTACTGCTGGACCCTAGTATGGGAATTTGATGGAAAAGATTTTTAAAGATTTTTTCCTATATATTCCTATGTAAAACTTTAATCAGTCATATTGGCCCCACCCTACCCCCAGGGGTCATGATTTGAACAAACTTGAATCTACACTACCTGAGGATGATTCCACATGATTTCATCTTTCCTGGCCCAGTGGTTCTTGAGAAAAAGATTTTTAAAGATTTTTCCTATATATTCCTATGTAAAACTTTGATCGGCCATTTTGGTCCCACCCTACCCCCGGGGTTCATGATTTGAACAAACTTGAATCTTTACTACCTGAGGATGATTCCACATGAGTTTCATCTTTCCTGTCTCAATGGTTCTTGAGAAGAAGATTTTTAAAGATTTTTCCTATATACTCCTAATATGTAAAACTTTGATCGGCCATTTTGGCCCCACCCTACCCCCAGGGGTCATGATTTAAACAAATTTGAATCTACACTACCTAAGGATGATTCCACATGAGTTTTATCTTTCCTGTATCAATGGTTCTTGAGAAGAAGATTTTTAAGGATTTTTCCTATATACTCCTATGTAAAACTTTGATCGGCCATTTTGGCCCCACCCTACCCCCAGGGGTCATGATTTGAACAAATTTGAATCTACACTACCTGGGGATGATTCCACATGAGTTTCATCTTTCCTGGCCCAGTGGTTCTTGAGAAGAAGATTTTTAAACAAGAGGCCCATGGGCCACATCGCTCACCTGAGAAGCTTTGACCATTCCGTTCTTTACCAGATTTCCCACTTGTTATACATATTGTGACAACATCCTACACCACTGATCATAATTTAGACAATTTGAAATCTACACTACCATAGGATGCTTTGATTCCCCATTGTAAAACTTTGATTCCCCATTGTGGCCCTGACCAACCACCAGGGGTAATTCTTGAGTAGAAGATTTTCAAAGATTTTCCCCATATATTTCTATGTTAGACTTTGATTCCCCATTGTGGCCCCGCCCTATCCCCCGCGGTCATGATTTTAACAAGAGGCCCATGGGCCACATCGCTCACCTGAGAAGCTTTGACCATTCTGTTCTTTACCAGATTTCCCCCTTGTAATACGTAATGCATCCCCACCCTACCCCACTGATCATAATTTACACATTTTGAAATCTACACTACCCCATGATCCTTCCATGTGCACATAAGTTTCAGCTTTTCTGGCCCAGTGGTTTTTCCTATATATTTCTATGCAAAACTTTGATTCCCCATTTGTGGCCCCGCCCTTCCCCATGATTTGAATAATTTAGAATCTACATTACCCCTGGATACTTCCACATAAGTTTCAGCTTTTCTGGCCCATTGGTTCTTGAGAAGAAGATTTTCAAAGATTTTTCCTACATATTTCTATGTAAAACTTTGATTCCCCATTGTGGCCCCGCCCTTCCCCCAGGGGTCATGATTTGAACAATTTAGAATCTACATTATACCAGGATGCTTCCACATAGGTTTCAGCTTTTCTGGCCCAGTGGTTCTTGAGAAGAAGATTTTCAAAGATTTTTTCTATATATTTCTATGTAAAACTTTGATTCCCCATTGTGGCCCCGCCCTTCCCCCAGGGGTCATGATTTGAACAATCTAGAATCTACACTATACCAGGATGCTTCCACATAGGTTTCAGCTTTTCTGGCCCAGTGGTTCTTGAGAAGAAGATTTTCAAAGATTTTTCCTATATATTTCTATGTAAAACTTTGATTCCCCATTGTGGCCCCGCCCAACCCCCGGGGGTCATGATTTTAACAATTTAGAATCTACACTATCCCAGGATGCTTCCACATAAGTTTTAGCTTTTCTGGCCCAGTGGTTCTTGAGAAGAAGATTTTCAAAGATTTTTCCTATACATTTCTAAGTAAAACTTTGATTCCCCATTGTGGCCCCGCCCAACCCCCAGGGGTCATGATTTTTACAATATAGAATCTACACTACCCTAGGATGCTTTCACATAAGTTTCAGCTTTTCTGACCCATTGGTTCTTGAGAATAAGATTTTTTAATGACCCCACCCTATTTTTTTTCTTTTCTTGATTATCTCCCCTTATGAAGGGACTTGGCCCTTCATTTTAATAATTTAAATTTCCCTTCACCCAAGAATGCTTTGTACTAAGTTTGGTCAAAATTGGCCCAGTGGTTCTTAAGAAGAAGTCGAAAATGTGAAAAGTTTACAGACGGACAGACAGACGGACGGACGGAAAAAATGTGATCAGAAAAGCTCACTTGAGCCTTCGGCTCAGGTGAGCTAAAAACGCCATTAATTTTTCTCTAATTCATAATTATCTCCCCTTAGAAAAGGGCGTGACCCTTCATCTGAACAAACTTGAATTCCCTTTACCCAAGGATACTTTGTAGCAAGTTTGGTTGAAATTGGCCCAGTGGTTCTTGAGAAGAAGATGAAAATGTGAAAAGTTTACAACGACAACAACGACTACAACGACGACAACAAAGACAGACAATGGACAAATTTTGATCAGAACAGCTCACTTGAGCCTTCGACTCAGGTGAGCTAAAAAGTCACCAAATTGTGAAATTTCAAAAAAGTTGACCATCTAGGTTGATCTAGATCTTAATTACAAAGTTTATTTTTTCTATGCCCAATACCTCTAAAATTGCCAAATTGTGTTATAAATACATCTCGGTGCAGATGAATCATCGGTGCAGATACTTTTTTTGGTAAAAATATTGCAATATTTAGATTGCTAGTATGTTTCTTTTGATGTTCTGTTAGCAGTTTTTCGTATAATATCCAAGAACGTCTACGAAAACATATAAGCGAGTCATGTGTCATTCCTCAGCGTCGTGCATTGCTTACAAAATCGGAAAACAGTGACGTCATTAGAGCCATATCAGCCTTTTTTCCCAAAGTGTTGTCGTAAAATCACATATTCAGACCAGTAGGCATTACAGATAATGTTAATTTCATATTAGAGTAACAATATTTGGGAAGGTGTACTGTTGCACTTGTGACTGCATGAAATTAAAAAGCTGCACAAACATCATGTGTACTCAAATTAGAATCGGCCTCTTTAACAATTCATACTCCCCTTCAGCTAATGCTTTGTACCAAGTTTGGTCAAAATTGGCATGGTGGTTTTTGAGAAGTTGAAAATGTGAAAAGTTTACAGACGGACAGACAGCTAGACAGACGATGGAAAAAATGTGATCAGAAAGGCTTACTTGAGCCTTCAGCTCTGACTGAGCTCACAAAAGAATAATGTTATTGACTGTCCAATATATTTATATAAACAGATGCCACAATGATATGAAAAACATGAGCAAATGGAGTCTTTAATGAAAACAGATCATAAAAGGTTATATAGGAACAAGACCTCAGAAAAATCAATATTTGTGATAAGTCTAAATATTATTTACAGATTAATTTACATGTAAAAAATCCATATTTGTCATATGTCTAAGAATCATTAAAGATTTCTGGAACATCGTAATTGTAAGAAAGCAGAAGGCATGGTATGGTATTGATTTTTTGGGCATTGAACCATATTAATCAAAATAATATTCCATTTGATTGATGTTCTATACTAAGCTTTAATTTTAAAGCAATTTCATTATATATTTTTATATTGAACTCTTCTTCTTCAAAAGTTTAAATTGAATTATTGTTTTAAAATGACCATGGCAAATACCCAGGAATTTCTACTTAAATGATGGAGTTTCTTCCTTATTTTTAATTAATTACTTAATTTTTATGTTATCTAAATGATCCAGAAATATACTCTCTGAAACAAGATGCATTCGTGAAACACTGATGCCCCCTATGACAGCTTATGACAAGGGTTGAATTCTCTCAAATACATGTCAAACTCCAAAGGTCACGGTCAAAGGTCAAAACTGTTTGTACCCAACAGAAGGTCTTGTAAAGGCCCTGTCACACCGTCCTGCATTCACACGGAGTCATTACGGCGTTGTTAAATTTTTAAAATCGCCGTGGAATCGCAGGAAAATTGCACAAATTTCTGTAAAATTTTCACAATGTGAAGATGTCACGGCGTTCCTACGGCGACGGTCGCGATTCTACGGCGATCTCACGGCGTTCTACTGCGTTCCCACGGAGATCTCTCGGCGATTGACTGCGCTTCCGTGGAGTTTTCACGGCGCGTTAGGAGTTTTCACCTCGTGTTCACGGCGTTCTCACTGTGCTGGCTGCGTTCACAATACGTTCACAATGCGTTCTATACTCATTGATATATATTCAGAAGGAATGTAAAACATTTTTGTTTGAAGATTCAAGTTACACGATGAAAAGACTTCTTATCATGCCAAGAAAAATTCTTAATAATTAAAAATGTTCTATTTAAATAATTTAGTAGTAAATTATTAATACTTTTATGATTAAACTCCTTTTTTTCTCAATTTTATCGGTTCAGATGTGTTGTTAAATTTTCTTTGATTTTATTATGAACGTAAAAAAAATAAACACACTGAAAAGTTTTCTACAAAATTTAAGTGAAACAACAAAACAAATCTCTTCCATATTTTACTTAAATGCTCCTAGTGAATCAAATACGTTGGAATTCTGATCCCATTGCTCTTATTTTGTGAGCTGGCTAACAACGCTCTAACAACGCCGTGAAAGCGCATTGTGATCGCCAACGGACGCTGTAGAAACGCCACGGGAGCGCAACGATCGCAGTGACAACTCCGTGCTGTCGCCGTGTAATCGCTGTCGAAAAAATCACAAGACGATAAATCTCATTAGAAGCGCGGTAAAAACGCGATAGAAACGCAGTGAAATCTCCAAGGACTCCGCGACATCTCCGTGAGGTCTCCGTGGAAGCGCAGTCTTCTATCACTGTGTTCGTGCCGCGATCATGTGCGTCTTCACGGCGTTCGTACGGAGCTCCCACTACGTTGTTGGAGATCTCACCGCGCTGCTACGGCGATCATACTACGTTTCTACTGCGTTATATATTGACCGCGATCACACGGCGCGTACTTTGTGCATGCCCAAAGTGATCGCCATCCTCTGGCGTTCTAGGAGACCCTACGCGACCCTACGGCGTTCAGTGGAGATCTCACCGCGTTGTCACGGCGCTGTAGGAGACTCTACTGCGATCACCTCGGCGTTTTGCATTTTTTGAAGACGCCTTGCAGTCGCCGTGAGGACGCAGCCCCAGTGTGACAGGGGTTTTACAAGGAATACACCTGTGAAATATGAAAGCCGTAGTTCTAACTGTTCAAAAGTTATGACCAAACTCCAAAGTTTAACGTTTTTTTTTTTTAAATTGAGTCAAATTCTTTGGTCAAGGTCAAAAATATTTAAATCAGCTGAAAGTTCTTGTCACAATAAATACACATGTAAAGTATGAAAGCCCTACTTCCAACTGTTTAAAAGTTATGGCCAAGGTTAAGGTGTGGTATATTTTTGTAAAAGTAAATCAAACTCCAAGGACAAGAGGTCAAATTTGGTGGTACCCAAAGAAAGGTCTTGTTACAAGGAATACACCAGTGAAATATGAAAGCCATAGCCACACCCACTCAATAGTTATGGGATACGTTAAAGTTCACATCAGACAGACAGAAAACAGACAGACAGATAGACAGACAGGACAAAAACAATATTCCCCCAGGTTCTTTAGATCTGGGGGCATAAAAAACTCAAATGTGACTTCTGGGAGCTTTCTGGTCACTGGAAAATCAACTTTGAATATGTTTTGTATGGGCATCCATGACATTCCCATTTTAATAATCGCTTAAATAAATGTAGCAAAACCTCTTATCTGAATAGTATGGAGTTGAAATTCATTGAATGTAAAAGAAAACAAAAGAAACAATAGACTTTGTCTACTCAATTATTATACTTAAATAAATAGGAAGTGACTCCAATTTGTATAAAATTTTAACATCCGATGATGTAAATTGTGTTTGAGGTGTTTCTCGGGGCCTGCCAGAAAATGAAGGCTTGAGAAAGTTTTGATAAAAAAATATTTTCTCACTTCTGTAAAATTTTATTCTGAAAATGCTTTACAACAATGTCAAGAAAGATAACTCACATAAGTGATGAAATTCTGAAAAAATCATAATATGTGCAAATGAACTTTCTCTGTGAATATTGTGGTAATTTATTTATAAAAGAGGCTAAATCAAATGGAATATGGCTGCTTTTTTATAGGTTACATATATGCAAAATTCTAAGATCTGATGTCATGTGATATGTGACAATAGTCTATCTAGTGAGTCCTGAGCAGTTAGATTGAAGAAGGTGTCTCTCTAAAAGCTATATGGTACCACTCATCACAAGTGGTTGCATCTGAATAGACTATTGCCATCTTTTTCTCTTTGACCCAACACAATGAAAAGACACTAGATATGTTTTGAAATGTTTCCTTTCTTGGGTGAATTAATTTAAATACAGCATGACTCAGTCTCACCAATAACATTTTTGACAGGTGCAGTTTGTCAGTAACTGGTTTAATCAGGCTGTTCATTACACACATGGTCTTAATATGAGACCAAAATTCACATCTCATTTCATTTTATTTATCTGGTCAAATGCTGATTGGATTACAAAAAATGATTTTCCTTTACTTTTTCAACTTTACAATTAACAAGAAAAAAACGAAGACACCCACAAGCCCCAGCGTCAACAGGTCCAGAACAATCACTGAATCAGTAGGTAATTAACGTTGACTGTACCAGACCTGCATGGTCAAGAGTCACACTATACAAACCTTGGATTAAATATCTTTCTTTAAATGTCTTCTGACCAAATGATACGAAATTGAAATGATCAACATGTTGATCTAGAAAAAGTTCCTTAAAGGGAACAGAATGTCCACAGATAAGTGACAAATACTGAAAAATCACAAGAAGTCCGTAGGAATTCATTTTCCCGGGTCACGCGCAATCGAATATTCAGAATGTCGATCCCGAGTTAGTTTTATAATATTAAACATTTTCCAATGCGCTTTTTACAAACAAACAAAATACTTTTCATTGTCACCAATATGAGGAAGTATTTTTTTCTTTTTTTAATAATTTAAAATCAAGTATTAATTTAACAAATTATTTTTTTTTAAATTAAATCTAAGTAAATATAATTAATATGAATGAAGATTTGTATATACGTTTAATTCTTTTCTACAATTATAGACCAAACGTTTTAAAATCACAAGGTATAATAAATGAACAATTTTTTTTTTGCATTAACCATGACGAATGGTAAATGATGTATTCGTGTAACTCAAGATTCTTTTCACGCATAAAATTCTTTTTAAAAAATTGACCTACTAAAGACAAGCTTGACATTTATCTCCGATTTTAAAATGACACGACCAAATTCTAAAAATGTCGATAAGATATAAGCAAGGTCAACGTCTTCTGCATACTATAAAGGTTTGTACTGAGTAAATACTAATAAAAGCTCACAATATGGCGACCTACATATTATAACATAGAACTATATGTACAGTACATGTACATTTGTAGTAAGATATACATATACCCCGCAGGCAATACAAGCATTAAAAGCAACACTTCCTTGTTTTCCCAAATGAAGTGTTGTGATTTATTAACCTGGTGGAAAGAGAACTATATACCTTGGACATTGTACCCCGTTAATCTCAGCTGTGACTAATTCTTTCTTTACCGAGTAGTTATATATTTAAAAACGAAAATAAACATTCCACGTGGAGTCCTTAGGATTTGTAATGTTTTTTGAGAGGTACATGTAACCAGATGGAAAGTGAAGGGATACTTGGAATTTCATATCCAGTGCTACTAACTACGTTAGTTGTTGGAATAGTGACATGGATATTTTATGATCAAGTTCAATTTTTCGCAAAACATTTTCTAGCAAATTTAAGTTGGCAAGTGTTTTCAATATTTCCTATCATTTCATCGCTATTTTATGGACGCATACCAACAAATAGAAGGTACATATGTTTTAAATTTTATTCATTATTTTTAAAAACATTATAATAAGTTTGTTTATTCCTGTTTTTGTTTTGTTTTCAAGGATATCACTCGCACGTACCATGATTCCAAAGTCCAGTTGTGTAAATTACAAAATATCAAGGATTGTTTACACGGTTTTCAATGACTTGAGATTATTTAAAATACACCACGGATATAAATAGTTTTAGTAAAGAGAATATTCAAAAAATAAAATAAAACGATTATAATGGCCAATTACTCCGGAAATTTAGAAGTGTCGACAATGGTACTTCGAAGAAGTATACTATCTTTACATTTATATCTGAATTAGAGATGATGATGATGAGAGAGAGAGAGAGAGAGAGAGAGAGAGAGAGAGAGAGAGAGAGAGAGAGAGAGAGAGAGAGAGAGAGAGAGAGAGAGAACTCAAATATAACTTTGTCCACTAATTATGTTCCCAAACGAAGTTTGTGGGAACCTACTGTTTTTACTTTGTTAATTTTTTGTCTCTTCTTCTCATTATTATAATTTTCTGTCATTAGGTATTTTAGCATTGGGGTGAAACTAGCCAACAAGTACCTGATTGGAACTAAGTACATAGTCAGGGGACAGAAGTATGTCGAAGATGACTTCGCGTGTATCATCATTTCTAACCATCAGAGCTCTCTTGACGGAAATTGTAAGTAAACACAATTTCCTGAATAGATATTGGTTTAATCATGTTGAAAAAAATGAATTTATAAGGGGAGGAGGGCTACATTTAGGTTAATGCAAAATTTACACCATAACTAGTTCTCATTTCGTAAATTTTGTTTTAACACCCCCCACCCTCCCCTCGTAAATTGAAAATGTACAACATGATAGTTTGATTTTTTTTGAATGTTAATTTTTGATAAGGATTATATGCCAATGTATGATGGTGTTGTCAATAAATTCTCTTAAATAGAATAAACTGAAAAGACCAGAAATATTAAATATACTTCTGTTTTTCAGTCATGGTTCAACTTGGGAATTATAAGGGCTCCATTGTTATATTGAAGAAATCCCTCCTCTACGCCTCCGGACTCCTCGGTATCGCTTTCTACTGCACTGGTGCTATATTTGTCAACAGGAGCAACCCCGAGAGTGCCAAAAAATCTCTCAATAGCGCTCTAGATAGAATTGTCAAAGAAAAGGTAGACTATTTAGCTAATATGATAAAGTTCATAAACATAAGTACACGAAAATTTGTATAATTATATCCTCTATTCTTTAACATAACACACAATGTACGGGGGAAATACCGGGATTCTTCATAAAAATACGAATCTACTTTTCTTTTTGAATATGACTGTCTTCTAGCTAATATATGAATGAAATTTATTGACATAATTACATAAAGTTTGGTTTAATTATATTTTTTTAGCATATCGAAATAAAATGTAAGCTAAAATTATTTTATATAGAAATAAAAACTAATTCAAATCGCTTCGCTTTTTTCCTTCAAGCTTTTTAAATGTAAATGCACATCGTAAATGCGTTAGACGTAAAAAAAAAAATACATATAACATTAACTTGAAAATATTCGTTGTCTCAGTTTTCCAGAAATTGAACAAAAAATTATCTGCAGAGAAAGCAATGAAAAATGCTGTCTTTTACAGTTAAAGCCTCAATTTTACCCTGAGGGAACTCGTCACATGGGGAAAGAAATGTTACCATTCAAGAAGGGTGCATTTGTAATGGCAATTCAAGCGCAGGTAATAACAGAGACCGAGCCAATGGTCTAAATAGAGACCTAATTGTCTCTGCGTGTGTTTATGAATTTCTTGTCTGTTTTGTGTCTTTTGACATCAGTCTGAGGACATTTTTTTTCTGATTACCTTTCCATTTGTGACGATATTTCAAGCGCAGATATTACAAGAAAACAAGTGAAAAGAAACTAAAAAGATTCTGTATATGTTCTGTTTGTGAATTTCATATTTTGCTTTGTATCTATAAGAACATTTCTCTTTCCAGATCCCGATACTTCCGGTAGTTACTTCTAGCTACCGCCATTTCTATGATAAAAAGAGAAAAATATTTAAACAAGGTATGATATTACAAAGTCTTTTTATGCAACTTGATTTTTTTCCTCAAGTTTTTATTTTGCTTATTGTGACGTCATTTTCATCAACAGGTACTGTTATTGTGACGTGTCTTCCGCCCATTCCTACAAAAGGACTTACCTTAAATGACCTCGATGACTTTGTACAAAAAGTGAGGAAGACGATGCAAGAAACAATAGATAAAACAACTGAAGAAGTTGAAAATAACTTGTGAATGATTGGAATTTACTTGGATTTATTTACATGTATTTATTTATTAATCTTAAGCAGAGTTCTGTGATACCATCATACTTCATGTTCAATACCACTCACAAATCTGAATGTTTTTGAGCCATGAGCAAACATGTTAAAATAACAAAAGACATAAGTCTTTTTTGATTTGGTTAGTTAAGTTTGATTAACACAATTCTATGGATTTTATATGAAATGATAATATATCTTTAACTTTTCAGTCGAAGGTCCAATCTGGAAAAATATTTTTAAAAATGATTATTCGTGCACGGACACTACTTGAAACTTTTCTACGGCTTCCTTGACATGTATTCGTAATATACACTGTGTATATTTTTATTTGATTGAATAAGCTATGAATTGAATGGATATAAGATTAAGAAAACACAATTGCATATATAAAAATACCATTTCCTATGACATTCTTTTCATGTTACATATGGTATGAAAATAATAAAGACATGGCTTAAATTGCAATTATTTTTTGAACAACAGCACTTTGTACATGTACATGCTATATAATTATATAAACTTTACTGGGAAAAAACGTTAGATCATCTTTAAAAAATGTTTGGTTGCCCTCTCCCGACCGACTGACTAAAAAAGGCTGGACTCTAAGCGTTTTTATAACACTACAGGACACGATATTTTTCTTTTTATTCTTATCCCGTCAACAAATATGTTGAAATTTTCTGGAAAAAAGATTTTCCCACCCACCTACCGACTCAATAATTTTTATCCTTAGCCGGGGGATCGAAGACAAACAAACATTGATTTATAAGGATGACCTTAGCATCCATAATGCCAACCCAAACAGATCGAGTATAGGAGAATTTCCAAATACTTATTGGCTTGATATGTTTTATAAGAAAATTTAAGAATTTGGAATCCTCTACATGAATGTGCCATATAGGACGTATAAACAGCCTTGAAATGCATTGTACCATAAAACACTGTACAGTGTTTACTATTATGAAAATGAGAAAATGCACAACTTCGGTTCGTGTCTTTATACACAGGCAATGTAAGAATTTACTTAAATTTTACTTTCAAGAATTTACGAAAGAGAAGCGAAAATACCATAGAAGACATTCTTATGTAAAAGGAAATTCTTCTTCTTCCTCAGACGAATCTCTAAATCTCCGAGAAAAGCTAAGGAATGGGTCAATCCTACGTCTAGAGCCGAATAGAGAGGGTTTTCGATGCAAGTAAAGTGGTCTCCGATATCCATTATCTTCCTTATTTCGTATCAATCTCTCTATATTATTTTCTGGACCAGGAAATACATTCCAATATGTATCCACGGCAAAGGCTTTTATGGTACCATCATTACTGTCCCCTATCCAAATCTTACTGGTATTGTCTGTATAAATACTGCATGGACTTTCACAGTCTTCACAAATGACGAGTCCCATGAAGACACCTGTTGGTGAAATAATGTGTAAAGTTTTAGTTGTCCCGTTCAACACAAGAAAACTGTCATCTGCGAATGATGTGACTGAAAGTGGCTTGAATTCTTCTTCGATTTGCTCTAAAGTGCATCCGGAGTATCTTTTGATTAAATGTCCATCCATGCCCCTGATATCTACAAAATTTATTTCTGCATACAGTATACACATAACAGAACAACTATCATTAACAGCAAGAGAATGAGGGTAGGATTCCACTTTTAAATCAAATTTGTCAAGTTCCTTGCCGGCATTGTCTAAAACCTGTCCAATAAGAGTTGACCGGTTTCCCATCCCCAAAACAAGAATTCGATCCTGCTGAATGGAGCATATTTTCAGAGGGTCGCAATCCTTAATAGAAATCACGGACACATCGGTGCTATTAAACGTCGTTTTCATAACTAAAGAACAATTCCGTATTAAGGAAAATATTGTTCCATCCCCTGAACCACAAAGATCTGTAGCGCCATCAACAATCGGATTTTCACTCAAGACCAAACCATTCCGCGTGTCAAAAACGCGACAGATAGAGCCACCAAATGTTAGAAATGCAGATACGTCCTCTGATACTTGAAATATAGACGATATACACTCCTCTTCTGCTACCTGGACACCAATTCTCATGGAAACAGTCTTCACGATAGTTGTTGGTCCATGTTTACGCAATTCAACGGGAACTGGCTCGTCTTCACTATCACTAGATACAGAGTTCGTCTCAGAAACACTGGAAGAGTCCCAGTCCGTGTCCGAATCCAGAAAAGAAGAAAATGATGGACGCCTTTGTCTCTTTATTTCTTTGCTAGGTCTTTTGCATATATGTACAGGTGCACAGAAGGAGCACAGATACTTGTCACAATAATCGCAATCATCTACGTCATCTTCCTCTGCATTGCAGACGTCACAGACGCGTTCAGGGAAAATGTCCCGGATGAAATAATTATCCCAGAATCCCGCAACACCGTTTTCCGGTAACACCATCACGGTTCTGCAAAGTGGGCACCGAAATTCGTCATCTGACTTGTACTTTCTTTGGTAACCTGAGATGCACCGCTTACAAAAAGTGTGTTTACAAGGCAACATCTTTGGACATTTAAAACTGTCCAGACAAATAGAACATTTTTGAGCATCGTCTATCGATATCTCCATTGTCCTATATTAACGAAATAAACGAACATTAAGATTTTGGCAAGTAAATATATATTAAAATTTAAGAATACCCGGTATCACTAGAACAAAACTACTGACTTTCGGTTTGACATTGGGGATTTCCTTCTAATTGATAAAGGTGTATCGTGAATGGGGATCAATGAGTTTAAATAGCTTACTTACCTATTTATATTATGAAAATCCCTGACTACTCAAAAGAACATTTCAGAAGCCACCGGCTTACCAGAAGCTGGAAGTTGTTGATTTCTAGATCAAGGTAAATTAATGCACTTGTTTTTTTACTTTTTATTTTTGAACGGAAGAGAGAAGACAACATTAACCCGTCAACTTGTGTTTTTCTACTTTCGTTTAGTAGGCGGATGGAATTGATAGCTTCGAATCACTTTCCTTTGTTTTTGTACATACATTAATAATAAATATATTTATTTATAAATGAAAATGTATTCATCATTTAATTTTAGGATTTCAACAAGAGTAATGTTAAACTTGATTTCAAATAGAAGGAAATAAATACATGTATTCGATTGATATCGGCAAAATGGCAAACATGTTTTTTATATTTTTAAAACTCTTTGATATTAAAATAAAATAACTTTTAAAGAGTAAAACATACTTAATTTCTACAGCTTAAAAGGAAGTTAAAAGATGTCTGAGACTTCTGAAGAAGAAAACGTGTGCGCCATATGCTGGGACGAATTTTCACACCCTAAAATTTTGCCATGTCGCCACACGTTCTGCAAGGCATGCTTAAAGGGATACCAAAAGAAAACGAGCGATTTTGAAGAAATAAAATGCCCCGTGTGTCGCCAGACACATACGCTTGATGAACGTGGATTGGATTCTTTTCTTGACAATTATTTTGTCCACCTTCGTCCATCAGACCAACCAGAAATGCTGTGCTGCAGTATATGCTATGAAGAGGCCATTCTAAAAACATGCTCCCATTGCTCAGAAAAACATTGCCCGTCTTGTAGGAAATCACACACCTTGGCACTCAGGATAGCTGGAGAAAGTTACGAACACGGTTCTGATTCCGAATCAGATAAAAACGAAACAGAGGATTTTGTTGATAGAGATATAACGGACGAGGCAAGTGTGCCATTTCATCTAATGTTTTCCGGTCAAACAATAAGGACACAGTTTAATGCAAAACTCGTGTCTGCTTTTAAGACAGGATCGATGACCAATAGCTCAGAAGAAGACCAACAACCGCCAATATACACGCTGTTTCAAAATGGAAAAGATAGAATTCTTGTCGTGTTAGATACTGGACCTGAAATCGTGGAATATAAAGAAGATGGCACAGAAACAAACCGGTTCATGTTTCCATGCAGAATATCTGATATTATTATGACACCTACTGGACGTACATTGTTTGTCAATCCAGGTGACCCTTTTGTTCTGGAAATAACATTGAAACAAATATATCCCTTTGCTCCTTGTAAAGGTTGCAGACCAATATGTTTAGCCCCCTTTAATGACGGCCGAATAGTTGTGACGGGTTTTGCTATTCCATCCACTCAGGACGAAGAAACAGAGGAAGGAGAAAGAGAAAGGAAAGGAATGTTACTATTGTATGATAAAACCGGAAAATTATTGAAAGAAGTAAAAGAAGGTACTGACGGACCGGTGTTAAGATTTCCCATGAATATCGCTGTAAGTCATATAAACAACAAGATATGTGTCGCTGACCAAGATTTAAAATGCGTGTTGATTTTTAGTGACACGTGTGATTTGTTAGCCCGGTATGACGCTGGACAAAGCACAAGGCGAATGGGACTTTTCTGGAATCCAAGAGAGTTTGTTCCATTCTGCTTGTGCCACGATCCCGAAGGAAATATTATAGTTCCAAATACTGTTGATAGCCTTATCCATGTTTTAAATCCAGATGGGAATTTTTTAGGATATATTTTAACAAGAGACAAAGAAGGGTTTGGCCATCCTGCAGGAATAATGATGGATCCTACAAACAGCAGAATTTGGCTCGGTGATCGCATTGATGGAAAAATAAGGATCTATGAAATTTCTAGTTATAAAAATTCATTTAATCAGCAGGACATGTATAACCCTTATAATTTTAGATTAAATTTTGATTGATAGTGATTGTTTATTTTAAATCCTTTACTCTCAATTTTGTGGAAAAATGCCCAAATAAAGAAAAATAATGTTCACTGTATCCCAGTTATGAGTATTATTTTTCTCAAGTCTGAAATATATCTGTGATGTCATCATTGTGTTATTAATAATTGACCTCCATAAATAATTGCATATTAAAATATCATAAAGGCACGTCAGTTTTAACGATATCACTATTTCCAGGAAAATATGAGTGTTTACTATGACGGCTTGTGGGTGTGGAATTTACAAGGTCTTATTCGCCTGATTAGGAAGCTATATCGTCTATGAAGTTTCTGGTACTTGTACTCACCCAAACATATTCTAAAGTAAAATAGCTCAAATACAATATATGTAAATGAGGTATAGTTCATATTCCGATAAAAATTTTAATGGAATGTGAATTAAAGATTTCCTTTTTCATACTAATGAACTTTTAATAATGTCACTGATTTTGAAAGAGGTGAACGCTGGTTGGTCTGATGGACGAAGGTGGACAAAATAATTGTCATGGTATTGCATAAAAGTTTCAAGTTGAGAATTTATCTGACTCGAATGAATATTACAGCATGACTGTATACTTTGTTTATAGTTTTAATGACCCTATCAGTTACGCCAGATTCTAGAGCATCATAATCGGGTTGAATTAATAAATAAATGTAAATAAGTAATGTGATTATAACATAAAGTTAATTACAAACTTAATTTTTTTTTTGAGATTCAAGTCATTTATTCAATAAAGTACAACATGATATTGAGGTAAAACTTCCGCACAAGCCCTCTGGTAATACCTCACCTGGGGTGCCATGAGCTCCCTGGATCGGTATCATTTTTTTCCAATATTTGTTCACAGAATTATACCCAATAGAAAAAGGAGGGGAAAAATACGTATTATATACTATTATTAACGTTTCATTTTCATACATATACATAAATATATCATTGAAAAACATTTTTGCACCGTTTTTATATGTATCAAAGTATAGTTTAACACTTAAAATTTTATAAACAAGCGCAACCTTTTTCTGAATGCAAGGCCTATTCATTATTGGAGTCAATAAAATATATACATGTATATACAAGACAGGAATCGAATACGACACACATTTCATTCTATTACCAGTTTTGCATTATTTTATGTCCTTAAAGACAGGAAGGAAAAAATCAACATGGTTATTCTTTTTCATGCAGAGTAATCATTTTCTCTTTATATGTTATATCTATCAAGTTCATACTTAACATTTGAAGAAACTAAGTAACAATTAAAAAAAAAAAGAATAATTTTTTTTTAATTAAGAAACGATAAATTGTATCATACGGAGAGGACGTAGTTTTTTTTTCAAGTACAGAATGTCTCGATCCCTGATAAATAAAGAACTTATACACGCATTTCCTTCCCCATGAAAAAGTTTATATATAAAAGAACGAGTTTGAATATTTTCAAAATGCTACACAATGGAGTCAGACGAGGAATCAAGTACATGCAGTATCTGTTTCGATGCTTTTCTACATCCCAAACTTCTACTATGTCGCCACACATTCTGCAAACCATGCCTTGTCCGTTACACAAAGAAAGAGAACGCGGGTATATTAAGTTGTCCATTATGTCGACAAAAGCAGAAGCTGGACTGTAGAGGTTTGAATGGTTTATTGGACAATTACTTTGTGCCTCTGAGGGCCCAAGCACCATCGCCAAATCTACAAGTAGGTTGTGAAATTTGTTCTGGGGGAACAGAACTCACAAAATGTCTTCACTGTTTTCAGAAACTTTGTCATTCATGTACCCTGGATCATAACACTACTCTGAAAATATCTGGCGACACAGCTGGATCTGAATCGGACTCGGAGAGTGCCTCTTCTGATGATGGTCTCATATTTACAGCTCAACATGTTCTGCAATTACCACACCGTTCTTCAAGAACTAAATTAATTGCAGATTTTGTTTTTAGTTTTACAGTACCTTTCAATGCTGAACAGCCGTCCACCTGTATTTTTCCAAGTGCTACAGATACCTGCCTGCTAACAACGGGTTTAGGACCTGAAATTGTGGAATATACACTGAAAGGAAGATGTATAGGTAGAAAGGAATTTAGTAAAGGGATAAGTGGGATAACAAAAACATTAGACAATAAAATTCTCTTTTCTAATGTTTTTGAAGCAGCGATTTTTGAAGTGGTCGACGAGTCCCGAATATCTCTTTTTGCAAATTGCGATTCATACAAACCGATTTCACTGTCTGCCTTTAAAGACGGAAGAGTAGCGTCCATAGCAAAAGCTTCTTCTTATTCTGGGCCTCGCAACAGACGCCTGGTGGATCAGGGAGTTTTGCAAATATTTAACAAAAACGGTAAATTGTTAAATGAAATATTCAAAGAGCGGAATGACTTTTTATTTAATCACCCTGTTTGTGTTTCCGTAAACTCACAAAATGATACAGTTTGTGTTGCGGACAGAGGCTTGCACCAAGTTCTAATCATGACCGACGACGGGTATGTGATTAGAAAATACAGAGGAAGAACCAGAGGAAACGCTATAAGTTTTTCAGGGTCATTGGTGTTGAGTTTGAATACTAGTCCGTTTAATCCAGTGGCTTTGTGTCATGACCAAGATGGAAATCTTGTGATTGCAAATAGGTTGGATCCGACTCTCCACCTTTTATTGTCAAATGGGGATTTCTTTTGCTACATTTATGCTGGGTCTAATAGCTTTGGACACCCAGACAGTTTGTGTATTGACAGTCAAAGCAGACTCTGGATAGCAGATCATCTGAAAGAAAAAGTGAAAATATTTCAACTTATTTCTTACAGAAACAATCTACATCGTGATGTCAATTAATTATAATTCTTTTTAAAAACGATTGTAATGTTGAAACTCTTCTTCACGCGAAATTGGTCGAGCAGTGTTGTTTTGAAGAAAAAAATCTGTACAGAACCTTTAAAAGTAAGCAAAAATAATGTCATAAATTAATACAGTTCTATTTTAATTTTGTTAATAAAAGCTCATTGAGATATTATTGTTGGCAAGCTTAATCTATTTACATGTACTAGTAAGTTGTAACAATATTACTTTCGTGCTGTACTTTCCGGTAACTCTGATGAACGGTGAATAAACGAGGAATAGTGAATTATAATTCTGCTACAATGTCACAAGCTCACCTTATCAAAACATTTCAATTCTTTTTTATTGTAAGTTTGCATAAATTGGATGATGTGTTCATGGCAAATGTATTTGCTGCTCACTAGGAATGCGTAATGATTTATCTCTCACATTAAACATTTTCTTAAAAGTTTCAAACATCAGGAAATTAAAACCTAACATTGTTTATTGAGATTATATGCCCATGCCAAAGCTGTATATGTGAATAATTCATTTCCACATTATCACTAGCTTCATTTGATCATCTTGTGTCATTCGACAATGGAATTAAAACAAATGCTAAGATCTGTTAAGATTATAAAATTAATTTTGGACTGTAGTAGTCATTGATGAATTAATATAAAAAACTCTATTATAATATTGTCTGATGTGTATTTTACCTTTCGGAGAAGATGAAAACATGTGCTTCATTACAAAAACCGCTGAAGAGTCAAAGTGAAAGATGTGGATATAATATCTAAAGTGGCAAATCTTACACGTCAAACATGTGCATCCAAAATGGACAAGAAGAGGTACAAGATCTTGATTAAACTGCTGACCAAATTCTGTAGATATAGCTAGAGTCACCAAAATGCTGTGAGCAACAAAGTCTATATATGCAGTTTGTTTTTTAAAAGTAGTAAATGCTGTTTCTGAGATACTAAAGAATTCATTACAACAGTGTATATGATTTTGACGAAGAAAATATGAATGTAAATATTTTACATCAGCTTGGCGCATTATTTCCATACAAAACGTGCATCAAATCTGCCAATGATGTATTTAAAAAATAAAATATTATTTTCTATACCGGGGTATCAAAAAAAGGGAGATTTAAACTTTGTAAATTGTAAAATTTAGCAGGTTTTCTGTAAAGGAAGTCCGAACTACGGAAGCTCGTTGAGGCCAGATCAGAGAGAGAAATATTTTTTATTGCGTTTAATCGCAATAATTATTGCGTTTAAACGCAATCTTTTGCATTTAAACGCAATCTTTTGCGTTTAAACGCAATACTTTTGCGATTAAACGCAATCAGTTTTGCGTTTAATCGCAATGATTTTTTGCGTTTAATCGCAATAGTTTTTTGCGTTTAATTGCAATAATTTTTTGCGTTTAATCGCAATAATTTTTTTGTATTTAAATTCAAAGATTATGATAAATACTACGGTCCGATTCTTTAAAGAAGAGCCGTTTGGTTTTGTGTCTTTTTGAAAATGTTGCAGTTTGTGAGATTTTAAGTTTAACAATTGCATCCTAACAACCAAGTTTCTTAAAGCTATTAGAGCCCAACACATTTAATGCAGCCATTAATCAATTCCTTAGGTATCACAGTTAATTAAGAATGTTTCAGTGGTATTAATAGACAAATCAATTTGGTAGAACACATCGGCCAACCTTTTTTTAATTTGATTTATTTTTGATTTCATATGATTCTATCTCATAAATTCTCGTGTTCTCGTGTTTACTGTATGTGATCAAAGAAAAGGTTGTGAATATACATATACATAATATGTACATATGTACATAAGTCGAAACATTTTATCAATTGTTTCCTTAAGCCCTTTATACAGGTACAGGCTTTTAAACCAATACCTTACCAATGCTTGTTCAGAAGAATCTGATTCTATAAAGCTTAACAATACACAATTCTCCTTATAGGTTACTACATATCAGCGTGGGCCCATTGCACTCTTCAAAGATCAATTGAAATGATTGCTTTTAAACACAAAGATTATTGCGTTTAAATGCAAAAAATTATTGCATTTAATCGCGATTAAACGCAAAAATTATTGCGATTAAACGCAATATTTATTGCGATTAAACGCAAAAATATTATTGCGTTTTATCGCAATAATTATTGCGTTTAATCGCAATCTTTTGCGATTAAACGCAAAGTACTTTGCGTTTAAACGCAATATTTATTGCGATTAAACGCAAAAATATTATTGCGTTTTATCGCAATAATTATTGCGTTTAATCGCAATCTTTTGCGATTAAACGCAAAGTACTTTGCGTTTAAACGCAATGTTTATTGCGATTAATCGCAATTTTTTGCGTTCAAACGCAATAATTATTGCGATTAAACGCAATAAAAAAATATTTCTTTCTCAGAACTGGCCTCAACGGGCTTCCGTACCGAACACCGGTCTCGGACAATTTTCTTTTATCGGAAAAACGATGATGTAAATAAGCGAAGGGATGTAAAAGAAAATTGGAAAAAGAAAGTTTTGCAGAGATGAGCCATCCCCTGTATTCGCTACATTTCTGCCATTGTGAGATCTATTTCTCCAAAAACTCAAGAAAACAATCAAGGATAGACTTCGCAATTTGAAATATGTCATGGAGACTGCTGTTCATCTGGTCATTTGAGCAACCCTTAAAAAGAGTACTAGTTTGCGGGTGTGTTCTGATAATGGATACAAAAACTTAGTAGACATGTGAAAGGGTTAACATGAAAAAATTCGAGGGATTAAAAGGGTAAAGAAAAGGTTTCTTAAGCTTGTTTCGTTTTTAGATTGCATTTTGCATTCTTTATTGGACTGCTTTAATTTCCTTCATGTTTTTGTGTGCTTTTGTGCATGTGTGAAGGAAGCAACACCTTTTTAAAAATTAAATTTCATTACAAACTCTATAACATTTACAATTGTTTAAGAAAAGGAGACACCCTTTTTATGTGAACAAAAATAGAAGGCTCAAAACAGCCTGTGACTCAAAAGTTGAGGGGAGTTAGACATCTCATTTTTGAAGATATGCATTATGGTGTTAATATTTTCCTGTAAATCACTCTGATTAAAATCAGCTGTTCCGAAACGTTTCCGCTTATGAACATGTTCATAAGTGGTAAAGTAACTGATTTTAATCAGATTGCCTATATTAGCAAACGTTGATACGAGATATTTTTCTAAAAAAGAAATTTTTAATAGCTGTTTTCTGTTACCACTTGAACTTCTTTGCCACGCATAGTCACTGATTTTGGAGAAACTTTGCCTATTATTACAGATTGACACAAGAAACACATATCAAATAAAATTTGGTTGCTATGTGTCTTGGTTGCCATGAAAACAGCCGAAACAAACGACATTTTCAGCTATTTTAAATCTTTTTTGAACGTCAATAGAGACTAGGAAAAAAAACAACAACATTTTTTTAAAAACATGAAATCTTGTTGCCACTAACAATGTATGTTGTGAAGAAACTCTTTAGAAAATATCTGTAAGTAAGCGGCACATTTGGAATACGTTTTAAATGCCGAAAATGCTGAGAAAAAAAAACCGCTTAATATTCGCTAATGATACTCTGTAACTAAGTGTTACACGTCGAAATCACATTTTAATTTAAATTGGTTGATGCTACTATCGTGAGAAAAAAAAACATGAAGAACATTAAGGGAAAATACGAAAATTCAAGTCTGGCAAATACTAGTTTACATCCTCAGGGCCTTGCCACACCTACAGCATAAAAAAGTGGCATTAATTGTTTCTTTTTCCGTGTTACCATGGAAACAACGTACCTAGTGGTTTAAAGTGATATTCTTTGCTGCTTTAGGGATTTACTTCTTACCATTTCATCAAGAAATATTAATATTTGGTTCACCTTGAATAGATATTATCTTGTAAACTAACGTTAAATATCATATACTAGTATGTGTATATATGAAGTCATCATTTCGCAAGTTCTATGGTCGATTTCATATTACCTTTAACAATTCTTAATATTATACTTTCATGTAAACTAGTTGAATCTGATTGGTCGAAAAACATTTGTTAAAAAACACCACTACCCGCTGAATAATGGAAGCCACGCCCTCCAGATTAGCAACAGCAGTCAACAGTGCTTGACGACGGGTGATATTCCAAAAAATAGCGACTGCGCAGAATTTACGCGCACACGGTTCACTGTAATATGTATTTGTATAATACATTCAGTATGATATAATAAATATTGCATGTAGTTGAGTGTAACATTGAAAATTTTCACCCCTCGAAAACCATTGTCACCCTCGGCTGCGCCTCAGTTGACAATGGTTTTCTTGGGTTGAAAATTTTCAATGTTACACTCAACTACATGCAATATTTATATAGATTTGTGTGCAGACCGTAGTATCGGAATGATTGACAAAATGTATTTCATCAATCACAAAACAAGAAAATATCAGTTTTCCATTGCATTAAAAAGCATTTTTCGATGAAGTCAAAAAGAATATTCTTCAAGAATCGTGAGAAATGGTGTATAAAGCATTGAACAGTTGTATGTGTTGTTCAATCACGGATTCATGTGAATCTCCTTAATTGGGGGATTTTATTGAAATTCTTTTCTATGTAGACAAGTGCAAATTTAATATTTTTACATCATGTACATCACTTTCCAATTTTATCAGAACATAATTTTTACTATGTTTCGGAGCCGAGGCTGACGTCATTACTCGTCACGCTGCAGCCAGAACTACATGTCTAAGTGAACATCGCAGGCCTTAGCATTTACTACAGTATCCAGATATCACTGCTGCCTTTTGGTTTTAATTACATTACAATAAAGTGGTGAACCTTCTTCAAGTCTTGTCGCTTGGCTACATCTATTTAAAGGACCAGGCAAAATTTTACAAAATTATGGGACTAGTACAAAACAAAATTCTCATTTAAGAAGTACGTTCTTATTTCAAAAAAAAAAAAAATAAATAAATAAATAAATAAAAAATCTGTCCCATGCCTTTAGACTTATACAAAAGTTACTGTCCCATGGTTTCATCTTGAGGTTAGTGAGATTATTGGAATAAAACACGAGTCTTTCAGATTTAATACAGATATTTCAAATATCGATGAGTTTTCTGTTTGTTCATTTGCATTACTCTTGTTAGCAATGCTTTTCACTTTGTAATATTTCCCATTACTGAGAAGATGTTGCCATCTGTATTATATTGTTTTGAATTCTTAAATATAATGAATATTTCTCTTGGGTTAAGTACTGTAACTCATTGAAAAAAAAGTTATATGTCTCTTGGGTACTTAATGCTAAAACATTTTTGTCCCATGGTTTTCTTCGATGAAAAAACTCTTTGTCCCATGTCTTTTTTGTACCTTTCCATCATTGTGATAAATTTTGACAGGTCCCTAATATACATTTAGGCCTAGTAGTCATTTCAGTTAACTATTCTTTTCGCTCTTCATTCCTATCGACGTTGAGCAATGCCTTCACTTATTGGTCAATCTTTTCAAAACTTATTGGTTGATGGGCAGAGTTAAATCCAAGTAGTAAAGAAATACAATAAATGTATAGTTATTATAAATATACTTTAAGCCGTGTACTATTTATTCCAAGAAACTTCACATTGAGTCTATCACCTATATACTACCGGTATTAGTATATACAGGTCCTTGCTAAAACTACAGATTAACACCAATGACTGAATATACTTCTTTTTATGGTAAAAGCGTGTCCTGTCTATATATATAGTTGAAAAGCTATATATTAAAGTTTCTTGGTAATTTGCTATAAATAGACAATATGGAGAGGTGCAGTTATACTAGCTCCGCCTACTACAGTTTCAATACACGCACGGGTACTGGAAGTTAATGGAATTATTGAGTATGTGCATGCACAAAAAAGGAAGGGCAGGACACTCTTTTTGAGGCTAGTTCAGGTTTCGGGTATTGTGGATGTTTTTTTGAACGGCCTGACACGATAAATCGTTTCTGTATACTTTACTTACAATGTATATCTTACATGTACTTCATTTCGCCCCAAGGCCTCTTTAAGAAAATTATTTGGCTGCCCTCTCCCGACCCAGTCTGAAAATATTGGTCAGTAGGAAGGTGAGAATTTTTTTCTCTCAGAAAATTTCAATTTCAATGCTATTGTTTTAAATTCTATTTTCCAGAGTACTTTAAAAAAAATTGCTCCTTGGAGGTTAAAAATAATTGGGTCGGGCCATTTTCAGCCAGTCGGTCGGGAGAGGGCAACCAAACATTTTTTTAAAGATGGCTAAATGTATCCTACTTGAAAAAAAAAATAGACACCTCCAAGAGCATAAGAATTCTACAAGACAGCTCTGCTGTTAAAGTAAAAAAAAAAAACCCAGGAAGTTAGCAAGCCAACCAATATCTTTGTTGAAATAATGGGAAAATCAATTCTCTTTTTAATTTCTGTGAAAACTTATAAGTTTAGTGAAAAAGTCTGAAAGAAATGGTATGCTGTTCTGAACAGAATAGGATAATCTTAAGAAACTGCTCTTAAAGTAAATACATGTACGGTTAAAAAAAATTATAGTGTGTTTAATTCAAATTATGCTTATTACATTAAGACTTTTAAAATGAAAATGTTCTGTACACGTTAAAATGTAATTCCTGAAAATAAAATTTACTTCACTACATTTAATAAATGCATGTTTAAGTGGAAGCAAATTGCTTTAAATTAATATCTGCAGTGCACTTCAAAATAAAATTCTAAAAGTTTTGACTTATACGACCACTTACTTTTAGTAAAAACTTAAGCGGAGATAATGCACCCTGCATAAAACTAAAAGCAGTATTAAATATCTCTTATAATATAAAATACTAGTATATTAATCCTGTAGAAATATGATTCAGCTATTCAAAACTTCTACATTTTCACTGATCATGCAAATAATTTTTATGATAAAATTTTAATGTGATTTCCTCCCTAATTGAAATTGTTTTTTTTTTGTTTTTTTACTAAAATCAAATGAAAAAATTTTAACTATGCATGTATTTTGGTTCTGAAAACATACTTCCCGTATCTTCCTTCCTTATAAATAGGAAATATAAAACAAATTTCGGCATCTAGTCACAGCCAGATGACGATAGGATGGATACAGGAGAGGAGTCAAGCACATGCGCCATTTGTTTTGATTCTTTTCTATGTCCTAAAATTCTCTCCTGCCGTCACACCTTCTGCAAGCCGTGTCTCGAGGATTATACAAAGAAAGTGGAGGTGGACGAAATAGTCTGTCCGTTATGTCGACAAAAGCAGATATTGGACTGCCGGGGTTTGGATGGATTGATGGACAACTATTTTGTACCTTTGAGGGCACCGGAACTTCCGGTTATTCTTTGTTGTGATATTTGTTACGAGGAGGCAGAGGTCAACCAATGCTCACATTGTATTCTTAAGCTGTGCTATTCCTGCAAATCATCCCACAACCTTGCACTGAAAATGTCGGGTGAAAAAGCTGGATCGGATTTAGATTCCGAGGCGTCCGAGGGGAGTGATTTATCAGAAGATGGCGGAATGATCTCGATACGCTCTTTAGTGCAATCAGATCATTCATCAAGAACAAAATTAATTGCAGACTTTGTTTCTGCTTTTAAAGTACCATGTAATACTCTAAATGATCAGCCATCGATTTCATGCATTTTTCCTAAATCGGAAGAAACTTGCTTGGTTATTGTGGACCTCGGTCCGGAAATCATTGAATGCACGCTAAACGGAAGGCCGTTCACAAGTAAGTGTTTCAGTGAAGGGATTCGTGGAATAACTAAGTCCTTAGACAATAAAATTTTGTTTTCAAACGTGCATGAAGCAGCCATTTTTCAAATGGTTGACGAAACTCGCATAAAAATCTTTGCAAAATGTTATGAATTTAGGCCTTCGTCCTTATCTGCATTCAAGGACGGAAGAATCGTTTCCGTTGGGTCTGAGAATAACTTTCATCATATTGCTAAACGTTCGGAACACCACGGAGCATTGCAAATATATGACACTGATGGGAAATTGTTGAGAGAAATAGTGAAAGATGGGAGAGAACTTTTATTCAAACATCCTGTGAGCGTTTCAGTAAATCCTAAAAACGATACAATATGTACAGCAGATGCAAAACTGAACCAAGTACTTGTTATGACAGAAGAAGGATATGTAATTAGAAAGTACAAAGGGACAAATACCGGTAGTGATGATGGACATTTTGGAATACGACTAAGTATCGGCATCTTTATTCCTACGGCCCTGTGTCATGACGAGGAAGGAAATCTCGTGATAGCCAACGTTATTGACGGATCTCTGCATATTCTTCTTCCCAACGGAGATTTCTGTGGTTTTATAGCCACAAGGAATAATAGAAATTTCGGGAATCCTAATAGTCTTTGTTTTGATAGCAAGAATAGGCTCTGGGTTGGTGACCATCGAAACGGAAAAGTAAAAATATTTGAAATTCTGTCTTTTAGAAATAATTTAATCGGTTGTGAACACTAATGAACTTTTTGTATAAAAACTGAGAAAATTGAATATATTGTATTTTCAATTACATAATAAATTACGTCATGCATATTATTTTAAGAAAACATATAACTACAATGACCTGAATTTAATAACTTACATCGAAACAACTCACCACAGCACAATGTAGTGTACTTGATATCTTTTTATGTGTTTTCTTTACTTGAAATCAATTTTTTGTACATATTTTTATTGGAACTGTTAATAATTGTGATTGAATTTCATTGAGAAAAAAAGAAGACCTGAATTATAACTCTGTATCACCACACAGAGACTTAATATATTTAGTCAGTTTTTGTGTTTCCTTTATTGTTTTTTTTTTCTTATTTGAATTTTAAAAAATTAAAACATATTCCATAAATCTTTTTGTCTTCCTGTTTTCTGTTGTGTAATCCTATACTGCCGTAAAAGCATCATGTTTTATACGGTAACTATACTAGTAGTATTTCTAAATCCATGTCGAAGCAGTGGAACTTCGAAATTCATTAAGTTGGGGGAGCATGCTTCACAACATTTTTCAATGATTTTTGGGAGTTGAACTATGTTCAGTATCCCATGGCCATCACGCATTTAACATGCGCAGTAATTTGTGTTGATTATATAGAGCCGAAAGCGAGGCTACTGTGTCGACCGATTTACTCCGATGATGGTCAACAGAAAACATGCATAAACATCCGCCACAAATAGTTTCTGTCATTTCCTCCTGAATTGATCTAATTTTCATAATTTGAAATGTAAGTAAATGTAATGATAAAGTAATTTTATTTTGAATATTAGATTTCGTTCAAAGTAAAACTAAATTATAAAGAACCTCAAAAGTTTTTCGTAATGGAACTCTTTTTTAGTGTAGCGTCATACACTCAAAGAGATACGAACGACAACTGTACATACTGACGGCAAGCGGTAAATCTAGTCTTCCCAACGCCCGACGGTCCCGGATTTTTAGCAATTTCTTTTTTACCGGTGCACAAAATTTATTCAAATTTTCAGGAACATTTTCTTGGTTTAAATGAATTCATTAATGCATAAAATCTTTAGTAAACATGCGTATTTATTACTAAATCAGCAGTATCACCTGCTAAAAGCGGTCAATCTAGTACTCTGTTATAAATGTTAAAACCAAAAACGGACACCAATGTTTTCGTAAAATCGCGATTAAAAACAACAAAATGAAGTATATATATATTTTTTTTAGTAAAAGGAAAACCTCATTTACATACCAGATAATTTGTAAACACACAAACTCTTAGATATATACCACTGTTTTTATGTTTGGTCATTAAATATTTGTTTTTAACTTGGTACTGCTTTTTTCTTCACAGTATTAAAAAAGATTAAGTTCTGACGTACTCCATACATAATGTTCGTGTAATTGAAATACACTTGTATTCACAGAGAAGTTTTATATAACAAACCTGTTAGCTCTTAAAAGGATGCTGTGTGAAAATCCACATTTTATCAACATTGATATTATTCCTGCGAAACTGAAATGTTCATAACACATGGGTAAAGGTGCCAAGGAAAAATATATTACAAATTTGAAGACTGTGAGCAGTGAATTATATAAATGATCAACCGCCTCTAATATGAATATAATGGCAGTGTCCATGTTTTGCAATGGGAAACCCAAAATATGTGTAGGATATGAAAAAGTAATAGAAGGTGCACAACGGCAATATGTAATAAAAATTTTATGAACATTTCGTTCAGTGGTGTAAAAGGAGTTGCGGATAAGACAGTATCATGTTGTAAATTTTGCATTTACCCCTCCCCCCCCCCCCCCCCCAGTAAATTCAAAATTTACATGATAATACCTAAAGCGTAACAAACAGATGGACGGAAATCCCGATTGATAAATACCCTCCCGCTTTTCAAGCAGGGGGTATAAAAAAAAGGACTAATGTCGGCAGACAAGCATTATGGCCCATGCATTTTTTTTGCTATTCAATGTCTCTGAATGTCTTTCTCAAGATTGTTGCAACTCAAAAAATCTGAAACAGTTGTCTGTATTTGAAATAATAATATTGTTCACTCACTTAACCTCCCGACCAAAGATTTTATTTTACACCATGTTCAACTCCCATGAGTGCTTTCAGTACTTTGATTTTTTAATGATATCAGGTTTTTTTTTCAATAAAAATAAACTAAACATCGTTTTCATGCGCATTGTAAGTTCTTAGATTATATCAATTAATCGAAATAGATATACGTTTTGACTTCAATTTTCTATCGTAAACTTCCCTTTCCTTTACAGTAATATACCTTCATCACCTGCATATGCGGTTTATGTCTCTCAGTTGATTCAATAAGCAAAAACATGCCCTACCTTCGAATAGTTTCTAGAAAGGAGGCAAGCTATTTACAAACAATTTGATGAAACAGGAATATCAACAGTCTTGCTTTACGACATCATTTCGCAATGTTTTTGGTCGATACAATCGTCTTGTCAGCAAGTAAATCTTTCATTACTTGGAATACTGACTATTGTTTTCCAAATAAACTATTAGGTCACTGTTTACACATTTTTTTATTTAATTGTTCGGTCATGACAAGGAACACGCAGTGCATGTCATCGATCAGTGGGAAATGATCAATCCTCCATCCTTTCTCTGATGTTTTTGGAGATCCGTGTTTGCAATGGACTTTGGACTTGAGTATTGTTTGATATCTCTATGCAGGATATTTCACGATCTTTGATTCATTGTTACCTCTACTATCAAGATTATCCCCTACTAATGCAGTTTATGTCAGGTATGGAAAATATCGATGTCATCTTTTTGTTTTGTTTAAATATACATAATAGATGTAAAATGATTTTAAAAAATGTATAAAACATTAATGGATGCCGAAATCACTGATCATATAGTGCTGAACAACAGCACTCCAACATGACAAGAAAGTCTTCCAAAAAGCTATGCCTCTTGAAGTTATTTGATTTTATAATATTGAAAAACTGTTGTTTCTTAGTTTTACTTCTTTAAACATATTTTCAAAATTAAATCAGATTGCAACATTCAAGTAACATTAGTATGTACAACAATACAAATTTGTAAAAAGATCCCGAAATGATTTCCAAAATGTTTTTATTTTTGGTATCTTCAATTTTTACTTAGGATTAAGTAAAAATTCTGTTTAATGATATATTAGAGACAAAAACCTTGAAACAAGTTATTATTGTTAAAAAAAGAAAAGGACATTTAATAGTCATCATAATAATAGCTAAGAAGAAAAATATTCACTTCTTTTCTGTTGGCTCTTTACTCTACATAAGTACATTTCATATCCATATATGCTAAAGATAAATATATCTATTTTCCTAAATGGTTATTAGTATTAAGCATTTTAAAATTAGTACATAACTGCACATTTCTAAATTTTATTTGAAAACACTCACTTTTTGGTTAATATGATTTCTTCTCTTCTGTACGGAAATCTGAATATCAATATTAATATACGGTGACCAGGATGCGTGGTTGTAAAAAAAAAATTGCAGGAAAAATTCTCAGTTAAGTGTTCGATGGCTTGTATGTTATATGATTCTCAATTATGTATTTATTAAAATGAAATATATTTTAATTTTTTTTTATAGAAGTTATATTTGAGATAATGACCCAACACGTACTGTTCTGATGGGCAGATAACTCTTCGTATAACAAATATTGACAATGGTTTTAAAATAGATGTAGATTTCCGCGTTAGAAATCGAAAGTAAACAAAAAGTGCTTTTAACATGGGACTGATGCTTCTCTGTAAGTCTTTTGTAGTATTTTGAGTACTTTTTATCATAACATTTCGCCAATAGATTCTGTTGTAGGTACGGTATTAAACATTTGTATATAATTATACCGAAACATGAAAGTGATAAACCAGTTTTATAATTATTTTTTGTTGATAATTGTTATCCCCTATATATAGAAATTGTGTATGCACGGTACTTGTTTTCAGGTTGAACAATCTAATTAAAATTAGATCTTTGATCTGCTCTTCCAGCAATCTAACAGGAGCGGATCAAAGATCTAAATATACCCCCGCTTGAAAAGCGGGAGGGTATATTTTTAATAGGTTTGCAGATTGTATTCTGATTCAGATGAGAAAAAAAATGTTTTACATCAAATTTGCATTCTTTGGATGAAAAAAAAAAGATAAAGATAACGAAAAGTGACCAATCAAAAAGAAATCTATAAACTACATGTATAAATGTGTGAAAAGGGCATAAAACAGAGACCGCGGGTTATTCCAGAGGTGGGATCAGGTGCCTAAAAGGAGTAATCTTCTTTGGTGTCCGTCACACCCATCGTGAGTCCTATGCATGTGTTGATCCCGTGAACGGAACATTCTGTAGTCACATTTTAAATTGGAATTAACACAATGGCCGAATAGTATGGCACAAGTCGGCTTAAATGCAACCATATCATTGGTTACATTTCAGTGCTCTGAGTCTCAAAGTCAGAGGATTAATTTTACGAAATAGCCGACTTTAATCGAGGTTGTTGAAATCCACAGTTTAAAAGTTGATAGCACTCGGGGCATGTTTATGAGTTACGAAACATTTGGGAAATGTAAACACAATATATGCAGATAGTTAATAGATACTGTATTATCATTATAATATACATGAAAATAAGTTGGGGTGGGGTGGAAAAGTTTGTCAACTTGTTTATCATACAATTTAGTCGTTAGATGATCCTCATACTAATAGTCCGACTCTATATTCAGTAAAAAATCCAAAAATATATTAGGCAGATGTGACAAATTCTGTGGTGTCTTCTTTTTTGAGTTCACAGGAATATTATCAATCGACATATAAAATAATTAACCATTGGTAATACGTCTTTGGTATATTATCTAAGTGTCGAGTTGAGGCCCTCGGCAGATGTTTTCTTCTTTTCGTGTAGACATTTATGAATAAATTGTGCTTCATAAATAGGAGTATAGAAATGTCATCTAATCTTTATTTCATCTTTAAAAGACTGAGTTATTTTAATATTTGATAAACAATGAATAAGAATCTTCCTATACATGTACCGATATTTCATTATATAACCACCATAGATTATTATTTTTATTATAATACGCAAATGCACCTTTTCTTTACTTTGAAGGAAACTGAAGTATCAAGTCAGTATCATTTGAAAAGCCAGTATGGCGGAGTCAGAAGAACCTGATGAAGAAGACAGAGTATGTTCTATATGCTGGGAGGAGTTCAAAACCCCCAAAATGCTGAGGTGTGGGCACACATTCTGTAAGCCCTGTCTTAAAGGTTATTTGAAGAAATTCGAAGATACAGACATAACATGTCCTCTTTGTAGACAAAAACAGCCACTCGTCAATCACGATTTGAATCATTTGATAGATAATTATTTTGTGACTCCCAAACCCCCTGAACCAGCAGAGAAGCTTTGTTGCAGTATATGTTTCGAAGAGACGGAATTAAAACCGTGTTCACATTGTACTTTAAAGTTATGTCCACTCTGTAAAGCATCCCATAGACTGGCATTAAAGCTATCCGACGATAAATACGACCTCAGCTCCGATTCCGGATCTGACATCATGGCAGATGAATCTGATGACGCAGATATCTCTGACGAAGGTAACCTTCCCTTCCATTTAGCTTTATCGGGACAAATGATCAAAACAAAATTCAATGCTTCTCTGGTGTCCTCCTTTCAGATAATTTCAATGGTGTCACTTCCAGAGGAAGGACAGCAAAACTTCGTGAGTACTATTCATCCAGTTGAAAATGGATTGTGTGAAATAGTCACAAACCTCGGACCGGAATGTATTCTTTACGATAGTACAGGTGAAGAACTGCAGAGGGAATTCTTTGATAATGGGATAACAGATATCGTTGACATCGAAGTCGATAAAAAAGTGATCTCCAATTTTCACTTGAGTATGCTATTGGAAATTGTAAAAGGGAAAGGTGCCCAGTTATTTTCACGAACAGGAAACGTACAGCCAACTGCAGTGGGTAGGTTAGACGACGGTCAGATAGTGTGTGTTGGTCAAGGTAGGAGACAAAACGAGAATTTCAAAAGCATGATGGAATCGAAAGAAAGAAGTGGAGGCGCGCTGCAATTTTATGACAAATATGGAAAGCTTCTGAAAGAAGTAACTGGAAATTTAAACGATGCGTATTTTAAATTCCCAATCGGAATGTCAATTAATAAATCGAATAACACGATATGTATATCTGATAGAGATATGAATTGTGTTTATATTTTTCGTGAGAATGGTATTTTGTTGAATCGCTATACAGGAGGATCTGTGAGAGGGGGGCCTTTCTTATTCGAACTTAACGTCTTTGCACCTCGTCCCATTTGCCACGATAGTGGGGGAATATAATCGTCGGTAATAGTGTAGATGGGATAATTCATGTTTTGGATGCAGCTGGACAATTTCTTGGATATGTTGCAACGGTCAATGATGTAGGGCTAGGTAATCCCTCAGCCTTGCGCTTCGATCATGAAAACAGACTCTGGGTAGGCGATCAGAGAGATGGAACGATTAGAATTTTTGAAATTACGAGCTACAACAATTCGCTGACAAATGAATCAATATTACCTAGAGTTCAGTATCAATAGCAAAGATAATTAAGAACTACGATTGAAGTGATCAGTTTCTATAAAATGTTGAACGTTGCTTAAATTTTGTAATACATGTACGTAAATTTAATATCGTGATGTATGAGTTGAAAATGTTTTCTGTGCTACTATTTACAAATGAAGAATGTTAATAACAATTTAAAACAAGGAAAAACAATTATATACTGTAAATTTTATATTAATTTTTAGTATATTTATATAACTATTCTACAAATTATGAAATAGCGCACGTTATTATTTAGATAATTAAAATAGTTTAATAAAAATATATATAAGTTCAATAAGAATATACAAGTTCAACAACCCTATATTCTACAGAATATATTGTTAAAATCTATCCTTTTCCTAAAGATTTATTACATTATGAGAAAGTATCATAGTTTTGATGATAACAAGTTTCTCGGCTTTTCACTGAATCATGTCTGCAATAAAAATGTTTGTGACAATTACTGTAATATATATGTACATTACCCTATGTATATACATGTAATGTCGTAGATGTTACGAACTGTTTTGATAATACTGGATTATTAATAAAGTCATATTTCTTGAAAGATGAAAAAGTACAAAATATTTCTATCTCCAGCGAAAATCAATAGGTTTTTAAATAGTTTTTGGAATTTTATTATATTCATAATGAAAAATGTAGACTGGCAATGCACTTCGGGTAAATAAGAATTGTCAGTCTACCGGATTTTCAGCCTCGCTGCACACGAAGAATTTTCACGATGTCACTATAGGTTGGAAGAGGATTTTATGTTTGTGAGTAACTGAATGCGTGTATATTTTTATCTCTATCGATATGATTACTCAAGAAAATTTATCTTTGGTAGATAGCTGTTTATTACAGTGTAATTATAATTTATGCGAATGAAACAGGAAGTCGGAATGAATATTGTAATAGATGCATGTGCGTCAATCTCGTTTATTATTTTTCTTTTACTATAGTACCTCGTTTATTTTTTCTTTTTGTAGTGTTGGAATATATTTTATTATTAGTGCTCAGTCTTTTAAATCAGAAAGAGAAGAGAATTAAGAGATTTCCGATTTTTAAACACTGACACTATTAATCCTGAGTATTCATATTAGGCAATCGATCAAATAGAGCCTTGTTTACTGTTCGAACAACGTAAACAGATCTAAATTGGCGGATCTCAGTAGATTTATATATGTACCGGTTGAATTCGCTTTCACAGCAACCGGGATGTTGGGGATGTCGTAATCTCTAAATATTAATTAATTATACTGAAATTCCCCAAATCATGAATTTCACAAATACAATTTAGAACAACTTTCGTAGATGGAACAAACTGAATTTTTACAAAGAATTTCTTAAGATTAAACAAACTGAATTTAACAAAGAATGGTCCAAAACTGACTCACTTACAAACTCACTCACATCTAATCTTTGACAACTCCTCCCCCTTTCGTACTGACCAGCCAATTAAATTAAGGATAGAAAATTGCAAGAACAGGGGGAATCCGTATGACATTAATTTACAACACTGAAATTAGGTAGAGCTAAGCATGACAAATTCAAAGAACACGATCCTAAGATCTAACCATAAAGTTGATAACAAGTATGAGTAAATGACATTGATATCGTGAGGCAGGAAAGAGATGTCAAGAATTAAATATTGGTAACATGTGCAAAAATGCCTTTCCTAAACATCAAATGAAAACAATTAACTTTCAACTACGGATGTCAAACAAGACCGAAAAGTAATAAACAATTATATAAAAATATATTCATAATTAATAATTTGTCATTTAGAAACCCTTATAACCCATAATCATAACAAAAGTTAGTGCATGGATCAAGTGTAAATTTATGATTTATGTAGCTCTTTTAAAACTATTATAAATATAACTAACGTATTATTTTAAAATAAGCATAAGTTAACATTAATTTTCGTTAGCTATACACACGTACGTATATAAAAACAAATTGTTTCGTGTATATCGTTAAAAATCTTTGTAATGTTATATAGGTTTTCAGATTTAATGTATAAGGAAAAAAAATACCCGAGGATTTTGGAACTCGTTTCCATTTCTGATAACGTGTAATTAATAAAATGTGCTCAAAACAAAAACATTTTTTGGAAAAAAAAAAGATTGCTTGCCCTCTCCTTATCGATGAAGTAAAAAGGAACCGTCTCTCGAAACTTTTTTAACCCCTGATTTTTCATCCTATTAATAACTTAATTTTTGATTAACCCATATTAATATCCCTACCTACAAATCCGTTTTTAAAACCTGAGTCGAGAGAGAGCAGAATCATTTTTTAATATTGCCCTTTTAAATTATTTTTGAAAAAAATAAATTTAGAAAACAGAGCGAGTGAAAAAAAAAACAGTCAAACTACATGTAGAAGGAAATGGTACAGACGCCCTCGAAATCCATAAATACTTTTTGTTTTGTTACTAGATATCCTGAACATACAATAATTTTATTACAGTTCTAAAATATCTTCCCAAAAATCTTCCCTTACCTCAGTTGAGGCTTTCATTGAAAAACTAGCAACAGTTAGAACAATAACCAATATCACCAACGGTTAAAACAATAACCAATATCTCCAACGGTTAGAATAATAACCAATATCACCAATGGTTTGAACAATAACCGATATCACCAACGGTAAAAACAATAATCAATAGGGATGGGTATCGCCAAAAATTTCGTATCGCAATATATCACGATTTTCCCCCACAATATCATGATACATGTATTTTAAAAAGCAGTTTTTACAATGATTTTATATGAAAAGTCATTATTTTTCGAAAAAATATGCTAGAAAAACAAAATTTTACCTCCTTGAAATTTTTATGTATATAAAATCAATAATTATTATGTTTGGACGGTAAGATGCCGTTCTTTTCACTTTTTATAACATTTTTTATACTTTCTGTCATTGTAATTTGAAAGATTGAACAAATAAATGAATTATTTCTGGACTTTATAATATGTACCTAACCTATAAAGACTGGTATTTATGTCTCCGTATCACGATACATATCACGCAACAAAAAATCGTGATATACCGGTATACCGAATAAAATTGCATATCCCTAACCAACGGTTAGAACAATAACCAATATCACCAACGGTTAAAACAATAACCGATATCAAACTGTTTGACAGTTTCTTTTCAGCATCAACAATTAACAACTAAATCTGAGAAAAAAGCACAATTCTCATACAGTATGACTCCGGTAAATACAGTGTACCGGTACGTACATTCCATAGCATCGGCCTGAGGTACACATATACGTATATTTTGGATTCAGAGATCTATGCACTTTGTAAGTCTATGCCTTAATAAATCAGAACATTTCAGAACCTTACGTTCGTTCAACAGGTACTTTTGGACAGGACCCCCCCTAACAATATTCAACCCCGGGGCATTTTGGACATTTCTTTTCACAAGTTATATTTATACACAGGGGTCGACACTAACTTTTAAACCATAGTTGTCAGCAGGGCTAGCCATTTCTAATTTCTACTAGCCCTGTTCATGAATTAGTTGTCCAGGAGCCGAAGGTTGGTGGCCGAGTCGCGAAGCGACGAGGGGGGTAGGTGCGGGAGGGGGTTTCCCCCTCCTGCTGGTGGGGGTACGGGGGGCCTCCCCCGGGAAATTTTGAAAATAGAGATGCCAAATCCTGCATTCTAGCTGTATTTTGGGTAAAAATTATATGTCACTCTATGATTGTACCTTAGACATTTTTCTATTCGAAGAAGTACACATATATAATCATTTAGGGTATTTCGAATCACCTTTAAATTTTTTAAAATTTTGACACACAAAAATAATAATTATGATGATAAGACATTTTTGAAAATTGATTTAATAATTATTAGATACATTGTGTGTAATTGATAATTATATTTGTTGCTCTGAGTGAGTACTTAATAAAATTCTTAGTAGCCCTGCAGGGCAAGTTTAAAGGCATGTTTGGTAGCCCGACCTCAATATTCAGTTGTCCCGGGCCAGCGGGCTACCGTTAGTGTCGAACCCTGATACATGTATTACACTTTTCATCATGTTTAAAACAGGAAAAAACCCCGTAAAACCCCCAAAATAATCGCACCACAAAAAAAATGCCCCACTTTAAATTATCTCTCTTATAATGTATAGTACTTACAGGTTATTTTTGTGGAGGGATTATTTTGGGGTTTCTACGATTTTTTCCTATTGTTAACATGTGGAATAAGTGTGATAAATATAATTTGTGTAAAAAGTCCAATAAGCCCCGGGAGTGAATATTGTTGGGAGGGGGTTGGTCCTGTCCACAAGTACCTGTATAAAATATATATGGTATTTGAAGTGTGTTTCAATATTTTTTTATCAAACATTTTAGTACCATAATTAGAATGTCGCAATGGAATTGTTAATCTCTCTATATTAATGGAATAGACAGTATGTTGTTACACTTCTGGACCTCCGGTACAAGTTGGTAAAATGGTTAGGGACCCGAATAGAGCCGACCACAGTGTTCTCCTGAATTTAGGACAAAGTTACAAAAAGATGTTTGCATGTAGAATTGTTGTATTAAGAATCATTTTTATATTTCACTTGATATTTATAAATCATTTTCAGATAACTTACTAGGTAAAATGGAGAGATTACGACATGGACTTGTCCTATACAATGAATCTGGGATCCCTGAGGAAACTGGTACGTTAGAAAAAATATATAGTCAAAAAGGTATTTTGTAAATGATTTGAGCGAAGCAGAATTCATGCTGTAATTACTAAGCACTTATTTGAATTTTGTAACAATATGTAAATGAAGTTTATCGAAAGGAATGTTTTTGTTAGGTAAAAGAAACCGTCTTTTTTGCGGAATACTATTTGAAAATAATACATTTTTTAAAAAAAGAAACATTTTTAAACTAGGGAAATCAAATAAATAAGTTGAAGCAGTAAAACTTTGTTTTTTTTTATGTTCTTTAATATTATTATTCAATATTAATATTGTTCAAGCATGCAAAGAAAACAGTCTTCGATTTGAAAATTCTTACATCAGAAAACAAATGGCCTCTTTGTGGATTAGATATTGTTCTTTACAAACTTAGTTTTCCTTATTCTGATAATTTTTTTCCGTTTTGGTTAGTTCCTCTACAAAGAATTGACATCAGGGTGACGGTGGTGGGTTTCGTTGCCTGTGTAGAATCAGATCTGTATTACATCAACAACTCTACAGAAGCTGTCCAGACAGAGTTCGTGTTCCCAGTGGATGCGGGTTCGGTGGTCTACAGGTTTGAGGCGGAGATCGACAACAGGACCATAGTAGCCGAGGTTCAGGAGAAATCTCAGGTATGATATACATATATATATGGTCATCAGGTAATCTAGCTGCAATACAATGTTGCCCTCTCCAATATTTTATATTATACTTTCATATAAATTAGTTGAATCTGATTGGTCGAGAAACATGTTAAAAAATACTATTACCCACTGAATAATGAAGCCATGCCCTCCAGCGTAGCAACAGTCAACATTGCTTGACAACGGGTGATATTCCAAAAAATAGCGACTGCACAGAATCTATGCACGCACGGTTCACTGTTATATGTATTTGTATAAAACATTCGGTACAATATAATAAATATTGCATGTAGTTGAGTGTAACATTGAACATTTTCACCCCTTGAAAACCATTGTCAACCTCAGCTGCTCCTCGGTTGACAATGGTTTTCTTGGTGTGAAAATGTTCAATGTTACACTCAACTACATGCAATATTTATATAATATTATATACACCCTTCATTTGAAATCAAATTGAAAACATGAAATCATCAACAACACATTTGTTGACAGGCAAAGGAAACATATGAAAATGCTATCGAAAATAATTATGTTGGATTGTACATGGCAATGGACGATGATTATGCTGATGTATTTCGTCTGAAGTTGGGAAATCTTCCCGGAAAGAAGTCTGCCAAGGTAACATTCGCATACGCCAGAGAAATAGACATGGAACCAGATGACATTGGAATATTAACACTACCTACTGTTCTCAATCCCAGATATGTCCCTGACTGTGGTAAGCAAGCATACTATAATTATAGGGATCGTTAAAAATTACAGTTTCATTTTCTATGGGATCATACAGAAAAGTGCCTTGTTTGCAGTTTAAAAGAAATAAATTGTACCACATGTATATTATATAATAATTGATGTTTCTAGGATTAATATGGTGATATTGCCACCTGAGGAATACAATATTTACTGAACCCATAGGGCGAGGTGAACACCATACTTTGAATTTTATACGTTCACCTAGATTTTTTTTTTTTACAATTACATTTATATCTTTTGTAATGTATACAACCTTTTCTTTTATTTGAAAAAAAAAACAGGAAGCAGCCCATTCCCACCACCTGATGGAGCGACAGGAGGGGAGCTTAAAGTCTTGCCCTCACTCTCTGACAAAGGTATGATGTACATGGAGGACTTTTTCATCAATTTCGATGTTAAAGTCGCTGGAGGAGGGAATAGCTGCATTTCTTCAGAAAAAATAACAATGGACGTCACTGCAGATAGAGTATTAACTTCCGCAGTATGTATGAAAAAAGCCCACTTACTTTACATTAGTTTAATATTATGCGTGATCCATATGAATTTGTAAAGAAAAAACAGTTTTCGGTAAGTACGAATTTTACTATCGAGGTTGTCATAAATTGTTGTAGTACACTGTGTCAAAAAGGCCAGGACTTGGAAAGGACTTTGTTCTAGAGCTGCATTATAAAGGCTTTAATGAACCATGTGCAGTTCTGGAGAAGGGGAAGGAGGATAATGAAAGTAAATTGACTTCTTGTTACAATATTTTTCAGTAGTTTAATTTACTGTTTTGTTCATATTCTGAATTTAATCAATATAATGCCATGTATAGACATGAAAAACATATAGTATGTACTAGTATCCGCAAGTCCATAGGTACTTTTGTATTGCAGCCATTATTATATTTGAATAATTTTGAATAGATAGATGAACTTCTTATTAAAAGATCTATGCATTCGTATTTTTATAAAGTAATTAATAATAAGTGTTTTATTAATATTGCAGGTGGTTTCCTATCGTCGGATGTGTTGATGGTAAATTTTTCTCCCTCGTTTTCCAACTTACAAACCAATGATTCACATGAATTCGTTTTCTTGATTGATCGTTCTGGTAAGTTTATTTTATTATTAATCTTGATACCTCTATCTGTTAAGATGAATAAAAACTTGAAATAGTCATATACGCTGAACTAATCATGAACACAAACAGAAAGCATTACTTCAATCAAAGAAACTGAACATGCCAAAGAGTCCATTTAATGTTCTGTGGTCTTCTTTTATCAGGTTCTATGTTTTCTCGCATTGAAAAGGCGAAGGAAACACTACTTCTCCTCTTAAAAAGCTTGCCGGTCAACTGTTACTTCAATGTGGTCAGCTTTGGCAGCGATTTCTCACTTCTTTTTCCAACGTAAGCTATAAAGTATTTTTAAATCTTTACCATTGCAGTAGACTTGAGGTGTTTCCTACCCAATCTCTTAGTCAATCGTCATTATTTTTCATGACTTAAAATAATCATCAACTTGTATTTTACTTTAATATAGACTCCAATAAAGGAAACAAAATATGACATGTATAGATGTACATTTCCATTAGCTATATAAATACATTTATGAAGTAAAAGCTTCTAAGGAAATGAAATTATAGGAGCAAACCTTACTCAGAAGAAAGCATGGAGGAAGCAATGGACCTTCAGAGAGAGATGAAAGCTGATATGGGTGGAACGAAGATTTATCAAGCTTTGGTGAAAATTTTCTAATATAAAGCGACCAAGGATGTCAGACAGGTCAAAGGCACTTTTTAAAAACTTAACCCCTTTCCATAATTTTTTTTTACAAATTGACCATGAATACTTAAATCAAAATTGTCACTAACATAAATGTATAGCTAGCCATCCTTCCAAACTTTTTTTCCTTTTTTTCTTGAGAAGATTTAAGAATTTTTATCCACGAATATTTTATTTTCTCCTGGATATTCTCTCTAGGTGTTTTTGCTGACAGATGGTGAAGTTGGTAACGTTCAAGAGATTGTCAAATTAGTGAGGAGTCAAACGAACACAAGGTTGGGCAATTATCTATTAAAATACACATTATTTCAAGAACAAGGTATGATAATCATTAGGAATGGGTGTCAAAACATTGGTGCACTTTGTATTGCATAAAACACTGTCAAAGGAAGAACAATTATAAAAAGTGCAATAAGAGAGAAAGCTGCTGTTCAATTATTGCAAAAAGAAGCCAAGAGCTCTAAATAATCCTTATATAAGTTTTCTCTTCAGTCGATAAGTTCTATATTACACGAGATGAGTGCCAAAGAAAATCGCCACCCAGGACATCTTTCCTCTCGGACACAAAATCAACGAGGAGAGATATTTCTTCGGCACTCCAATTCCTTTTCCTGGTACTGTCGATCATTTTCAGGTCGATGTTGCGCAATCGTCTGCTTCTTTCGCTTTTCCCGCACATCGCACTGGTCCATATGATCAATTGTCGGTACCAAAGGAAGGAAAAATCCTACGATCGATTTTCACTGATGTGTCAATCTTACGACCATTTTTATGAATAGCTCGTAACTTTAATCTTAGGATTATCGTAAGTTCATGCTGTAGTTTTATAAAGTTACGATTTTTTGGGAATAGATTTCAGGTTCCAATAGGAGCGACCATCAATAATAGTTCTCATGTTAAAATTGTATAAAGGAAGGTTCAGCAGTTTCTCTATCAGAGATGGTTGAATACCGGTTCCCCAGAGCGAATACTGGTGCCCAGGTAATTTTCTTACGTCTGACAATGCTGCTGCAAATAAGCATAGAATGTTAAGGAAATTTCAAAAGAAGGAACGTTTACAGAACTTAGTCAGCTCCATTTTTGCTAAATCTCTCGGTTATCTTTTTATTCTAGAAACTGAAGGAAAAAACTTAGATTTTACAGGTCTAGGTATGTCATGGAGAATGCTATTCATGATTGTCTTTTGAACATCTTTTAAAACGAGTATGCTGAGATGTTCTGATCATGAGTACAAAAATATTAGATTTGTGTAAAAATTAAACAGGGAATGTCTTGAAGGATTAAAAATGAGAAATTCTTATTTTTTTTCTTAATTTTAAGATAACATTTTGCATTTATTTATTGAAAGACCCTCTGTCATGCATAAAGTAGGAATGCGTCGATGTAGTATAAAAGTCACAAACACTGGCTTATAAATGATTCACTTCAGTTTTTAAGTTGTCTTTCCATCAGTAAATGTGATGAGCCAATTTTATACCTAATGCATATCAACACTGTAGTTCAACGCTAATTTTGGAACAATTAATTCTAATAAAATAAGTGTAGCTTTAGGTCCTACAGATTTCATATTTAACTAGTTAATAGATGTTTTGCAACATCTCATCTCAATTATGTGACTTTGATTTTCTTTACAAAACACATATTAGATACAAGTATATAGAAATAAACTTTGTAATCCGAAAAACTTGTATGTTTTCAAAAATTACAAATCTTATCAGACAATTATATCCTGGGAAATTCTTATTTAAAATTAATTTACAAATTTTCAAATTTGATAATATTGTGGAATAGTTTTAAATATCAGGTAACGAAATATTTCATTTAATATCATGAAATATTAATATAATCAATTTAACTATTCAGGGTATTTACGTTCGGGATTGGTGATGGGTGTTCAACTGCATTGATACGCGATGTAGCTGAGGCAGGTAAAGGAAAGGCTACATTTGTCAGAGACAGTGAAAGACTGCAAAATAAGGTAATAGACGACGGATGTTTTTCATATTAACTGGCTATTATTTACACACTGAATTGTCGATAGATTTTCCATTTTTTCCCCTATACTGAAAAGGAGCAAACGGTGGGTGTGACCGGTTGACAGGGGATGCTTACTCCTCCATAGCACCTGATCCCACCTTTCATGATTTAGAGGTCCGTGTTTGCTCTTTTCCAAAATTGTATTGTTTAATGGACTTTTGAGCTTAAATATTGTTTATCTCCATTAAACGTTATTTCATTATGAAATCCATGTTCATTTTTTTTTTTAACTTTTCCGTCTTCATTGTTCTACTGTAATTTTTTTTTTCCACTTGATTAATTCTTATTTAAATAAAAGGTAATGTCCGTCATGAAAAGCAGTCTCTATCCAACAATTAAAGACTTGTTCTTAACATGGAGTTTACCAGATGGGTGCTCAATCCTAAATATCCCTAAAGAAGTACCGACTATTTTCCAAGGAGATAGGCTGATTTTGTATGGCATTATTTCAGGAGAAATACCGAAAGTGAGTTTAGTCCATATTCATTGCTTTACTCTTCAAGCTATTAAAATTATATTAAAAAATATAAAAGATGCGTTCGTCTTTGAAAAAAACCAATGTTTTGAAAAAAAAAATAAAAAAAAATAATAGTTAAAACTTTTGTCTCTAATAAAGCATGTTTTCATTGTGTAATATATAGGAGACAAACGTTAAAAGTTCGTTGAAACTGTCTGGTAAATCTGGAGAATCGCCCGTGGAATTTGGGATAGAATTTGATCTCGCTTCAGGTGTTGGCAAATATGACGAGGTTTTTCTATTGCACAGACTCGCTGCAAAATCGAGGATTTCAGAGCTTGAAATGGAGGAGAGTGGAGGTATTTATGCATATTTCTGCTTACCAGAGCCGATGACTTAAACTTTGTCCGTTATCCATCCGTCTGTCTGTCTCACAAGTCTTTTTTTTCAAAAATGAAGTATTCTATTAAAAAATTACACATATATATAGGGTTGTTATAAAATCAAAAATGACTCTCAAGATTTTTTTAAATTTTCAAGCAAAAACCACCATATTTAAAAATATGGGAAAAATGCATTTTCTTGAAAAGGCCAGAATAACATTCCATGGTAATTTACAGAATGTTTAGAATGTGCCATGAAATTTTAACAAATTATATATACAAATTGAATTGAAAAAATCTGAAAATTCAAACTATTGAGAAAAAGTGATGGAACAAGAATGTCAGAATCTCATTTAAAAAAGGAATATTTCGCAAATTCTATGGACAATACAATGACATTGTCGACAAATACAATCCATTATTCAGTCAAATGCTGACCAACGTTTTTCATACTGATTGTTAGCCTTTATTTCACACTGATTTATCTATGGTAAGATTATTCGTTGACAAGGAGCACAAGATGGGTGTGACCGATGGACGGGGGATGTTTACACCTCCATGGCAGCTGACCCCACAACTGATCTTTTAGATTCATTTATATGCTCTGTTCCCATTGGTTTTGTTTCAGTAGATTTTTGAGCGCAATACCTTTCGTTTCTCCATGTTGTATTGCATGGAAAAACATCCAGTATTAAAAATCCTGACCAATGAGTCTTATTTTTTTTTTCAAGGGTCCAGAGCTACTTAAGTAAAAATTATAAAAGTATTGGATTTATGTGTAATCAGACACTTATTTCCTGAAAGAAATAACAAACAAGACGAGTTCTGGTTAACATGATAATTGATTGTGGACATTTGCAATGTGTAGTTTTCCATGCCTCACCGCACACAAAGTTGAGTACTGTTACTCAAACAATGGAAATACACATAATTTTTGCTTACAGAAGTTCGAAAGCAGCGATTAGTCAACTTTTATATTTTTTTTGTTTTTTTAACGTCTATAGAACAATATAGTTTTGTGATTTTTTTCTATTTTAAACATTGTCCCAACTTCTGAAAACTTGCAATAAGGAAACTGGAAACGCTTACAAAAAAGTGTTTTTTACTTGGAGAAAAATATATCAGATCAAGGTTTGCATACTGAGACTATTTAGTTCATTTTCAACATAGGATACCTGTCTTATTTCTGCAATAAAAACGTTTCAAAGACAATAAGATGTTAAGAATATTTTAATTTAACATAAATTGTGTAATAATGAATTGAAAATTGACATTTTTTCTACCTTACATGTAAGGGCAGACCACTCTAATTGCACAAAACTACCCTACAAATAGAGCTCTTTAGGGTGCAGTGTTATATGAGAGCGTTTATAAAATAGTTCCCTTTATTGTTTTATATAAATTTGACCCAATATAAGCATGACATGAAAACAATAATTCAAATGGAAGTACGTCATAACAAGGAGTTTTCATATACTACTATTAAGTATATTGCCTCAACCATGTATGGCACCATAATCATTATATTGATTGTATCGTCTTTCTGGCTGCACTTGGTCAAATTTTTAGGAACTGGCCTGGGGGCCATAAAACTTAGACAAGCTCACTTTTGATCTCAGTCTCACTTTTTCCAATTGAACTAAAAATGAGCTCGTCTTAGTTTTATGGACCCCAGGCCTGAAGCACGCTAAATTCCTTTGTAGATACAAGCATGTTGATAGCACTGAGCACAGCGGCAAACATTACATGTAAAGAAACAGCTTTTGTTGGTTTTGACAAAAACAGTAGAGATGTTATAGCTGAAGCTGGACATCAGTTGGAACCAGCTTTTGAGAACTACCCGCTAGGACTGTGTATAAAATCATATGGGTTAATGGACACGAGCATGGATTTTAAATGCAAACGGTCATATGGATTTTCAGGGTTTAGATTTCCTACTGTTCCTAATCCATTTAAAAAAGTGAAAGATGCTTTCTCAGGTTCGTTTGCTAATCTGTTTACATGTACTACATATAATTGTAAAAAATGAAAAAGACAGTTGATATATAAGGTAAAAAAATTTAATAAATTTAATTGTGGTATTTATTGCATTAAATTTGATGATTGGCAATAGAATGTCAGCAAATTTGTTTAAATGTCATCGAAAATCTTAATAAATTGTGTATAGCATAACAATTATAATGTTAAATATAGGGATTTTCTCTAAGAAGAAAGAAAAAACTAAAATAGAGAAGAGCTCAAAAGAGAGTTTGCCTTCGAAGAAAAAAGGTAAGTGTTGATAATTGCATTACCAAGGTTCCTTGTAATAACTTGCAAGGGAAGATCTATGTAATAAAATGTTTTACTTTTCTGTTGTGAAGAAGAAAAGGGCAACCATGTGCAAAATAATTCTTTTTCATTGCCTCCCTCGCACCCCTACTAATGTGTTCGGAACCTTTTATTTTTCGGTGTTCTGCTAATTATAAAACCCGATGAGTTCAGAGTAGTTCTGACAGTGGCTCTAGCGAGAGTTAGCGAGACTTCAGCGAGATAGGGTAAATTATTCACAGAAATGTGGCTAGGAAGTGACTAGCACGTGAAGGCAAGGTAAACAGAAAAGTCATGTTGCGTTTCAGTCTTCACCACCTTAGAATCAGCTGATAATGTCTGTAGAAATGTACTTCAATCAATCGATCTCTTTTACATTCATTCAAACTTAAATAAGTATTCTCTATAATACAATTTTCTGCAGTCATGAACTAAAATTTCTTTTTGGACAAATAATTTTGAATGGGAACAGGGACTATATTTTTTTGGCGTCAGATTAGCTAATTAAGCACCAGCATGATTTTAACTGACCAATCATCTGAATGAGTATTGCATTATGGGTTTCTACAAATACTACAGGAATTTTACTCTTGAAAAAAAGAAAATCTTTTGGTAAATGAAAAGCATTTTTAAAAATATTTATTCATGCTCATAATGACAAACAATTCATTTGTTAAATGAACGGTGGAAGTCTAGGTTTCTGAAAGTCATACTGCAAAAGTGATTTGCGTCTGTATTAATTCCTTTGTTGTATACTCTTCAAAAAAAAAGAAACGCATAGTATGAACAATGCCCTGAAAAATGTATGATAGTTTTGTCATACCTTTTATTTTTGTATGGATACGATGTATTCGAGTGAAATGCATGACTTTTTTTATTAATGCAATTATTAACTTTACAGCTATTATACAAGTCTCACAGACAAAAAGACCTGATTTTGCAAAATTTCCCCCAAAATTTTGATCTCAATTTTCTTTTGTTGAATTCCGATGCAATTCGTTCAGATACAAAAGGGCTATCAAAAGCGGGGGTTCTCAATATTTTGAATCTGGTTTTATCTGAAAAATGACGCTTCCTAAAAATGCTGCATCTGAATGTTGCGTAGCACAAAAAGGAAAATGGGCGACTGGAAGCAGGGGTACCGCAATCTACAATTGCAAGAGGTTTTAATGTTACACACAGAACATATCTTACCTATAAAACATAAACCATTAACATCGAACACCCAATGTTCGCAAAAAATATGGTAGACCACGTGTGACATCAGCAGCACAGCATCACTTCCGAGGGTTACGTAAATTGCATGAATGTAATGCAAGGACGTCGTCTAAAGCATTAGCTATCCCTGAACTTCACAGATCATCTAAAAACACCGTTTTCAGTTGACTACGAATTATTGCAAGAGGATTATTCATGCCATTGTTCCGACCCCACGACACCCCAAATATCGACTTCAAAGATCTCAGATCAATAGCGTATGACCACAGCATCACTGCTGAACATTTTGGTTAACCTACTAGTCCATGATGTTTATCTGAAAGCCTCTTATAAGTTTAAGTGTGCTATGCTTTGTAATGAATGTTAGACAGATAACTGCCTCCAGGACGTTAAAAAAGTTGGTGGTGGTAGTGTAATGATATGGAAAACGGTATTATAAGAAAGTAAGATTGATTTGGTTCGAATTCAATGGACTTTGATGGAAAAAGATACTCTAACTATGTTCTACCTACACATACCCATTCAATTTTGCAGCATCCTAGAGTCATATTGCAATCTCACAATACACAGTCACATATGGCTCGTTTGACACACCTATTCTTGCAAAGAAACAACAACCTGTTTCAGCCACAGTCATCTAAATCGCTAGATTTAATCGAAATTAAGCAGCATTGGACAAAATGGATTAACATGATTTGCCAAAGACAATGGCATCCCCAGACTCTACAACAGCTGACCAAAGTTCTACATTTGGAGTGGGAGAGTATTCCTATACAGTTTTTATTACACACATTTGCTTCCAGTTGATACCGTTTGTGTCTATCATTTGTGTCTGCCGGGGTCATACCAGATATTGATCTTTAATGGTCTTATACTGACTATAATTTTAAAATTGTTGAGTAATTATGACATTTAGATAGTATTCCTGTTGGTTACCACATTTCTGTTTTATCAATGCATCATTTTACTAAAAAAATAATAATAATTATGTTCAATATGTCACTAAAATTCTACTATGCGTTTCTTTTTTTTGAAGAGTATACTATTGGTGAATACAATTCCCTGGCCGAACACGTGATCACGAACGTAAACAAAGTTTTGTCCGTTTAAATGCATAAGAGATGCTGCTCGTTTTCCTTACCCTTGAAGCGCTGGTGTTATATTCTCCCTCACTTTGTTCGTCCAAATGTAAATTTATTCTAAGTAATAACAAGAAAGACCATTTTAGGAGTGCTACTCGGTATAACCTTTAATCAATCAACATTCAAATTTATGATATTTATTTACACATATACTTCAGTTAACTAAACTTTCATAAATCGGTATTTCGACAGACAATAAATCATTTTTCTGAAATATCATTATTCAGCGTGAATATACGTGTATTGAGGTTATAGCGAGAGTCGATAAAGAATGCGTATGACCCAATGTATTCATAGTTACCTAATCACGTGATCTATGAGTATTTTTAGCAAGTAAACAACGAAATAAAATTTATTTCTGAACTAGGCGCAAACTACAATTCATTAATCATTTTTTTTTCAGTTAACAACAAATTAAAAACGCCAGTAACATCTTTCATAGTTTCATATCTTTGTATTTTGTTCGTATTAGCATTTTTTTTTTTATTTTGCAGCCCATTGACATGATCCTAGATTGACCTGAACTACGTGTTCGAAATAAAATGTAAACATGTATTTGGCGTAAACGTTGCTATTCATTCAACGATTGGTCAGTTGCTCGTTGTAAGATCCTCTCTGCGCATTTATAACAATAGCCATATAAGGCAAACAAAGGTTCGTCAGTGTAGATCTATGATAATACACATTTTTTACCAGCGAATCGGTCACTAGTGAGCTCTAATTTTCGCCAAAAAGTATAAGATATATTGTTATTTTAACATTTTTTAACACCCCCTCCTTTAGCCACCCTTTTTCTGGTGAAAGTCTTTCTGAAAGGTCTGGAAACATTTATAACAGGACATGTTTTCAAAAGAAACAGGCTGTAGCAATATCATGTTTACTGCCAGGGTTATTCACCCCTACTAATGTCATTGTGATTTAAATTCAAGACAAGTGGTTTAGGTTTACCTATTCAAAGATTATAGGGTAGAACCGGTTTTATAAATAAAATTGGCAGTAAACAGGAAATTGCTATAGTCCGCTTCTTCTGAAAACATGTCCTGTGAAAAATGTGTTTCCAGACCTTTCTGAAAGACTTTTATGATTTTCAACAGAAAACTCAGAAAACTCTACACTCAGTACACTGACAAACCTTGGTTTGCTTTATATGGCTATTGCTATTAATGCGCACAGAGGACCTTACCACGAACAACTGACCAATTGTTGATTAAATACGGTTACGCCAAATACATGTTTACATGCTACTTCGAACGCGTGGTTCAGGTCAATCTATGATCATGTCAATGGAGTGCAAAATAAAAAAATGTTCTTATGAACAAAATGCAAACATTAGAAACTATGAAAGATATCACGGGGCTCATGGGCGTTTTAATTTGATTTAACTAGAGAAAAATATGTTTTATAAAGTGTATACGTAGTACGTGTCAAGTTCAGAACACCAGTACTTCAAGGGTAATGAAAACGAGCACCTTCTCGTATGCATTTAAATGGACAAAACATTTTTTCCATAACTATACTCGTGATCACGTCAGGGAATCTACCTGACAATTGTATTCACCGATAGTAGTCCCGGTTCCCAGTTAATAAAGGAATTTATCAAGCGTAAAATTCCAGAAAAAGAAAATTAGTATTCGTAGTAACCCATAATGCAATTCTCATTCAGCTGATTTGTCAGTTAAAGTCACATTGGTGCCTCACTTGTTAATATGACGCCAAAAAATATAGTCCCGGTTCCCATGCAAAATATTTGTCCAAAAAGAAATTTTAATTCATGACAGCAGAAAATTGTATCATAGAGAATACTTATAATTTAAACTTGAATGAATTCAAGAGAGATCTTTCAAAAAGTACATTTCTACAGAATGATATTAAAGGGTGATGAAAACTAAAACGCAAAATAACTTTTCTATTTACAATGTCTCCATGTGATAGTCACTTCCTAGCCACATTTCCGTGAATAATTTACCCTATCTCGCTGTAGTCTCGTTAGGGGGGATAAAGTAACTCAAAACTATCTCTCGACATTAATATAGCGAGATTGTTGAGATCACTCACATGTAAAAAATCGCCTACAATTCATTCCATGTATGAGAAGTTATTTTTTAATATATATACGTATTTAAATCTCGCTACAGATTCCATTTACTCCACTGTCAGAGCTACTCTGAGCTCCTCGGGTTTTATAATTTGCAGAACACCGAAAAAGAAAAGGTTCCGAACACATTAGTAGGGGTGTTATTTATAAAACCGGTTCTACCCTATAACCTTTGAATAGATCAACCTAAACCACGTGTCTTGAATTTAAATCACAATAACATTAGAAGGGGTGCCTCGACCATGTAAAGATAATAAACATTGATTGATTTAAAAAAAGCCTAAAATCAATACAAATATGTCAATGCGACATAAAACATGGATCCACAAAAAGTACAAGGTTCACCTTTGCTTTTTTTTGGCCCTGTGAATTTCTGTAAAATTGAAACTGCTTAGTTTTAGTTAACAATGTATTGAATAACGCTGGGATCTTTGGTGATTGTGTATCAATAAAAATGACGTACTTTTCTGGCTAGTCAATGCATTATGACGTCACAAAATGCGTCAATTTACTCATGTTCTGAAAAAGTCGACAAAAAAGCTATTTTTCGATATTTGATATAGAGCGCAACCTCTGATCTAAAATATGCAAATAGTATGTGATAGAGCTGCCTCTGAGGATTAAAACACATGTTTTATTTTTTAGATCAGAGAGTGTGCTCATATCATTTGTTTCTTCATTGAAAGTACTCAAATATACCTATTTACATTAAAATTCAAGAACATTGCAATTTCAAAAGGCCTGTTCTCCAAAACCTGGACATTTAGGAGAAAATTTTTGATAGGAAATGAAAGCACTAAGTCTTTATTTTATTTTAATACTTCAAATGGAACATCAAGTGTTAATCAATCAATTGGTATATCGTCAGGGCCATTTTATGCATAACATGAACCGAGCTCTTTCACATCGGGGTGGGAACATATGCCTAGAATCAATACGCATCCCTGTTGTTAGTTGCAACCCACGACGAATTCTATATATAGATCATGTAGACTAAGCACAGCTTGTCGAAATAAGTTTGAAAAAAAGCCTACCAGTTGATCTGAAACACATCAGCCAAATGCAACCCAATGAAAAAAAATTTGCTAACGAGATCATTAGAACGACCATAGAAATAACGAAATGCTTACTTAAGACGAGGTTGTGAAAACCCCTGCTTTAAAATCGCCCTATCTGTCAGCAGTTTTTCTTTCTCCTTATCTGTCAGTAGTCTTTCGCCTTATCTGGCTGTAGTATTCTTCGACCAAAAAAATGTTTGAACCTAAAGCATGCTCTAAAATATCAAATAAATGGGATAGATTATCTCAATAAATAGGTGATAGCAGAATATTACTGTACGCAACTATGATAGGTCTGCCCCTAAAAATTCCACAGTTCATCCAAAAAAATATCACTTCTCTGAACTACCAAGATGTGATCTGAAGTCATTGCATGAACAGGCACTTGGGGTATGGAACTCCCCCCCCCTTTCAATTTTTCTTTTCTTTTTAAATCTAGGATTGAGTCACCTTTTTCCTATTTTTGTATTCTAATATGCACTATATATTATCAATAATGTAACTCTTTAGTCTCTATAAGTTGTTTATAAAAATATCATTTTCGACTGATACATAAAAAGAGAGCTGTAAAGGATAAGCATAACAAGCTTAGTTTGCAAGGGTTAGGGTTAGCATAAGGTTAGGGTTAGACTGCAAGAGTTAGGGTTAGCGTTAGGGTTAGTCTGCTAGGGTTAGGGTTAGCATTGGGGTTAGATTTAGAGCTAGGGTTAGGGTCAGGGCTGGGGCTAGGGTTAGGGTTACAGTTAGGGCTAGGGTTAGCCTGCTTTTTAGGTCGACCTGAGCCGAAGGCTAAAGTGAGCTTTTCTGATCAAAATTTGTCCGTTGTCTGTCGTCGTCGTCGTTGTTGTCGTCGTAAATTTTTCACATTTTCATGTTCTTCTCAAGAACCACTGGGCCAATTTCAACCAAACTTGCCACAAAGTATCCTTAGGTGAAGGGGATTCAAGTTTGTTCAAATGAAGGGCAACGCCCTCTTCTAAGGGGAGATAATTATGAATTAGTGAAAAATTAATCTTTTAAAAATCTTCTTCTCAAGAACCACTGGGTCAGGAAAGATGAAACTCATGCGGAAGCTTCCTCAGGTAGTGTAGATTCAAGTTTATTCAAATCATGACCCCCGGGGGTAGGGTGGGGCCACAATGGCCAATCAAAGTTTTATATAGGAGTATATAGGGAAAATCTTTAAAAATCTTCTCAAGAACCACTGGACCAGGACAGATGAAACTCATGTGGAAGAATCCTCAGGTAGTGTAGATTCAAGTTTGTTCAAATCAAGACCCCCGGGGTAGGGTGGGGCCAAAATGGCTGATCAAAGTTTTACATAGGACTAGAAAAAGTGTAGGGAAATCTTTAAAAATCATCTTCTCAAGTACTTCAAAGCCATGATTAGTGATATTTATATGGAGTCATTCTCAGGTGGTGTAGATTCTAGTTTGTTCAAATTATAACCCCCAGGGATAGGGTGGGGTCACAATGGGGGATCCAAGTTTAAATTAAAATATATATCTTAAAAAAATCTTCTTCTCAAGAATAGCAAATCCATGATTAGTGATACTAGTATTTATATGGAAGCATTTTTGGGTAGTGTAGAATTAAGTTTGTTCAAATGCTGATTTAAATTTACTCAAATTATGGCCCTTTGGGGTAGGGAGGGAAACAATGGGGAATCAAATATAAATTTTTATGAAGATATAAATAGGAAGGAAATGTTTTTAAAAAATCTTTTTATCAAGAACAGCAAAGTAATCTGCTGTATTAATATGAAGGCATTCTCAAGTAGTATTAAATTTAAGCACCCCCCCCCCTTCAGTAAACTTTTCAGTTCTAATCAGATTTGTGTTTTTTCCTAGCCGATTTGCTCAGGTGAGCGATGAGGCCCCTGGGCCTCTTGTTTATGTATCAGTCGAAAATGATATTTTTAAAAGCAGCTTATAGAGACAAAAGAGTTACATTATTGATAATATATAGTGCATATTAGAATACAAAAATTGGAAAAAGGTCACTCAACCCCAGATTTAAAAAGAAAAGAAAAATGGAAAGGGGGGGGGGGTCCATAATTCAAGTGCCTGTGATTGCATACTTGAGAAATCATAACGGGGAGTGCCATAAACTTCACGTCTTGTTTCCAACCACATGTTAAGTTTTAGAAAAATTCTTTAGAATTAGTAAAATTCTTATGTCTCGACTGTAATCAGAAGAGGATGTGTATTCATTGTTGGATCGATCTTAAATTTACTTCGTACCGTTTACTGTAGACCAACTTTTATTTGCGACAACTTTATTTCGCGATTTACTAGAGTAAAACTAGTTCGCGACGATAAGTTTTCGCTATCAAGCCTTTTTAACAGACACAGAGACTTTAAGAACTGGTTCGCGGAGAGAAATATTCGCGATGATGAAGCTCTCCCAAACTGCGCGAAAATTTCTAGCACGCAAATAAAAGTTGGTTTACATTATATAATTGAAATTTTTTCCATTCAATATATCATTGCGAAAGTCTTCATTTTGAAATACTTCCGTTTACAAGACCATAGCTTAGAGGTAATATATGTGTGTGCATAAAGCAGACTAGCATAAATGACTAAAAAGGATAAACTTTAAAATTTTGTGAAAAATTATAAGAAAACAATCAGTTTTAGACGCATCTTGATGGAAGTGTTTCTGATCCGCTTTGGTAAAATTTATGAGCAAAAAGAGAATATACCTCAAATGTGTGGGTGATTCCAAGTTCTCATGAAATATGATCTTGTACACTAATAATACGATGACCCAACCCTAGCACTTTTCAGGTACATTAGGGTTGAATAATTTTGTTTGTTTTGTTTGTTTAAGGTTTCGTCAAAGGTCAATATGTCCAAAATTTATTTTTACAATAGCCCCAAAACTATGTGGGGTATAAACTTAAAACTTTTACAGTTCATAAATATATCATTGATTAATAGATAGAAAGTATCCCTTGATAAAAAATACGAGAAAAAAAATATTCATTGAGAAAACTTCTTCTTAAAAATGCATATATTTTCAAAAAATACACCTTATTAATTCCGCGCTCTTCGTGAAAACCATTACTGCAGAAGCAAAATATGTTTATCAATGAAGGGCAAGTTGGACTTGGATAGCCTCTGGAAAGTTGTTTTCCCTGTTTATTTTGTCCAAATGTTAAGACTTGAAAGTTAAAGTACATTGCAAATGGCGTATTTCATAGGAGTCTTGTCTTTATACATGTCATGCTTTCAATAACAGCCTTTCAGAGACCATCCACGTCCAACTTGCTCTTCAATGATAAACATATATCATTTCTGCAATGATGGTTTTCACAAAAAAGACATAATTAAGCAGGTGCACTTTTCTTTAAATATGCACATTTTCTGACACAATTTTTCTCAAAAAATTTCTTTTTAAAATTATTTGTTATCAAGCGATACTTTCTATTTATTAATCAATGATATATTTGTAAACTTTAAACGTTTTGACTTTATACCACACATAGTTTTGGAGCTATTGTAAAAATATTTTGTTAGTCATGTTGACCTTTGACGAAACCTTAACAAAATTAAATAAAAACTGTGTGATGCACTTGTTCCGAAGCGATTTATGCGCAAATTTTGAAGAAGTTATAAATTACAGTCATGTGATCAACCGGGTCATGTGATTTCACAATAATTGTGTATGTTTAGTTGAGAGATCCCTTTGTACAAATTGTCTATATTTACATTCATAGTCTACATATTGTGATCAAAGTCGAGCTGGAAATCTAATGATGCATTTTGGATGGAGTTTAATTCTTTGGGCAGCCTTACGTAGATGTAGCTGCGTATAAATAAGGAAGGTTCTCGATGGATAAGCTAAAATCATCCCTTTCATCATACAGTTTTTATAAAAAGATATTACTATAATTTTGTGTTCGTGGCTGCTATGAAGACAACTTAGGCAATTGTTTGATCCATTTTAGAGCCATTTATGCATATAATGATTTCATTGAGTGTAATTACTGGAAATATTTCCAGATTCATATCGAGAAAGTGAAAAAACTACAGAAAGAGAGAAAACTACAGAAAGTGAGAAAAGTACAGTTATGATGAAACTCATTGAGTTGCAGAAGTTTGATGGATCATGGGAACTTACTGAAGATTTTGCCGATCTTCTGAAAAAGAATTTTAATGAATTAAAGAATTCCTCCGTAGTTCAGGTATCATATTTACATTGCTTAATATTTAAGCAATGTAATTTAATATCATCAATAGAATTGTAGAAATGCTTAATGGATTCTACTTGGATTTTTTCCATTAAAAAAAATATTCAATTTGCATGAAATTTAGATAATGATCTTTTAAGCTATGTCATAAACTAACCATTTTCAAATTTCATATCGTTTTTTTTTTAAACTATAAAAATTATAATTTACTTCCTTAAAACTATATATATATATATATATATATATATATATATATATATATATATATATATATATATATATATATATATATATATATATATATGCATATGATAAATAAAGGCAAAGCATTTTCTCACAATGTAGCACATGTAAAACTAATCAGCTGTTTTTTATGCAAAGAAAGACTGAACAACATTTCAAATTTTTTATGAAATTAAAATTATGAAAAAACCACATTATTTATTAATATTTGCTAAACTTGCGGTTCAAAACACAATTTCTCTGTAGAACATGTAAGTTGATCATATTTTTAAAAGAAATTAAGTAAAAATGATTATTTTATAATGCATATATTTGGACCAATCTAGATAAAAATTTAACTGACTCCGTTCAAAATTAACACAAAATAAAGTATTTCCTTTTCCATATATTTACCTTAATATGTATAATTGATTATCAAGTTCAATCACTTTTTAACACCTATTACATCTAAACGAACTTGTATTTTTGTGGGATTGTTATCTATGTCCAATAATTATAAAATTCCGGCAGAGGTCAATTTAATTTTGATTTTGTTTCAATTTCTTTCATAAATATGATATTCTAACCTGTTATTCTTTGGTGTGACGTGCTTATATATATATATATATATATATATATATATATATATATATATATATATATATATATATATATATATATATATATATATTAGGGATGTCAACGAGTACCCGGTTAACCGGGTACTCGATCGAACGTCCGAGTATCGAATACTAAAAATCGGTACTCGGTTACTCGGATGTATATTTTTGAATATTTCTAATCTTATCTATAATAATGCATTAAACAATCTGTTTTAAAACGTAAAATGTTCATTGCACTTGTATATACAGTAATTAGGGTTTCCTACGCCTCTAAATGACCTTTTTCGCCTGTGGCAGTGTTTATACAGTATTAATTATCGTGACCAAACACCTGCTACCTCGCTTTTCTCACCTTTGGCTGTCTTCTACCCTATTTTTGGTTTGCTTTAATTATTTGTTTTCCCTGAACATCGTTTAAGGTCTATTATGTTTGAATAAATTAGATAATTTTGTCAATTCTCCGAGAAGCCGCAAAATCTCGGGAAAAGAGAGAAATGATATTACACGTGCCATTGTTGATATGGTTTTTTTTTATTACACGTCAAAACAAATGGCTGAAGGCAAAGGCTTTTTTAAAAAAAATGATATCCATCGTTGCACCAAACTTCAAAATACCGTCCCGTAATACTATATAAAATCTAGGATCGAAAAAGTGTAGGAAAATCGTAAATCCGCCCTGTTAGGAGAACTTGGTCAAGTTCAAGTTGATACTGTACGTAGCTCTGACGACTGAAACTTGTACGTCAAAAGCAACAAAGAGTTACTTTACATGTACGATTACGGAGCAGATTAATATTTTTAAAACAAAAACACTGCGAACCACTTATTATTTTATTTCTTGTGTTTAACTTTTTCTGATAAATAAATTGAACTTAAAAAAATTTTATATTAAATTTCGTTGGGCACGAAGTGCTCATCACTGTTTCAATAGAAATACATTTACGGGTAAACCTCCTTTCAGAGCACGTGGTTTTATTTCTATAAGAGTTCAGAATGTTTTACAGTCATTAATTTACTTGTTCATTCTTAGTTACACTTTTACCGAGTACCCGGGTACTCGATATTGGAAAAACGTCCGAGTAACCGAATATTAAAAATTGACCGATTTGACATATATTCAATATATATATATATATATATATATATATATATATATATATATATATATATATATACAGTACCGACCAGACCCAACCTGACACCAAAGCAGTCCCAAAAAGCAGTCCCCGGGACTGCTTTGGGACCGCTCTGGGACTGCTGTGGGACTGCTCTGGGACCGCTATGGGACTGCTCTGGGACTGCTATGAAAAGTCACCAGCAGTCCCAGCTGCCCCCGGGACTGCTTTCTGGGACTGCTTTGTTCACTCATGTGTGAAAAAGGTTCTGAGTGACATGATAGCTCCGCCCCCTTGTGTATTCTGAATTTGCAGGCTCCCTGTTGTTTTGTTTACTTGCAGCAGAGAGGAGTTTAAACTGTTTAATAAGCAAGGATTTCTTACATTCTTTTAATAAGTAGAGATTATTACAGTTAATTGATATTTTCAGGGACTGTATATTTACACAAATTAATGTGTATTTAGAATAAATAAAAAAAATAAAGTTGATAAATAAGGAATTCATGAGAAAATTTTTATCCCTAAAAATAAACTACAAGTTTATGAGAAAAAAATAGCTACATGTGGGCCTTTTTTAATTATTTAATGTTAAATTTTAATATGTACTCAAAATTTGCATTGGTACTAATTAAAAATAATCATTACAGTTAGATATAAAATGTTTTTTATTAAAAATGCTACACATTTTATAAGGACCACGCTAAAAAAGAGTATTCCATGTAACCCTCAAATAAAACCCAACAATTTATTAAATGACCATGAACTAAAATTATGTTACTATTCTCCCGTAACATAAACTATGTGAATAATCATTGGGGAATTAATGAATTACCGCTAGCTTTTAATTAATAAACAAGTTATTAAAAGAGTACATGTATATTTATTTTTTTAAAAATGAAAATACCGGGAATTGTGATTTATTTCTTTTTTGTTTTGCTAGTCTTTACCTGGCCGATTAATGTTTTTTATAAGATGGTATCAACACCCATTGTTTCAATCGCCTCTGGGCAGAAAAATCGATACATGTTATTTGGGTATTTGTATCAGTGTTACACATCATTGAACATGCTGGTAAACAATGACCCTAAAAAATGTAATTTCAATTTATTTAATGCGAAAAATTTGATAAATGAAATGTGTTTAAATTTCTTTCGGGATTAATTAATTTTGAACATAATCTGAAGCTCCCATTCTGGTGATTTACAGATGTACACTCTAACATTTACAAATAAAACACTTAAAACTGAGTTTTATAGAACTAGGCATTAACGATGATTAAACTGACATGTCAGTAAAAATAATCATGACTGAAAAATAATAATTGGCAAAATTAACACGGAATTTTTTTTACAAGCCCCAATACTTAAGAAAACTCTAACTTTAGAGTATCCTGATAGTCTAAATTGGCCATATAATGATAAGATCTATTTAGATCTAAAGCTTCTTCTGGTGGAAAATATTTAATTCACGTTTAATTTTCTGTATAAAAAATAAATATGGGAACCAGTATCAATCACAGAAGAATTAATTAATATACCCAAGAATTGTGATTAAATATTCATGTTCAGTGTAATTCATATGTGTATATGTAAGTGTGAAAGCCTTCTTCCTCCAATAAATATTATTACATTTGTAATAATTATTTCAATTTTTATGCGCGTACATGTTCTGTTCATAAATGACCTTCGCGTATATGTAAGGATTCCTGGCATACTACACAGTATAAATTTCTACTGCCTTTTATAGTTCCGTTGTTTATTGGAAATCTCATTTCTGAGTTAGCTCCACCCATTAAATTAATAAACCCCGCCCACTGGGACTGCTGGGGCTGCTTTCTGGGACTGCTGGGACTGCTCTCTGGGACCGCTGGGACTGCTGGGACCGCTCTGGGACTGCTGTGGGACTGCTCTGGGACCGCTGTGGGACTGCTTTAGCAGTCCCAGAAAGCAGTCCCCGGGACTGCTCTGGGACTGCTTTGTGTCAGGTTGGGTCTGGTCGGTACTGTATATATATATATATATATTAGGGATGTCAAATCGGTCAATTTTTAATATTCGGTTACTCGGACGTTTTTCCGATCGAGTACCCGGGTACTCGGTAAAAGTGTAACTAAGAATGAACAAGTAAATTAATGACTGTAAAACATTCTGAACTCTTATAGAAATAAAACCACGTGCTCTGAAAGGAGGTTTACCCGTAAATGTATTTCTATTGAAACAGTGATGAGCACTTCGTGCCCAACGAAATTTAATATAAAATTTTTTTAAGTTCAATTTATTTATCAGAAAAAGTTAAACACAAGAAATAAAATAATAAGTGGTTCGCAGTGTTTTTGTTTTAAAAATATTAATCTGCTCCGTAATCGTACATGTAAAGTAACTCTTTGTTGCTTTTGACGTACAAGTTTCAGTCGTCAGAGCTACGTACAGTATCAACTTGAACTTGACCAAGTTCTCCTAACAGGGCGGATTTACGATTTTCCTACACTTTTTCGATCCTAGATTTTATATAGTATTACGGGACGGTATTTTGAAGTTTGGTGCAACGATGGATATCATTTTTTTTAAAAAAGCCTTTGCCTTCAGCCATTTGTTTTGACGTGTAATAAAAAAAAACCATATCAACAATGGCACGTGTAATATCATTTCTCTCTTTTCCCGTGATTTTGCGGCTTCTCGGAGAATTGACAAAATATTTAATTTATTTAAACATAATAGACCTTAAACGATGTTCAGGGAAAACAAATAATCAAAGCAAACCAAAAATAGGGTAGAAGACAGCCAAAGGTGAGAAAAGCGAGGTAGCAGGTGTTTGGTCACGATAATTACTGTATAAACACTGCCACAGCCGATAACTGTCAATTAGAGGCGTAGGAAACCCTAATTACTGTATGTACAAGTGCAATGAACATTTTACGTTTTAAAACAGATTGTTTAATGCAATAATAAATAAACTTAGAAATATTCAAAAATATACATCCGAGTAACCGAGTACCGATTCTAGTATTCGATACTCGGACGTTCGATCGAGTACCCGATTAACCGGGTACTCGTTGACATCCCTACATAATATATATATATATATATATATATATATATATATATATATATATATATATATATATATATATATATACAGGATTTGAAAATATTCACATATAATTCATTTTATTTTCTTATACATTTTTTTTGTAAAACAAGAAAAAAAACCAAGTGTCTGGCTTTTTAAAATATTTTTTCAGATACATGTAAACGTTCATCAACAGCAAATTTTAAACTCAAAAGCATCTTACTTGCAAATAAAACATTCTTACAATTTCTATCAATAAGAATTAGGAAAAAATATTCTTATAAAGTAATGAAGAACTACATGTAATATTGACCTTTTAGTGCTGAAACCATACTTGAGCAGGGATGTCTTAAAAACCAATGAAATAAAGTTTTGGTGTGACGTCCCCCCCAAAATTTTGGTCGTTAAAATAACATTGTTTGCAATACCTATCATTCAGTCAGTATTATAGGGTATTTTTACAGACACTCAAGACCAATGATCCGTCTTCCTGGCCAAAACCAAAGGATTACGACGGGTGTTGGTCGACAGAGGATGCTTACTCCTCCTAGCCACCTGATCCATCTATAATTACCAGGGTTCCGTTTTAATTGACTGTATACTGTAGATTGGCAAATAATCACGATGGTTTTAATTTCGCTATGTTTGCGATTTATCATTTTTCCGTGAAAAATTAAACCCATCGTGAATGTTAATATTAGTTTTTAAAAATGCTCAAATGCTTATAGGAAATTTTGAATTAATTTCTTGCAGCGTGAAATTAAAACAATCGCAAATGATAGTATTTGAGATATCGTGAAATTTTAACATCGTGGAATTAAAACAATTTACAGTACTATATTAAAAAAAAATGACTTAGAATTTGAGCTCGATCACTGTTCATTATATTTACCTTTTTTTTTATTTCAGAATCTCAGTGTTTGGGCAACCGGGCTGGCGATAGCATATCTAAGAACAAAATGCTCAAAGCACAAAAGAGAATGGGACTTGATAGAAGAGAAAGCTTTGAAATGGCTGGAAACAATGGAGTTAGAGGGAAAAGACGTTTTATCACTTGCTGAAAGTGTGATTTAGTGGTTAAACTACCAGAAGCAACGCTTTTAATTCAAAGAAAAATATTGAAGAGATTTTACATGAGTTCAATAGCTTTAATTTATTAAATTTTATAGGTGTATGTTAGATAAGTTATCAAAAGTGATATGGGTATTTACTTTGCTTACATGTTTTAGATACAGGAATATTTATAAAGCCTTGGCATGTGTTTAGTAATTTCTACTCCACTGGTCAGAGACCAGAAGAGCTTATGCGATAGTAATGCGTCCGCCGTCCGTCCGTCCGTCTGTCTGTCAGTCCGTCTGTAATCAAATTTTCAAAATGCTACTCCTCCTACAGTTTTGGTCTGATTTCAATATAACTTGGCACACAAGTAGTCTACACTAAGATACATAATTCTGTATATCGGTTTTTGATATAATTGACCGGTGTTTCCGTAGTTACTAAAAATAGTAATTTTTGTGAAATACTTTTAAAATGCTTCTTCGCCTACAGTTTTGGTCTGATTTCAATATAACTTGGCAAACACGTAGACTACACTAAGATACATAATTCTGTGTATCGGTTTTTGATTTCGATGAACGATGTTGCCAAGGTTACTAAAAATAGAAATTTCTGTGAAACATCTTTAAAATGCTACTCCTCCAACAGTTTTGGTCTGATTTCAATATAACCTGGGACACACAAGTAGACTACACTAAGATACATAATTATCAGTTTTGTGTTTTTGATTTTGATGAACGGTGTTGCTTGGTAAGTAAACTTGAAAATTCTGTAATTTTTTTTAAAAAGCTACTCCTTCTAGTGTACGGCTGTAGTCTTTTTGCAGTCTTGCCACAAAAGGAGACTTAATCAAGGATCATTATTATATTTATTGCTTTTGTAAAGTTTTAAGTCCCAACTGCTACTTTTCTCTTCCTTTACTATACGTACAAACAAGTAAAGCTATAGTCTCAACAAAGACTTCTGGTTATGTAACCGTAATCGAGGACTCAGGGGGTATATATTTTTTGCCCTGCCCGTTCGTCCGTGTAACTGTTCGTCCGCAAAAACTTACACCTTTTAAACTTTTGAGTGGGTTGGGGTATTGCTTTCATTTTTTCCACCTGTATATTACTTGAAAAAGACCTTTTTTAGATACCACCAAAATTGACCTCTTGAACTTGAAATTTGCACCATTTTTACACAAAATTATTAAACTTTAATCTTGGTCATAACTTTTGAACAGTATAACTAGGGTTTCTCTATTTCATAAGTGTATTCCTTGTCACACCTTTCTCCTTGGGTACTCTTCAAAAGTTGTGGCTAGGGTGAAAGATCTAGCGAACATGGTGAAGGAAAATCTCTGTATATTACTCATCAGTATATTCAAAATCTGATTTATTTCTCTAAGCTTATTTGCATCTGCGATGTCAATTGCAAGAAAAATACCCTGGTCATCGATATTTAGACTTCCTTTGCAGGAAATTTGCTTAATTTTCCTTTCGTGAAATTTGAACATAAAAGTTACCATTGCTATATTCCTTCAATTTGATGTATGTGCATGTTTTAATGAACCTCTTTAAATACACGACAACTAATAACATAAATTTGGAGCCATTTCTTCTCTTTACCACAATAGAATGATTTCTTTGATTCCATATTTTTTGTTATTGATATTGTTTTTCGACTATAAAAAGCGCATATTATGTTGTCAATGTTTATGAAGCAATCTGGCACATTTAACGTGTGTTTTCTGTAAGGCATTTGTAAGAAATACTATCTGATAGACATGTTAAAAATATTTTCCTTTGTCAGAATTCTACAAAATGCTGTGCTGATTAAATGTTTAGTATCTTAGCAATGTCTTTCCATACAAATCGAACATTTTCAGATATCCTGTTGCACACAACTTTTCCTGGTGTCCCCACAAATTTTCAATCGACCAGTGTGACTGTTTTATTTTAACTCTCTCCTTTTTCTTTTGAATTATTGAATCCTTCTGAATACAGCGTTCATTAAAGATCATTTTTTCACAGATAAAAATAATATCTTAAATAGGAGTTCTTTGGCGATTTATATATCTCCATATCCTTCATGTAAAAAGATGTTTTCTTATACGCTCTCATTTTCATTTTCTTGGCAGAGATAATTTATGAACAATTTTCATGGGCGGATACAGGATTGGTGATTGGGGGGGGGGGCGTAGATAATTTTTTTGAGGTAAGGGTCTGGGTAAGGGGTCAGTGGGTCCAGGGTGAAGCCCTTGTGGGGCCCAGGGGGCGAAACCCCCGAAAGCTCCTGAATTTTCATGTATTTTATGAGTAAAACCAGACATTATAATTGTGCCTATTTTTCCTTTTTTTTTCTTAAAAGTGACATATAGGTCCGGATGTTTGAATATTAATTCTAGTGAATGTTTCTCCTTGTATTGTATTATAATTTAACACATGCTACTATAATCAGGGACCTACAAGGGGTGATCAAAAAGTACGCAAACTAATTGAATAACTTCCATACAAGAAACAATATTTGGTTTTAATGTTGATTATATTTTAAATTAATCCTCCCCGATTTTAATGCACATCAACCACCGTTCTGCGCATGAGCGAATCACGTGATATTGGCGGTCACGTGACCCCCTCCATAGCGTTCTGTCACAAAAGTTAAAAGATTTTTCCGAGTTTTATATTTCTCTCCATGTGAGTTAATTTTTATGACAAGAACAGTTAATTTGTCAGAAATGGTCATATCCTGGCAACAGAATGGGTGGATAATAACATCCTTTCCAAAAATAAGCATGGCGACCATTAAAACACAAATCTTCTGTCTCAGGAGAGACCTTTATTCAAGGTGGATAGAGAATGGGTTCATCCTTTTTATCATATCTAATATGTTTAAAATCTAAAGTAAACGATATCTTAGGTATTTAATACTTGTATCATTGTTCAAATATTCAACTATTTTTCAAAGTGCTAATTGGAGGTCTTTGATAGCAAATTGCTTAATTAAAAATACATATCTTTTCAAACTTGCTTTCACTGGGCAAGATGACAAGTATCATTTTTAACCATCAGCCTTCCTTTACTAAAACGATAAATCCAATCATTAATTGAATTTATAGGAACTCATTTATCTCAATAAACTGTGTACAAATTATTATTTGATACTGTAGAGGGATTTCTAAGATATTACAGTAAATTGTACAGTCGTTTATTTAAAGAGTTTTTTGAGACAACCATTTTTAGTCACAAGTGACCTAAATAGTGACGTCATTTTCACATTGTGACGTCACAAACAAGGAGAGAAACTTTATTCAGCATATGCTACTTATAGACCTTGTGTATGGCTATGTGTGTACCGAATTTCATTCTAATCTGAATTGTGGTTTTGTAGATATAGAGGATAGTTTGCGAACTTTTTGATCACCCCTCGTATATACTGGCGGGATTCATAAGTCAACTCTAATTAATTATATCTTTATGCTATCACATATTTCAGATCAAAACCTATAATTATCTATCAAAAATCCGATTTCGGTGTTTGTTTTCTTCATATCTAAATTATATTATAATTTATGCATTAAAAATTTATTCAAAATCAATTCCAATACATAAAATGAATAAGTGATATTAATCAGAAAACACCCTATTTACTAGGAATAAACGAAGTTTGACAAACTTGTAGGGTTGTCCGTGATGTTTTTGGTAAATACACATGGCGCTGAAGGAGTTGCCTATCCCGTTAGCTCCTGGTTTTTTGGTAATAGTGGTTTTGGCATTATTAATATTAGTCATATCATAATTTTAGGGGGTGGGTGGGCACGCCCTTCCTTAAATCCGCCAGTGGTTTTTAGCTAAGTGTTTTTAATTTCTTTGCAAGGACAATAGAAAAAAATGAGGGTTTTTTTTCTGTGTTCAGGCGCTCTTTAAAAGAACTTTTCAACTGTGAAAAAAATTAAATGCCTCCGAATTTATTATGATAATCGTATACTGTATTTAAGAAATAAAGTCTGCGTTTTCGTGAATGTTGCAGGATAACCTCGTTGTATTGTAAATAGTTTTTTTAAATTACAGATTTGTTTGTAATATGTATTGATTAGTTTTTCGTATACAATAACAAAATAATATTCCTGTTCTACTGCTCTCAGCCAGGTTTTAGCCTCGTTTTTGAAGGGGGGGGGGGGCAGCCAGAGAAATTTTTTTTTACTTACCTGAAACAGTTGATAAGCAAAAAGAAAAAAAAAAGGAAACAAGAAAAGTTGCTAAAGTCGATAATCCTATTTCTTAGGGTGGGGGATGGGATGGGGCGGGGGTGGGGCGGTTTGGGGGGTTAGAGGCCAACGTTTTCCAATGCCAACTTCTTATTGCCGATGTTTTACACTACGTTTTCCTTAGATAACATAAAGTTTGGGGGGGGGGGCTTGCTGCATCGATGTGGTGTAAACAAGTATTTCATGATACAGCCAAACATGCATTTGAATTGTTCAGGTTTGATACGTGTTTCTGATCTGATAATTTTTTGATGAAGTTCGTGATTAATTGGAGAATAATGTCCGCAGCAGCTTTTCTTTGATCTTTGCAATAATCATGGTAGAATTTGCATTACTTATTGAACGACCCTCGTATATGAAAGGGTTTCTTCCTATTTACTATTGATTGTTCCTATCATTATATATGAAAGAGTACTATAGGATGTTTTTAAGACATGATGGGGTTTCCTTTTATGCGTAGCACAAATCAACGTTATTTAAACCGAAGTGATGAAGACTTATCTTGTTTATCCAAGTTAAAAGATTACCTTGTAAAATTCCTCTTCTTCGATTGTTCAGGTAAGTAGATTTAAAACTTTTAAAATGATTTGTACTTGATTTTTAGCTCTACTGGTCAGAGACCAGAAGAGCTTATGCGATAGTAATGCGTCCGTCGTCCGTCCGTCTGTCTGTTTGTCTGTCCGTCTGTCTGTCTGTCTGTAAACAATTTTTCAAAATGCTACTCCTCCTACAGTTTTGGTCTGATTTCAATAAAACTTGGCACACAAGTAGAATACACTAAGATACATAATTCTGTGTATCGGTTTTTGATTTCGATGAACGGTGTTGCCGTGGTTACTAAAAATAGAAATTTCTGTGAAATTCTTTCAAAATGCTACTCCTCCTACAGTTTTAGTCTGATTTCAATATAATTTGGCACACAAGTAGACTACACTAAGATACATAATTCTCTATATTGGTTTTTGATTTCGATGAACGGTGTTGCCGTGGTTACTAAAAATAGAAATTTCCGTGAAATTCTTTCAAAATGCTACTCCTCCTACAGTTTTAGTCTGATTTCAATATAACTTGGCACACAAGGAGACAACACTAAGATACACAATTCTCTGTATTGGTTTTTGATTTCAATGAACGGTGTTGCCGTGGTTACTAAAAATAGAAATTTCTGTGAAATTCTTTCAAAATGCTACTCCTTCTACAGTTTTAGTCTGATTTCAATATAACTTGGCACACAAGTAGACTACACTAAGATACATAATTCTGTGTATCGGTTTTTGATTTCGATGAACGGTGTTGCCGTGGTTACTAAAAATAGAAATTTCTGTGAAATTCTTTCAAAATGCTACTCCTTCTACAGTTTTAGTCTGATTTCAATATAACTTGCACACAAGTAGACTACACTAAGATACATAATTCTGTGTATCGGTTTTTGATTTCGATGAACGGTGTTGCCGTGGTTACTAAAAATAGAAATTTCTGTGAAATTCTTTCAAAATGCTACTCCAAATACAATTTTAGTCTGATTATAATATAAATGTGGCATGCAAGTAGACTGCACTAAGAACATTAAGAGACTTAATCAGGAATCATTATTCTATTTATTGCTGTTGAAAAGTTTCAATTTCCAACTGCTTAAGTACTTTTCTCTTCCTTTGCTATAAGTACAAACCAGTAGAGCTTCAGTCTCGACAGAGACTTCTGGTTGTTATTATGGACAAATTTCATGGATATATTTAAGAGCAATATTTGATCAAAAGTATAATTACCATATCGTTATACCTGTAATTTCCGTATCGTTTAATAAGCACCTGAAATGTAATAAACATTAAACAAGAATTTGTTGCACAAGTATCTATGTTGCTTACGTTTAAGATTTGGGATATAATTTAAAGAGGTGGTTGACAGTCCCAAAAACACAATATATAATGACCTGTGAATGTTCATGGTGCACATAGGTATTTCCTGTCATCAGACAGAAGATGCTTATGTTGCTATAAATAACTGATCATCCTTTCCCTTTTTGTACAATGTTTTGTAATGAAGCCACTGTAACACAAACAGCAGATAGAGAAAAGAAATAGGATTGCATGTTTTATTATAAGTTCACAGTTTGACTTTACTTCAAATTCTTCCTTGTCTAAATGTATTTATATCTAGGATTCAAACACATCAAACACTGCATAATTTTAGCATTATATTTTGTTCTTTATTATACTAAAAGTTTGCCATTGCTAATTCAGCATTACAACCTTTAAGGGTGAGTTACCACCTATAGCAATCATGAGTCGTGGATCCAGGTATGGACTTATGTCACTGACCGAAAACCGATGTGGTAAGTTACACATGTTTAACAGGACACTGTATCGTGTGTATCTAGGATATATTTAATGACAAAATATTTTAGAGATCCCCTTTGAGGTATTATCTTTATTTCCCATTTATATTTTAAATGGGTCTTGTTTAAAAGTCCCAAGTAAGGAAGTAATTGGAATTTTCTGTACTATGCTGTTACTATGCTGTTATTTCTTTTGTATCCCATGTTAACTTGTTTATTCCATGGACATCACTCATTGGATATTTTTGTATATGATACTGAAGTAATTTTTACACCTCCAACAATGTAGAAAAATACTACATTATAATTACCTCCAGGTGACATAAATGGTGTATATAAGAATTTATTTTCTTTACATCAATCTAAATAAACATCCATCGACATTAAGGTCAAGATCTAGTAAATGAAAAATGCGTACAGATTTATCAAATTTGAGAAATAAATTCCTTTAATGATGCTTTGCAACTTTAGCTTGGTCAAATAAGGTGTTGCGGAGCATAATTTGTAGGAAAAAAAGTTGAAAAACCATAGTTTAAACTGTCATTTTCAATGAAATATTACGAATACCAAATATGAATATGGGAGTTTTTTTTTCATATTCGACAAAGGAAATGTATCCAGATTGCCTACAGTCTTTCAGAAAACGGTAATTTGTTTGTTCACATCTTCGCTAGCCAAGGGTTTCCGATCCGATACCTACTGTACAAGAGCAGATTAGGTATCGGATTGGAAACCCTTGGCTAGCGAAGATGGTTTGTTCATGGCCTCTTCTTTAAGATAATAGCAAATTTTATTTAGGATCGGGATAACTTTTCATATGAATTAAAATTGAATGCCATGGCAAGCCCAAAATAACTTTAGTATCCTTACAATTTAATAAGTTGTGAAATTTGATAACATTAGGGTTAGCATAAAAAATATTTGGAATAATTTTTTTTTTTCGTTCACTCTTGAAAAAAGAACATTCTTAAAGGTAGTGGAATTTATCTCCTAAATTGTTAGAGGAACAAAGATCACAAATACGCTCATCTCTATCAACTCCCCAAAATCGACCTTTTTCAATAGGAAGTCTGTGATTCATAGATCTAAATGTACATAAAGCTTTTCTCAAATCCCTTGGTAGATATTAGGGATGTCAAAATTGTCAATAATTGATATTCGAATATTCGATAGGAGTATTCGAATATATTCGAATATTCGATAAAAAATACATCTTGCTTTATAAAATGTATATCTTCACTCTTCTATCAAGTAGTATAGAGTTTATGCCATTATTTTGGAATAAAAACTCAAGTAGAGTTCGGTATACACTGCAATTATATTTTCTAAAAAGTATTGAATACCGGAAGTATACATCATAGTAATAAATCTTTTAAGAAAATTAAAAAGATTCTTTAGTATGTCCCATATTAATTGATCGTCTTACTAAAGTCTACACTGATAACTCCTACAAATTTATACCAAACAGAACAATTATCCAACGATGAACAATTTAAAGCAATTAGTTTTTGCTAAGTATGATTTCCTGATAATGATTTTTAATTATATTTACATAAACAAGGGGTCTGTGTGTTTACTGTAAAACTATATGCCCTTAAAACAATACAGGCTGATTGTTAGTACTGGAAATTATTATACTACTAATTAAGTGAACAAATAAATTAATTACTCTAATAGATACACTCTTCACACCTTTAAGGTAATCCAAGAGGAGTGTTTTTATTTATTTTGTTAAAAATTTATTCAATTTCTAATAAAACTTGCAAGATTTTTCTCTCTTTTTAATACCTGTATACTTAAAAACGAATATTCGAATCATAAATTTACATTCGAATATTAGCTCATCGAATGAATATTCGAATATTCGAATATTCGTTGACATCCCTAGTAGATATATATCAAATAATTTTCAAAATCATGTTCTAATTTAAATTTCCTATAATTAAGGGTTTTTGGCATCTAAAAAATACACGCATACCAAATGTGCTTAAATTGATCAATTAATCTAGTTTTTAAAAATTTTGACACCAATATTTTCGTTGGAGAAAACTGTTGCGACCATAACTCAGCCATTCCACAATCATTTAGTGTTTTTTCAACGTAATTAATCCACTTAGCCTGCATTAAGTCATGTTCTCTAAGTTTAAATAACAATTTATATAAAAAAAAGATATTTGTCTTGTTTGCCACAAACAAGTCTATGCCAAAATCCAATAACTCTTGACTTAATAAATATTTCTACTGGGTATCTGCCTAGTTCACCATAAAAAACCTGATTATAGGGGTAGATTTCTTCAGATTTAGAATTATTTTGTAAATTTTTAATATAAACTTATATGACATTGTTATTATCAATCCCCTTACTTCACAGCCATAAAGTAATATGGGTGTTACCATACTGTCAAAATGTTTCAGCTGAATATCTAAAGGCAAATCCAAATATCTTACTTTTTTGAGTAAACTGAACATAGCTTACCAACCGTGCTCAAGTAGCTTAGTTTTATTACTTACAAAAGATCCATTACTTGAAAAAGTTACACCAATGTAAACAAATTCATCAACAACTGATAAGGTTTGGTTGTCATATGTAAAGACTATTGTTGTATTGTCAGTTTTAGGTTTATTTAAAATAACAATCTTTGTTTTAGATGTACGGGAAAAAGAAAGTTGAAATTGATTATGACGTCATAATTTTTTAAAGCTTTCATTTTCCCTGTTTAAGCTTTCATTTTCCCTGATAATGCTCCCCTTTCAAAATCGATCTTATAAAAGGACCTGGCATTATTCTTTTTTGTTTTATAGCAAATAAAATAGATCTAAAAAAAATCCAAATTAATACGACTAGTTTTTTAATCGTGTTTCTCTCATTGCGTCTGGTAAGGACGCTAGTAAATGTAAACAAGTAAATGACATGAACTGCTCAATGAGTTTGTATCATTCAATATTATTGATTGATTGTATATGTTGTTTAACGTCACTCTCGAGAATTTTTCACTCATATGGAGACGCCACCACTTGTCGATGGAGAGCTACAAATTTTGTCCTATACTCGGCACTTAGGGTCATTGAGCAGTGAGGGATCTTTTTCATGCCAACACCTACTGTGACACTGAACCTCGATTTATACACATTCAATTATTGAATCATATAATAAAACATAAATTGCTGTTTTTAATCAATACGATGGTTTATTTTCTACTTGTACAATATGCACTTCGCCATCTGGGTTCTGTGTATATTGTACTTCTCAGGTGGCTAATTCATAGTATTTTTGACCTCAAAAACAGGAATACATGTAGTTATGTGATATCCCATATTTGTGGTGTCACATTTGGTTTTGCATGAGAGTTTTTAAGCCAAATGAAATTGATTCCTACATTAAACAGTGTAAAAATTGATAGTGATGTAAAAAACATGGACTAGAAGGAACCCTTGATGATTGCATACGCTGTAGTTGCAAATGATTTTTATCAGAAACGTTATGATTTTTTAATCCTTGGTCGAGTCTTAAACAAAAATCATATCCAACCACAATATCATGCAATATCCTATCATTTTTTATTTATTTTTTTTTTCCTAATTGAAAAATCAAATTTTTACAGTTCCGCTAAAGAAAATCAACATCCAGGTGGCGATCCATGGATTCATCGCCAACGTGACCTCTGACCTTCAGTATGTTAACGACTCGGACGAGAACATTGAGACAGAGTTTGTCTTCCCACTCGACTCTGACGCAGCTGTTTATAAGTTTGAAGCTGAGTTAGACGGTAGAACCATTGTAGCAGAGGTTCAAGAGAAATCACAGGTTAACATACATATTTGTGTTCAAAATTCATATAATATACATTTATTGCACATACTATTATGGGAAATATGAAGATCTATTCAGCCAAGATAAATCATATTCCCCGAGGGATTCACATTTTCCTAAACATTCATATTTGGTTTCTCTAGAAGAAAACAGATAAAGCGTTGTATAGAATGAATATTATGAGGTGTAATAAAATTAATTTATTTCATATCGTTTAAAAAATATAATTTGTTTTTGTCAAAGGCAAAAGAGACATACCAAGATGCCGTTTCTTCTGGTCACACGGCTATGTACATGGGAGAAGATGACAACGCTGGAGATATATTTCGTCTCAAACTCGGAAATCTCCCGGCCAAGAAAGCAGCAAAATTCACATTTGCTTACGTAGTGGAGCTGGATTTGTCATCTGATAAAGCGGGGACATTTATGTTGCCAACAGTTCTAAATCCAAGATACGTTCCAGACTGTTGTAAGTCTGAAAGAATATTTTTCTCTCTAAGTTACATCTATGTATCTAACTTACAGGGTAAGGCAAATTGATTTGAAAATTATAAAAGGGAAAGGAGAAAAGTGAAAATAACAAACAGTGATGGATGTATATTAAGCTACCACATTCAAATAAACTGCTGTACATCCATTAAGCTTAAGTAGAGTTTTATGACTATAACATTACTCCTTATTTCTGGGTTTTCTCGAAAACTGATTTTCTCAAGGACAGATGATACAAGCAAATTTATTTTGAAAAAATTGAAAGTAACAAATTCAGTCATGTTTTGATAGGTAAAATGAATGGATTTCACCGCGTAATTTTTATTTTTTTATTCAAAGTTTGACAAAAATGGGACTTGAAGTAAAAAATATTTGTATAGATTAATAAGTATGGTGTCAGAGATGCAGAACTATGAACATCATAGAAAGTTTAAAATACCTTTATATTCTACAAATCTATTTTTTTGCATCATTTTTAGTGACATAAGGCCATAAAATATATACCAATCCAGGAATGCAGTTTTTTGTCTGTATCATCTGTCCTTAAAAGAATTCGATAGAATAAATCAAACTATGCTTAAATACTTAACACTTTTAATTCATAAATAAAAACTCAATGTAAAATTAAGATACCACTCCACAAATTGTAATGATACATACCTCTTTGAAAACTCTTCCCTTTAAAGCATCAAAAGACGAATCTAACTCTGAGGAGACTGACACAACATTAATAACATGTAAAACAACCGAAAGCGATTTTGGAATGATATATTGCTCAGACTTTACAATGAATTTGGAAGCTGAAGTTGATGGAGGTAGAAACCTTATGGTTTCCGAAAACAAGATGGAGTTTGATGTGGTGGCAGATGCAATCGATAACAAGGTATAGACTCACTATAACAATTTCTTTCCACTCTTTTTTTTTTTACAAAAGGCCTATGCATACTATAGGTTCTTTTTTATATTTATTTAATAATTTTGTTATGCCATTGAAATTCATTGTAAATGGTAAATTTATATTTTTCTGTGACAATTGAAATTGTCTTATACAAAAATTGACTTTTTTTATTCTCCTTTTCGTTTTGTTTTCTCTGATTCAAAATTAATGTTTCCCTAAAGTATATGATCATTAAAAAATAGCATTGAAGAGATTATTATTATTAAAAGTTTTTATGATTTAAATCATTTGTGCACTCTAATTAACAAAGCTGGGAGGAGCTTATGTATAAACCTTGGCGTCGTTGTCGGTGTCCCAGTTTAAAGTTTGTTGGTGCAGATTTCCATATCAATCTGAGGTTCATGGAAGATGCCCATAGTATGTTATTTCTACCTGTACCGGTTAAGTTTTCACGTGCTGCAATTTTAGCTTATAAATGACCATTTCTTTGAGCAGGTTAAAATTTTAATGGTAGGTTAATATATTTTAGCAAGTCTCATTTCCAAGCAATTTTAAGCCCTATATTGAGCAATATTACAAGCAAGGATGAAACATCTAAGTATAATCACTTCCAGTCTTACTTCGGATGCTGAATTTCACGTACATTTTCCAGATGAGTGATCCGATCAAAGTTTTAGAGTAGTTTCATTTTAAAGTGACTATAATCCCTATGTTGTTGAAACTTGCTTTAATGATACATCTTAGGATGCCCACTTCCAGACTTGCTTCAGATGCCGGATGTGATCTCCATCTTCCGGATGAGTTACTAGGTTAAAGTTCAAGGTTCATTTTTAAGCACTGTGACTATATATATGGCCTCTTTTCGCAAAACTTACATTGATGATTAACTAAGGAAGCATACTACTGGACTTGATTCGCATACTAGATGTGGCCCATATTTTCCAAATGATATTGGCCGTAAGATATTTTAAGAAAAAGGTTTTCCAGCAGAAGTTTTTCTTACGTAAATAGGGATTGACCATCTATTTTACTTTTGAGTTAAACAAAACAATATTTCAAATTGTTTATAAGCATACATACATTTTAATTCATCTTTAATCAACAAGTTACCAAAATTTTGTAGAAATCAAATGCTAATAACCAGGCTTGCAAGAAATTTATAGGATGGGTTGCCAAAGTTTTTGCAGCAGGTTCATTCTAAAGTAAATATGGGACCTATGTTGACCAAACGTATGTATACTGAAAGGATTAAGAAACGCATATAAAAATTTTGAGTTAAATCAAAACAATATATTTCAAATATGTTTTTAAGCAGTTTTTTATCATACATTTTACAACAAATTCATCTTTAATCAACAATGTGATACCAAAACGCTTTTTTTTGTGCGAATTTGATTGATTTGCATTTTTATTCACTTATGCAATATTGAAATCAATTACTAAATCCACAGTAGATTCCGTCAGCCATACCGCGATTGCAAGAAATTTATATTGAATGCAAATATGCAAAAACGATGTCTATAATTCTAATGCATAGTATGGTACTCCAAAATTTTATTACAAAATAATCATCATTATCATGCACGTGTTTTTTTTTTTTTTTTTACTTTTTATCATTTCTCCTACGTGATGCCATACATCTTCTGGTTGTGTAGTTCTGAGTAGTGATTTTAGTGCAAAGTAACCAAAATAAACATCCGACCAATTTTCATAATTTTCGGTCACATAGTCAGAAAATTTTCCCATATCATGTTCTTGTGCGTTTCTTTTTCCTTTCAGTTTATATTCCAGGTATAATGAATCAAGGGATGAACACTCTCTAGCTTGCTTCGAGTCTGGATTTAAATTCCATATTCTGGATGTGTGACTTGTCTAAAGTTTTGAATAAGTCCATTTTCAATTAACTGCAAGCTCTATAAGATGAGATTGCATAAATGTTGCAGAAAGTTTGGGAATTTACCATACTAAAAGACACCATTCATCGAGTTGAGATGAGCTGTGTAATCTAAGATATCCTATAGTTTTTTTTTACCAACAAGGTATATGGTTTTTAAAAAGATTTTGAGATATATTTAAGACTTTTCATGATTTTAATCATTTTGACCTACAGATGACGTCATCCAAACAGCTCAAACATGGATCTGATTTCACAATAGTTTTACACTACAAAGGATTTGAAAAGCCAGGAGCAGTGCTAGAGAAAGGAAAGGAAGGCAGCGAAAGTAAGAAAATATAATTTTTTCACACCTGTCCAGTTTTTTTGGCCAATCACTTTTCTTAATTCAAAGACCAAGTTTTATGCGATTAATAAATTATTTTTTCCTAAATTTTTCCTTGTTTCTTACAGAACCATTTTTATCGACGGATGTGCTTATGATTAATTTTTCCCCAGAATTCAAAGACTTGGACACAAACGTGCCGTGTGAATTTGTTTTTATAATCGACCGTTCTGGTAAGACTTAACTTCATGTTTGTTTTAAAATAAAAAAAAATATATTGTGAATCATCTATAACACATGTGGATTGATTGACTGATTGTTTGTTTGTTGCTTTACATCCCACTGGAAAATTTTTCACTTAATATGTAGAGACCTCACCATTTACCGGGTGGGGCTTTTTAAAAATTTTGACCTTTACTCTGTACCTAGGGCCAATAAGCAGTGAGAGATCTTTATCGTGCCAACGCCTGCCTGGTCTCGGGACTAGCAACTATCAATTCAAGTGCCGAGCGCATGGCGAAGGAACACTTGCTACCCATTTCTTATCGACTAAGGTCAGTCGCGGCCGAGATTCGAAATCGCTACTTCCCGATCACAGGGCGAGCACTCTGAGCTACCGTGAATAGTCACACGTTTATTATGTATCATTCTTTACACATGTGTATTGTTCATCATCGTTTACACACATATAATGTGAACCATCAATTTCACATATGTATTAGGAATCATCGTTGAAACATATGTATTGTGAATAATACCCATAACAAGTAATCCTTTAAAAGTTATATTAGTGTTAGCATACAGCTTTCGAACAGTATCTTTTTCGGTCCAGCACCTCTGCGACACACTGTATGCTCCTTGTCATAAAAGGGAAGTAACGGAAAAAAATCCATAGATAATTCAGTGTGTAAATAATGGTCTTGTAATAAGTATTAAAACGTCAGTCAGCATTTGTAAATTGTATTTGCTGACAGGTCCACTAAATCGACCATAAAAATTACGAAATAGTGACTATAAACAAGAGTGCTTATTTTCTTGTTTTAACAACTTGTTTGTCAATTACTTACCTCGATTATTTTTTTTTCATATATTGAGCTTGCTCTTGCGTATCGAATCTACTTATATATAAAAACCCCGTATGCGGGTGATGAAGGTATATTGCTGCATAAAGGTACGGGAAGTTGACAATTTAAAGTAATTCCACCCTCCTATGATGTCATAGGTTCTTGCAAAAACTGTAATTAGTTTTAATTCATACCTAACAGAACAATATCTCTTGGAAGAATGCTTTACATTAGGTGTACTAATAGATATTGTTTAGTTAAAGAATTAAAAAAATGCATATTTTGTATATCTAATCAATTATTAAATCTTTAAAAAATGTTTACTAGGGCAATAACTCCTTCTTAGTTCTCTTCATTCAGGCATTTGCTTTATTGTAAAAAAGTTTCCATGATATTCACAATGCAAAAGTATCTTTTAAGTAGAACGTATTTAGGAACACTCAGCATCAGAATTATACATTTAAACCAGTTTTCACATATTTTTCATAATACTGTTTACAAAACATGTGCAATTTTTGTTTTTGACATACACTTCTGTTTATTTATGTTTCGCATCTTAAATAATATGGTGACCTATACATTTTTTGCAATAATTGGAAAGTTTAAAGTATATTAAATGAAAATAAATGCAGTTTTTGTACTTTGAACCTATAAAATTGTGATGGTGGAATAACCGTAAAAGTAAAGATTACGATTAACGTCCTTTTCAAGTAAATTATCTGAATATGAAACAAACGTGTCAGACTTTGTGAAATGAAAGAGTTTCAACTTACATGTAATACATATAATAAATGGAATTTTGAACAGGGTCAATGAAAAGATCTCGAATTACGAAAGCCAAAGAGACTTTACTGTTGCTTTTGAAGAGTCTTCCTGTACAATGTATTTTCAATGTTGTCAGTTTTGGATCAAGTTTTTCTACTTTGTTCCCAAAGTAAGTTTAAATCATTCTGATGACGATACAATAGATTTGAGCTCAAATACAATTCTCATTACAAAACTATAATTGTACTTTGAAGAAAAAACATTATTTCAGTACGTAACGTGGTATATCAATTTGAAACTTATTGATCTACTTAAACTTTTTCCCGAAATTAATCTCCCCAAAGTATGAAACTGGAAATGAACAAATTCGCTTATATTGAAGGAGCATAGAGTATAATGAGCAAAACCTAGAAGAAGCTCTGAATCTACAAAAGACGATGGAAGCTGATATGGGAGGAACAGAGATCTTCAAGCCACTAGAATATGTCTTCAGTAAAAAATATTCGTGTTCCTATGCTAGACAGGTGACACATTTTAATTCATCGGAACTTAAAGCTCAGGTGAACTTTTCTGATCATGCACCTGCTGTCCGTCGTCCATCTGTCCGACTGTTAAATTTTACATTTTCATATTTCTTGAGACCCGCTGATTCAATTTTAACTAAACTTGGTTCAGAGTAACCCTGGAAGTTTAATTGTCATAGAAAGGGCAACGCCCCCCTTTTTCAAGGAGATAGAGATAATCAGGAGACGACAAAAAAGTGAGATCATTAAAAAATTCTACTCAAGAACAACTGGGTCAGAAACGGCTGAAAAGAATCCTAAGGTAGTGTAAATTAAAAATTTTTCAAATCATGACCTCTTGGGATAGGGCAGGGACACAATAGGAAATCAATAGTTCCATAGAAAAATATTTAATTATTCTCTAAAAAATCTTATTCTTAAGAACCATTAGACAAGAAAAGCTGAAATTTATGTGGAAGTATCCTTTGGTAGTGTAAATTGTTCAAATCATTACCCTGTGGGTAACGGCGGTACCGCAATACGCAGAACAAGTGGGAATAATTTTTGAAGAAACCCGGGTCAAAGTTATGGCAAACAGGACTCTTTTTTGTCATAATTAGTTTTCTCAAAAAGAAAAACAGATTTATTCAAAATAGTTAAATTTAATGAATGTTATTCTTGATATAAGCAAATAAGCAGTAAAACAAGGGAAGCTTTTTTATGAACTAATAAGATGACTGATGCAAGTGAAAAGTCAGATATTTTTTTTTGTTAGGCCTAGACCAATTTCTATTTGATGCACGAGCATCATATAATTCAACAAATTGCGACCGTGTAACTCAAACAATATCAAACTCGAATAATTGATACATTAAAATGACATGTCAAATTATTATATATTTTTCATATGACTATTTTAACAATGATTTGATTTGTTTTCAGTGATTTAAGCTTGCTCATCAAATTGCATAATAAAAAGTTTAAAGTGCCACATTTGGGATTTTCAGGTTTTTCTACTGACGGATGGACAAGTTTCGAACATCCCAGAAATAGTCAAATTAGTGAAAAAGCAGAAATATACTAGGTTTCATTTATATTTTCTATTTTTCTCCCTATCGATTGATTATCTTTAATAAAATCTAATGTTTAAATTGCTATAACATTTTTTCCCCATTCTTAATGTCATCACCGACGTTTAATATATGGCAATGTTTTTTATTAAAAACTTAAATATTAATCAATGAAAATATTTATTGCTCTTGTTTTGGATTTATCATTGACGTTTTAAGCTGAAAGCTCAAGTGAGCTTTTCTGATCACTCGTCCGTCGTCCATCTGTCCGTACTTTTTCACATTTTCTACATCTTCTCAAGAACTACTGGGTCATTTATAACCAAACGTGGTAAAAAGCATCCATGCATGAGGGGGAGTTTAAATTGTTTTGATTTCTTGATGAAGGACGGAGCCATTAAAAATCTTCTTCTCAAGAACCAATGGATCAGGAAAGCTGAACCTCACGTGGAAGCACCCTGGCGTAGTGCAGATTCAAAATTGTTCCAATCATGACCCCGAGTGAATTCAAGTTTTAACACTGAAACATATAGGGAAGAAATTAAAGTTTTCTTCTCAATGATCACTGGATTAGAAAAGCTGAAACTTGTGTGGAATTATCCTTGGGTGTAGGTGTAGGTTCAAAATTATTCAAATCAAGACCCCTTCGGGTAAGGTGAAGTCATAAAAGGTATTACAAGAGGAAAATATGGTAATGAATGGCATGGCCAAAGTTCTCAGTTGAGCGATGTGGCCGATGGGCCTCTTGTTTCTTTTCGCTGAGAGCGAAAACCTTGTATGTAACTTTTCTTTATGTAAAATAAAAATCATGTTAAAAGAATTACTTTATGTGCAGAGTGTTTACTTTTGGCATTGGAGATGGCTGTTCAACAGAACTAATAAGGGATGTCGCCAAAGTAAGCAATGGAAAGGCCACTTTTGTGAAAGACAATGACAGACTACAGTCAAAGGTAGGGTTAATAGAAGAATATTAATTATATATTATCTGAAAAATATTAAGGGAAGATGACCATGAAAGAAAAATTTTCTTTAGAGTTTTAAAAATACATTTTAATTTTATACTGACACGCAAAAGAAACACAACAAGCAGTAATCTACAAATGATTGATTTTTAGCTCACCTGAGCTTTTCTGATTACATTCTGACTATCGTCCGTCTATCCGTCCGTCCGTCCGTCTGTTAACTTTTCACTTTTATGAGTTTTTCTCAAGAACCACTAGGCCAATTTAAACCAAACTTGGTACAAAGCAAAGGGGAGATAATTAAGAAATTACAAAAATAGGGTGGGTTTATAAAAAAATCTTCTCTCAAGAACCACTGGGCCAGAAAAGAAGAAACTTATGTGGAAATATCCTGAAGTATTGCAGATTTTAAATTATTAAAATCATGACCCCCGGGGGTTGGGCGGGGCCACAATAGGGAACCTATTTTACATAGAAATATATAGGAACAAACTTTAAAAATCTTCTTCTCAAGAACCAGTGGGTCATGAAATCTAAAGCATCCTGGAGTAGTGTAGATTCTAATTTTTAAAATCCTGAACCCCGGTGGTTAGTTAAGACCACAATAGAGAATCCAAGTTTTACATAGAAATATATAGGAACAACATTTAAGAAACTACTGCTTAAAACTGCTGGGCCCGTAAAGCTGAAACTTAGGTGGAAGCATCCTGAAAGGGGTAGTGTATACGTAGATTCTAAATTGTTAAAATCCTGACCCCCGGGGGTTGGGTTGGGCGCCAATAGGGAATCCAAGTTTAATCATAGAAATATCTAGGAACAAACTTTAAAAATCTTCTTCTCATGAACCACTGGGTCATAAAAGCTGAAACTTATGTGAAAGCATCCTTGGGTAGTGTAAATTTGAAATTGTTAAAATCATGACCCCCGGGTTTTGGGTAGGGCCACAATAGGGATTCAAGTTTTACATAAAAATATATAGGAACAATCTTCAAAAATCTACTACTTAAAAATTAGTGGGCCAGACAAGCTAAAATCTTATGTGGAAGCATCCTGAAAGGGGTAGTGTTAATTGTTAATTGTTAAAAGAACCACTGGGTCATAAAAGCTGAAACTTATGTGAAAGCCTCCTTGGGTAGTGTAGATTCTAAATTCTTAAAATCATGACCTCCGGGGTTGGTAGGGGCCACAATAGGGAATCCAAGTTTTACATAGAAAGATTTAGGTAAAAACTTTAAAAAAAGAACCACTGGGCCAGAAAAGATGAAACTTATGTTTAAGCATTCTGGAAAATTGTTAAAATCCAGACCCCCGGGGGTTGGGCGGGGCCACATTAGGGAATCCAAATTTTGCATAGAAATATTTAGGAACAAAATCTAAAAATCTTCTTCTCAAGAACCACTGGGTCAAAAAAGCTGAAACTTACTTGGAAGCATCCTGGCGTAGTGTAGATTCTAAATTGTTAAAATTTTGACCCCTATCATGTGGTTGGGGGGGGCGGTCACAATAGGTATTACAATGGGGAATTTGGATAAAGAACAGCATCACCAATGCAGCTCAGGTGATCGATGTGGCCCATGGGCCTCTTGTTTTATCTTTTGATTTTCAAAAGCGAATACAGTAAGGCTTTACTCACTTTTCAGAACATCAGAGATTTGATAAAAATGTTAAATGTTTATTTGTTTACTTTACTAAGAAAAATATGACTGTTGAAACACTCTCATCCCAGCCATTCAAGTAAAACGTGCAAGACTGTTCTAAACAACATTTGCAGCTTAATTTCTACGATACAGTAGGTTCATTAATATCGAGATCTGAGCGAAGGAATTGTTCTTTGGTAATTTTAAATGCCCGTTTTTCAGATGATTAGGTCAAATTTTCTCTAATTTAGAGCAGTGAAGCCACCCTTGGACTTCCAGTACAAGGACTGTCCTTAATGCATATACGATACGCAAGACCCTATTGAGGTAAAATGTAGTGAAATTTTGCATCAGCAACTCTCCATCACCTTTACATTAAAATTTACCAGCAAGAGCAATGGAAATACGTACATAAGCCATTTTCAAGTAGCCTAAGCATCGTTAGGAGAAACGCAAGAAGAGTTTATCTTTTGAAATATTGCTACATTACTTATGGTAAACAGTAAAAACCCTTTAAACTCCATAATATTGCAAAAATCTTTTGTTAACCATGCAATTTTTGATTTCTGTTAAGTAGACTCAGACTGACTTCCGGTATTGGTATTGAAATCGTTCAAACGTAAATTTACCGATGTTTATCAAATTGAAGATGTTCATAATTTTAAGATACAAAATTCTTTACTTTACATAATTATTTCCCCCCAAAGAGTGTTGCGTTTCTTTTCAGTGTCAGTATATACTTTTTGCAAGAAAAATAATTTTTTAAAATAATGATTTAAATTGACAACATTCGGTTTACGGCATTTAGGTAATGTCTGTGTTGAAGAACAGTGTACAATGCGGAATATCAGATGTATCTTTAACATGGGATCTACCTGATGGTTGTTCTGTTATCAATGCCCCAGAAGAAGTTCCACCAATTTTTCAAGGAGAGAAACTGATTCTTTATGGTATTATATCAGGTGATATTTCGAAGGTAAATGTACACGTATTTCATTTTTACATAGTAATTTCAAATAGAAATAAAAACCATCAACATGTCTGACTTCAGTTCCTCAGCAACTGTGTTCATATTTATTTATGCAGACTTTTTAATTAAAAGCATTTATTGAGATTTATCTCATCGTTATAAAAACATTGAAATTTATGAACAGCATGCTTCTAAAACACATTCGATGAAATTGACTGGAAAGGCTGGTGACAAGGGTGTGGAGTTTAACGTGGATTTTGACTTGAACATCAGCAAGTCTAGCGACACAGATGAATCATATCCACTCCATAGACTTGCGGCCAAATCCAGATTATCAGAGATGGAAACGAATTATGCTAATGGTAATGATATTTTATTGAAATCTTCATTTTTTCTCGACAATTTCCAAGATTTGTTAATAACAATTAAGTGTTTCTGTTTTTTTAATTTTGAAAAATATTTACCTGACAAAGATTCTTCGACAAGACAGCCTAGTAGTTTGGATCCTTGTGTTAACATATTTTTAATCAAAAAAGTGACTTGAATTGATGATTTTCAAAAGACAATATTTTATCCTTTATTTTCTTGTGAAGACCAAACTTGATAATTATTGATGTCAGGTAATGCATTTTTATGCATGAAATTTATAATAATTATCAAAATTGTGACATGTTGTCTACTAGCTTTTAAATTTTGTTGGATGTCCAAAATTTATTTAGATTGTTTTGTTACAAACTTACTTATTCCGTATAGAGAAGTTCTTAAAAATATTTATCTTTATGCGAAACAAATGTCAATCTTTTTCAACGAATTTTAAAAATTTAATATGTGTAAAGAAATTCAAAAAGTTACATTTGAGAATATGTTATCTCAGAAACATTACAATATTTTATAATATAAATAATGATGTGAGAAATATTTTTACATGTAAATATATTTAGACACGTACTACAAACAATGATACTATCACTTACAGTTAGAATAGAATAATTCTAGGTTTGAATTTTCCAAGTAGGTAATGAACTAAATTATGTTTCTTAATATTCTTTCAATTTCGGAACATTTTCTCTCGATTTCAGAGAGTGTGATGGTGGCATTAAGTACAGAAGTCAATGTAACTTGCAAACACACAGCCTTTGTTGGTGTAGATAGAGAGAGCAAAGAGATTGTAGAAAAATATATACCGATGCAGATGACTTCGACAAAGTCGTACACGAGGAGGTCTAACTTCAATCTATGTGCTGCACGCTCACATTATGCCGTACCAAATTTTTGTTCAAGTGAGTTAAAATATTTTTTTGCCTGCTTGTAGAACAGAAAAGTGAAAATTCATTCTAAAAATTTAAATTAATTAGTCGTCTATCGTTTTGGATATGTTTATGTTCAAAGATATTGTACGAGAAGATAAGCCAATGAAGTTCCAGTCACGAGTACATAACAAAATGTTCTATAGGTCAATGGCATGTTCTTTGGACATTGGGAATCGAGATCTTGAACAGCAAGGTAATCTTTGATACATACGATACATACGCATAACGCCAACAAGTCTTACTTTCACAGTTGTTTTCCCTGATTCTTTTAATTTAAATTTTGACACATTAAAATATATACGAGGGTCATTCAAAAAGTTTTTTTTTATTTAACGTCATATCATATCCAAATTTAGTACACATATTTAACGATCAATTCAAATAATTTGAGTAAAAAAAAAATAGATATTATCTTATATCTTCAAATTTATAATAAAAAATTTATCAAAGATTTAGAGCAGCAAAAATGGGGTAATGGGGCAACGCTAAAGTTGAGTAATTTACAAATTTTCACTTTTAAGTATCTGAGGCCATACCTCCAATAAATTTAGCTGAAACAAAATAAAAGGATGAGGTGACTTAACTGTTATCTGGGGCCCCTTTTTCTACGAGGAATTATGTTTAATCTACAGCAATGTTGGTTGTTTTCAAACATGAGTGAATAAATACGACGCCTTTTGAATAGTTTCAATAGTTCAAACATATTTGAAATATAAAGAATACTGCATTATCTTCGATTTTTTAGACCCTATCACAGCTACTTTTTGCCGGGTTTGTGAGAATATGTTCTTTTATGGCAAGAGAATGGGCGGGTCTTAGTACAATAAAGGGATATGCGTGTCCGAGAAGACCTTATATGGCTATTGCTATTATTTCGCACATAGTCATTGTCCAATCCGATGACAGAACAACAAAACATGCTGGTTTACTACGTTTACATTTTATCAAAGACACGTGGGTTAGGTCAATTTACCTGTTATCTTTTTCTACATTTCAAACTTTTATAATGGTCAGCCAAGACTGTTTATACTTAATAATACGCATGGATTTTCAGCATTTACGTTTTTTAGGACAAGAAATGCACATGAAACTTGTATTCACTGATAATCGGGAATACGTGTAGACCTAGCGAATTGCTCACCAAACACGCTACAAAACCTTTAAACTAATGTATAATTTATCAATTGTTTGTAAATGTATATAAATTTTACTGCCATCTCGGCTCGAAATTGTACATATGTAGATCCGTGTCTATAATCTGTGGCTCAAATGCATAAAAAATTTCTAAAAGCAGTAAAATTCCAAGCATGTTTCCATTGTATTTTTGTGGTACTCACTCGTAACGAATTTCATTCAGCTGAAATTCAGTCAGTTAGAAAGTATCGCCAGTGCTTCGATTAGCATATGAATTCATTCTTACGTCAGAAAATCTAGTTCCGTCGATCTGTTCATAATGGGAAAGACCGGCTAGATTTTACAATTTTTTTTAAAAAATAGCATGTGAGCGCAGATAGGTACAATTTTCTCCTTTTGCATATAAGTAGATATCAATAAAATACAGTGACCAGCCAAAGGAGAAAATTGTATCTACCTGCGCTCGCATATTTTAAGGACTTCAAAGAGTGGGGCGGGGTTAAAATGCAATGGGAATTGGATGTAAACATGATACCCCTACCCCAATAAAGGATCAATATCTTTCAAACCAATTTTCTATTTTTGTTAAAAATAGTATTCTATGAAGCTACACATATCAGTGATTAGTTACATATAAAAATTTGAGTAAAATTTATACATTTTATTTTTTGTCAATTCACTGGGGGCCGCAAGTCACCTCATCCTTTAAGACTTGCTGTATCATTAAAGATACTATAAATTAAAGGTCAAATTCAAAGGAAATAGATTTGCTTGTAACTGGTTTATGTTATAAAAAAAGTTAAAAAGAGGGAATTACAATATTCTTTTAATTTTAAACCTAGTTGTTTTCTGTATTTACCTGTTTAAATATCACTAAAAATAACGTTCACTAATAGAGTTACTTCCCGTTTTTGTGACGTTATTCGAGACACTCGACGGAATCTAGTTATATAAGTATAGTATATAACTACTCTTGATTATCTAAAAGAATGGTAAATTTTAGGGAACATAAATGTTGATATACAAGGGTTACGTGTAGATCTTTCAATTAAGAATAGCTAGGCTTTGTATGTTTGAGTCAATCAAGGAAAAGTCGGTAACGGTGAAAGTGGAAATGAAAATCATACAAAGTTCTGACCAAGTATCATCGCAGAACCTAGCGAATGTTCACTAGTCATATCTGATCGTTTTTACTCAATCACTTAATAATACCGCAGAGATATTTGCAAAAAATGATTTTAAGTATTGTTCCTTATTCATCATACATAGATGGGACCAAGACTTTCACTCGTGAAAAATTATAAAACTCTTTTCTTTACATTTCATGGCTGTTTGAACAGGTGATACATGTACATGATGTACACCGGATTTTTAAAAGTAAATTATAATTTGGTAAACAATGAACAGATCAATAGAATTTACTGCATCATCGGATCTTGCTATCACACTGGTGCTTTTTTTTGGGGGGGTCCCCTAACCGCCCACCCTGGGTGTTTCGTACCCCAATGATTCTTTGACATTTTAAGTATTAAATATTTTTCTATGATTACAAATGAACAATCCAAAGTTTAAGCTTAAATTAGCCTTGTACATGTATAAATATTCATACACTCTGATAATAAGACAGAACGTTCTGTTTCAGTATCAGAGGGTATGAATTTTTCCCGTCCCCAAGCACCCGTGATAACTATACGTATGTATGGAATCTTAATGCGTAAAAAGGAATTTTTATTTGTTCGCCCCTCTCGATCCTCCCGAAATAACATTTCTTTGTTTTGCCCCCAAATGGAAATTACTTCCTACAGACATGCATTGCGTAAAATCTTTGTCATAAGGCCCTTTTATTAAAAAAAATATTTTAATATGAATTTCTTCATACTTATTTAGTTTATATGCTCTTTTGGTAACTATGACAAGACGCCGGTCAAAGATAAAAATACTGCAGAAAAACAAATGAAGTGGACAGTAAAATATGGAGGAACAATCACTTGTGTGCATGAACACTGAAGTATTATTTTTTTTAATAATATTATAATAGAAAAAAGTGCAACTCACTGCATGGAAGTAAATAAAAGCATTCTTGAGAAAATATTATCTGAGACGGACATTAAACTTAACATTTATATATCCTGACAAGAAATGAAATCCCCAACTCTGTACAAGTACATGTATATTATCAGAGGAAAATTGCCCTACAGGCACGAACTATAGGTGAGGGGGTGCTTCCTGACTTTTACATATACATATTTTTAAAATTTCAATTTAAAAAGGAAATTTTCATGAAAGGTTTGTAGCAACCCCTTTCCCGCTTTGTCACAGTAAGGTCATTTACCTGCATATCATTATACTAGTATTTTTTATTTATAAGAAAAAGACTACCCCCTTTCCTTTTTTTTTGGGGGGGGTGTCACATTTTCAATCAAGAATCTTTTTGGCTTGTCTATAACCCTCCCCCCTTTTTTCATATTCAGTCTGCTTCCCTTGCTCACCATAAGCTTAACATTTATTTAGTTTGTTTAAAAGAATATAACATTTATATACACGATAAAAACATACAGATAGTTTTTTTCTCTACCATTTTCTACTCTACGTACATTCATTGTACATCTCTCTTATCGCAGATTTCTCGGATGGGTATATAACAGCCTCGGTAACCTTCCGTCTTGTGCGCAGGCACCTGAAAAATGGTAGATGTACATCTACCATCCCCACCGAGATATTTTTGGACACGATAATTCCGATTTCCTTGTTTATCTTTTCAAAAAAAAAAATTCCTTCTCTATCGTACCAATACTTTGATATTTGATTCGGCCCTTCGGATGAGACCGTATAAACCGAGGTCCCGTGTCGCTGTAGGTGCTGCCAAGAAAAAGATCCCTCCTTGCTCAATGGCCCTAAGTGCCGAGCACAGGACAACATTTTCAGCTTTCCGCCGGCAAATGATGGCGTCTTCATATGAGTGAAATAAATAGACTCAATAAATCGATATTTTATTATCATCTTCCGTTTTCAAGTTTTAGAAATTGTTCTTTTACGGTTTATGAAAACTACAAGTACTTTTTATGGCTTTGACAGCATGCTAGAGGTAGTTTACGGCAAGATACATGTTCTTTTGACTTGGCGCCGCGTAATACATGTATGTAAATATACCAAGCACATACTGTAAAGGGACAATCTCTGTAACTTAACAAAAACAGAAAATATCAAAGTATATATTCATAGTATTGGTATGTAGACGAGGAATTCATGTATATTGTCTTAGTTAAATTTTTAATAGGAGAGAGAGGGCAAAATCTCAGGTGCCTCTCATCTTGTCTAGTACAGTACTGTAACTAAAATAATTCAAATAAAAATTTTAAAACCTTTCCCTTCAAACAGTATTTGGGGCTTTAAAACCTATAGACTGAGAAACTAAAATACGACTTAAATTTTGAAATAAACCCAAGAAATCCGTCAGACATTTTATATTTAATTAAACTGTAGGCTAAACCAGCCACGTAGAGCATCGTTTTTGAAAGGGGGACAGCCAGAGAAAGTTTTAAAAGTTGACAAACAACAAAAAAAGGGGGGGGGAGAATTGCCCAAACTCGAAATCCTAGTAAGCGTAATGTTTGTGAAAAAAATGGGGAGGCCCCCTCTGCATCTTCTCCCCTGTGGCTACGTGCCTGTAAACTGATTTATGTAAAAATATTTAGCTTTGTATGTAAACTTATTGGGCTCAAAACCATTTCTCTTAGACTCTCCATTTAATATGAATACTAGTATTCTCCTCAATTTCAGGTTCGTAAACAATAAAAAAATATACTCATATCTTGTCCCGAATTATTATCAAAGTTAAAAGCGCACATGACAGCATTTAGAGAACAATAATTTTCCAAACCCGTCAATATAGTATGCACTTCCTATTTCACATTGTCTCGAATGACGTCATGCAACAAGAGAGATAAGCGATTTACAATAAATGATCCACTTGTCACTCAGGTAAGTTTAAACGACATTTATGATGGAAATTGGTGATAAAAAATTAAACAGACCTCAGAATGTTATTAATATTATTCT